TCAAAAAAAAATTCTGAATAAAAAAATTAAAAGATGATAACTGTAGGAACATACTGACTTTTTTTTCGCTTTAAGGATGAGACATTCAACAGTTGAGCTCACGGTCCTTATTATAGAAAGAGGTAATGGCATAGGAAACTATCAGACTCAAAACTAATCGGAAATTCTATGACTTTGTTCATGAAATATAGAAACCTGAGCACATTGAATTGTGTTCTGCCTCGAGAGAAGGGACATTCCGGCCTCATTCAGGCCGTGACGGAAATTTGTCATCAAATGAAAGCCTCTTTAAATATCTTACGATCATCATCTTGGCTTTTACGTTAGTACATCAATAGGACGCCTTGTAAAAAGAAATTCCACGGCCCAGGAGTATCTGTTGTAAGAGCTCAGCTAATGAATAAGCTGGGTAATTCCTTTTCCTTCTTTTTCAGTTTGCTCTCGAATAAATATTGGCTTGCTATAGTAAAGCATTCCAAAAAAAATTAAAATCTTCTAATCGTGCCCTAAGGCAGTATTGCGCTTATTTGGAGGTTCTGACGAAAGTCAGTATTATCTTTGTGTAAAACCAGGCTAGATTTCCATGGTCATTTTGATGCGGGAAGGAATTCAAATGCAAAATACAAATGCTAAGTCTTGGATGAGGCCCTAAGCAGATACGAAATATGCCAGGTCAGAGAATTATACCAGATAGTGTTGCTTGTGTTATTTTTGTTTTCTTGTAACGCTTTCAGGCTATTTCGTCGAGTTTCAGCTAAGCTCTCATCCCATTACTGCCTGTACAGTTTTAAGTTATTTGCTGTGTTATTTAAGGAGTTACAGAGCGGAGCCTAAACTCCCCTACAAACCTCTATAATATTATCCTCTCCAGGAGAGCTTGGGCCCCCTGGAATCTTAGAATAAGGGGATAATTTGATAGGCTAAACCGAAAGAAAGTCATAACATGCGCAATAATGACAGGGTATTAATTTGACACTTTGAAACGGATAAAAAGTATTTACTTTATGGTATATTCATACATCAAAAGAACACTGCTGAGAACAATTGAAAGCCACCTCAATCAGGAAGACATTATTTGACATCTGTTCAGGGAGCAATCTGAAATACATATCATGGCTATTCTTATGTCTTAAAAGGAAATTATTTTGACAAGAAAGGGCTGAATGAAACATATTCAAAGAACAGAGAAATTTTGAAATGTTCAATTATTAAAAAATAATGATACTCTTGTTTAAGTCAACCTTAATAAATCAAATACCAAGCACACAACAATATGTCGGACAATAAAGAAATTGATTCATTTTCTTAGTTTGCCGTTTCTCTTTATTATTGACTGAATTGTTTTCGAGTTGGAAACATTCTTTAAATCCAAGTTAAGTCGTTCAACACAGTCGAATAGGCCTGGATAACTAATTTATTAAAAAAAATCCAATGATCTAACCTTGTTGAGAGTTGTCAGGTATTTATTTCCTTCCAGGACTTTCTTTGATTTTGAGGTTTTCTCATTTTCTTCTTGATACTGTTCCATGGAGAAAAATAGAGATAATTATATTGTAAATGAGTACATATCCTCGAGTGCTCTTCATACTAATTAACGAAGGCAAACGTCTGCCGGAATAGAAAAACTCATTTAGAACCATATATTTTCCGCCGAAAAATTCAATGTCTTTTAGTCATATCGGCAAAAGGCGTTAGGAAATTTTAATGTAATAACTTACCAAGCATTGAAAAACAAAATTTGTAATTGTTTAGCGATGACTTAGCTAACTTTGACTTGTGACCTTTTACCTTGGAACGAAATGGGTATTTGACAAGTTTAAGGTCATCACTCTTTAATCTTAAGAGCTACTGGCAAAATATGCACAGGAATGAAAAAGAAAAATAAGCGATACACACACTAATGATAATTCAAAGTACAAATTTCTCGCGTCGTCACAAAAGCCATGTTCAAAGAAGAACTGTCATGGCGGCTGCCGCTGAGAATTTGTCATTTACTGTGCTATGTACATCACGCCCTTCCTTCTCATATTTGACTCAAGAAATTGATTTACAAGGGCCGTAAAGAGAAAGATGAACACTATTACTATTCGAATATATCTTTTCAGAGGTTATTTACCTTGAGAAAAGTCGTGTCAAAGTGAAAAGCATGAATCCTCGACGTTGTGTCTAAACCACTTGATCATTATACAGAAACACTCACCGACCTTGACAGAACGTACAATACCAAGGTAACAGGGTCGATATGGCGTATTTCTTGACTCCATAGAAGCAAAAAAAGACGCTTACATTTCTTGTAGTACGTAAGCTTTTTCCACGTGCAAGACTGAGCGCAAATATGAATATTAATTTTGAAAATTATTTGTAATTCAAATGAGTTTTCCAACCTCAGAGGGCAGGTTCAAAAAAGTCGACACCGAGTTCTTCGTTCTGATCCGTTCAATTATAAAACGAAGTAGGATACGCCGCTATGGACAGATTTTCAATTTAAGCAAAGAAGTACCAACAATAGAGAGCCGCAAATAGTGTTGTTACTTGCACTAAAATCGTTTTGCTTGAACAGCATTTTTTAGTCCTTATAGAAGCATATAACCTTGGTAAAATGCTTCTGGTAGTCAGAACTCCACTATATATCGATGTTTTTCTCTTTCATGGGCATTTTGAATTAACAAGGTGCTGTTTTTCAATAGACATCAGTGTCGAAAAACACGTTACAACAAAGGATCTGTTTTATTCGGCCACTTTCCGACTGGATGAAGGCACTTAAGTACATGATTATGATACATGTACGTACATAAATGTAATATCATTAGGCCTCTCCAGTTGGTCAAAAAAAGATGAAAATAAGATATTCCATTCTTCCTTCGTTTTAATGAAATTGTGAATAATAAATTTCTGTCTTCACCATAAGTTAGAGAGGACTGCTTTTGTGACAAATAAACTCCTCCACAAGCCATTGTAATAGATGGCTGCGTTAGTATGGGTGCACCACTGGCGCAGCTCGGTGGCACTTGGCCAAAGGGAGGAATAACCTGTCCTGGAAGAGGACCGGCGCGCATGTTTTTCGCGGCCCTGTGAAGTTGGGTGATCACGATATACTCTCGGGGTGGGTACGTGCTGTCGTTAATTTTAGCCATCACTTCTTTTACCCTGTTAGACAGTATTATCCTTATCCTCTCACTATCACTGACGAAATTATGAATGACAGCAGCGAAAGCGAAGTACAGCAATATTCTTTATTCTACCTTTGGTTCGCGCCACTGGATTCTTTATCTGTACGGCTAATGAAGTTTAACGGAATGAATAAAACAACAGTTTTAAAATTCTGTGAACAGAAGAACGTCCTACAAAATAAACGGAATGGATAGAATATTGACAAAATCTCACTGCTGTTTTCAAGCAAGTAGCAATGTCATTCCTCTGATCCTGGTTTTAAATTAGCTATTCCAACACAATTATGGCTTGGAAAGTCCACTTTGTCTGATTGCAAAGGTGAGAAGATCTTCCAAAAGTGCAAACAATTTTTTTGCTCTTTGGGTTACTGCAAAATGCCCCACAAAAGTCCACCCGTACTTCTCTCCGCAAGGCCTGTCAATTTGTGGCTGACACCTACTTTAAAGGGCGACTATCTGTAACACGTGACCCTACCAGTTAAATTTCCCAGTAAGTCTATCAATTTCACTCCCCTCAAGGTAGACACTTCTTTAGGAAAGACACTTATCCTTAACACGTTTTAACATTGTTGGACATCACAGGATACAGGGTGTTCAAGTGGCTGAGAGAACTGGATTGAAAACTGATGTTCCCGCATTCTGTCACCCAATAAGATTTATCAAGATATAGTTTCAAATTCACCGTAGTAAAAGCTGGGTTGCCTGCCATCAGTTAAGATTTTTTAAAATTTTAACCACTAATGCTCCATTAGTCTGCAAGCGGGCTCTCCTATCCCGCGAGGAAATCATAGTCTGGAGTAAAGCGAGCAGGTGAGAGATCGGCAATATTAGTGCCAGACCCCCGACAAACCTCCACCCGACTCGTCTAAAATTCTTCCGCGGGCGGGGAGGCACGCGTCCTGCAGCGCTAATAACAAGGTCAGTTTTTAAGTATTCTGACAGATCATTTAATCTACCATTCCATGTCTTTCCTCCTTCACTCTTTTGGTTCCGCCGCCGAGAGCCCACTTACGCAAATAACAGCCGTAAAAGGAAATTCACTCCTGCGCAGCACTGCCAACTCGAGTTTTAGTTTGAAATAATATTTTGCTCATGCTTTTTTGTATCCAAACCATTCTGAGAAGAATGATAGATTGCTTCCCTAAGCTTTCAGATAATAGTTAGGCTCCAAATTAAAATACCAACAGTGCTATGAAAAAGCAAGTCCAGTTATTGGATGATAATACAACTGTTGTACTTAGCTGGCAAAAAAAAAATCGTTATGAATAATTTCCTTCAGCCTTGCCTTCAGACATCAAAGATTGTCTCTACATAAAAAGAAAACCTTTAAAGAGGATTTGCTTAAGTAAATTAACACTAAGGAGATAATAATCTATCACTGACCGCAGAGAATGAACCTGTCACACCCTAACATCAGTATGCATATTTTCTATATTGTTTCCTACTCCCATACATTACCTAAGGTGCTGACAATGAGAATTTCATTTGCAATCAAGAGCTTCTTTAGTTGGTGATAATTTTTCTGTATTCTCCTGACCTTAATATGTGATTCAGAGGTGGTATTGATGGGAGAAATTAGATGCTAATCACTCTTGCAGGTCAAAGGGTTAAGAATGAGGTAGAGTGAATAGGTAAGCAAATAACAAAATTGACAAATTTAGACTTTTTAGTCTAAGGTTCACCAGTTACAAGTTGCTTCCTTAGCAAAACTTCAGTGAAGTTTCTAAAGACTTTGACCTTTCCCTTTCAGTTCCTTAATTTGAAAGCAAAGAAAGAAAAAAAAAGAGGATGCAAGGAAGAAATGGCTTCCCATAAACTAAGCAAAAAAAAGGACTATTTATTGTTTACTTGCTGAGTACAAGAGGTTTTTTGCAATATAATCATTACATGATCTCCTTTTCCTAAACATGATGATCTGGCAAGTTTCAACACATAATTTTCCCAGAAATTAAAGTAATGGCTATATGCGTGCTACTGTGTAGATTTTCAGACCAATATCCTCGTCATGGTTACTGGTATGCAATCATAGCCATTACAAATAAGGAAGATTTGTTTAGGCAAGGTATCATTTACTATTTAGACACACTTTTTCCCCATATGGCTTACAAGTTTGTTCTTCCTTATTTATTGCTTCTTTTTACCTCTTATAAATACATAAATCAGGCCTGTTTTCCTGTCCCTTACAATACAAAGCTTCCCTGAGCAAAGACTTCTCACTTCAAGATGAAAGTATTGAAACCTGAAGACCTCAGATTGTCTTTTAAACTAACCATCTTCAGTGGAATTTTCCCAAAAATCTGCATTCTGCCTGTATGAAACATGCTCTTAAAGTTTCTTGAATTATCATAATTACAACAGAATTTTTAACAATTATTGGTCACATGACCAACTGTTGCAACAGACTTATTCAAAATGATTTATCTAATGATGTACAATCATATTTTTCAAGTGAAATACTAAAGGTTTTCCATAATCTAATAGTAGGGTCTTCTAGGGTTATTCTGAAAAAAAAAAAAAAAAACAAAATGAATTATTTGACATCTGTTCAGGGAGCAATCTGAAATACATATCATGGCTATTCTTATGTCTTAAAAGGAAATTATTTTGACAAGAAAGGGCTGAATGAAACATATTCAAAGAACAGAGAAATTTTGAAATGTTCAATTATTAAAAAATAATGATACTCTTGTTTAAGTCAACTTTAATAAATCAAATACCAAGCACACAACAAATGATTAAAACTTTTAAATAATAGAAGAATTCTTACAAGGGGATTGGGTCTAAATCTGTAAGCTAACATCATCCTCTTGCGATACAAGTCAAACTCGTCGTCATCCCTGTTTATTTCGCCAGGCTTGTCTTCACCCAGACCTCCAATATCCTCTGGTGCACGACCCCTGCCATTGGTGAAACACATACATAGGTACATATTAGCCGATAAATGTAGTTAATGTAGTGTTTTTTGGACAAAATGTTAATATGTTTTAAGCCTCTTAAATTGAACCCACAGACTTCACCAAACCTTTTGAAGCTTGTGCTAACATATAGAAACATTACCCTATTATAAAACAGGTAATTAATGACTACATAGCCTAAAAGCCATGTGAGCCTAGAGGTTTCACTGCTTCAGTTTACCCTATTATCAATACTTTGAAGCCACGAGGAGTGTTTCTTTGCCTCCTTTCAATGGCACAAACATGCAGTGTAGTATTTGTTGAAATTTCTGCAACAGTTTACTCCTTAGCCAGCTCCAGGTATTAAATTGGAGGGAGGGAGTGTGAAATGAAAATTAAAAGTATGATGGAAGACTTCTTTATTTACAAAACCTTTTTTATTCTTTGTGTGTATCTTTTATGTTTCTATATTTCTTAGTCAATTTTTTTTTTTTTAATTTTCAGCTTTAATATCCAGTAGATAAAGTTTCATTTTTAACATTGCATCGGACAACTGAAAATTTTACATACTGGATAATTGGGAAATGTAAGTCAAAATGTTCTTACTTTTATTTCCATGATTATTAATATTTAAAAGGAGAGTTATATTTTCTGCTCTAGAACAAAGTGATTTGACTAGGGGTGAAACATGAATCTCTTGAGGCCTGTTACAGGTTATTAACCACCTGACCCCCAAATTGCCTATAATCAACATTGACATTGTTACATTTTCTTTTACCAAATTAATTACACAGATTAAAATACTGACAAGAAATCACCAACAGGGCAGCAACAACAACATGATTCTCAAAAACAGTTGACTTTCTAAGCCTGAAATTTTTTTCCTTATGAAATATCAATACACATGAAAAGACTAAGTGCAGTGTTCCATACTGTACCTATTGACAGGTGCTGTGATCCCCTGTCCTTGAGATCCAAGTCCCATCCCTTCCTTCCATCCAGCTTGTTGCAGCATTTTGTACCCAATGTTGCTCTCTGTTATCTTATGCTCAGCATAGTCAGAGAAATCAAAGCTGTCCAATGACGACTCCCCTTTCACAGCTTTGACTTTGGCTGTAAACTTTTTCAGTTCTTCTGGAGGAAGGAAGTCACCAAGGTGATGTTTGCCCTTTCCTTTCTCAGTGAGTTCTTTCGCTTTTTCTAAAGCAAATGGAAATTTTGATGAAAGCTTCATATTACTCTATCTATACAAGGTTTGACTCTATGTTAACCCTTTCACTCCCACAAGTGACCAAGACAGAATTTCTCCTTACAATATCAATACAATATCAAGCAGGCAGGTGATGAGAATAGAGAAGAATATCAATTATGGGATCATTAGTTGATCCAATACCAAATTCTCTGAACTAACATCATAAGAATTGTATGGCAGATAGTAAGGAGAATTACTAATAAGATCTTGGGAGTGAAAGGGTTGACTCTTTCATGCCCAAGATCTAAATGTTTTCCATACTAAAATTTGGCACACATTGTATACAGCTTAACCCTTTAACCTCCAGCTGTTTTTACTAGCATCACAAAAATGACTAAAAACATCCTAGCATAGCTCACTGCTTGCAATCATGACATAGCTACAGAGATTGTGTGAAACATTTCTGAAATGTTCTTCTGTATGATACCATTAATTCAGCAGATTAACAACCTCTTAAACACAGGTAATAATTCACTTGTCATAATCCCTGATCCCTTCAAAGAGTCATTCACGATTTCATCTCAGCTAAACAAATTGCACAATGATTGAACTGTTACTTTTAATGGTAAACAATAGCAATGCTACTTTTAGAAGTTGACAGACTGGTTGCCACTGCAACATAAAATGAAGTGACTGTCATTAAAAAAAAAAAAAATTTTCAATCAATAAAAGACCATCAACTAAAATCTCAAAACCAACCAAAAAGAAAAAAAACATTATATGAAGCTCAGTTACAAAAATAAACTCCAGATCTCAAAAGTGTAAGGTAAAAGTAACACAAAGGTTTTCCCAACCTATTGTTTTGCTCATTTCCTTTTTTCTTCTTTTATGTTCCCATGTGCCGCCATCTATGTCCTCATCTGAATCATACTCATACTTTGGTTTGTCTTCGTCTTGCTTTATTGCTGCACTGGCCTGACCAGCTGTGCGTTGAGCTAATATTCTCATGTACATCTCTTGAATCTACAACCAAAAAAAAAAATCATTGGTATCTTTGGTCCAGTAGTTCTAAATAAGCAACACAATGAAAACATTTTGAACCATGCAATTACAAGAGAAATCCATGTTTAGAGATGCTTTTGGAGACCTTAACCACACCAAATTTGCAATGGAAACCAGGATGTGGCAAAACAAAAGATCTAGTGGGCAAAACAACTGCTCAACATGTGCGTATAAAAATTTGTACATTTCATAGTCATCCTCTGCAAAACAACATCATAACATCACCAAAATTTGCATGGAACTCAACACTGCCCACAAACATTATGCTGCAGTTAAGATGTGGTGCCATCATTAAACACAGCCAGCTTTTTTCCAAATCCTAACTAATAATATTCATTCATTTCTTAATCAACATCTCCCCCTGTGTTGCTTTCCATACTACTTAAGGTTCTTCATATCTTTCACACACAAAATTATGGACAAAGAACAGTGTTCTCATGAATACTTATTTTTTCCACATTTATCAAAGCATAACAGCTTTCCTCAGTTATTACCTCTTGCTGTTCTTTAATCTGTTTCTGGCGTTCTTCTTCCTCCTTATTACTCATTGGTATGCTGTGCTCAATTTCTGCTGCCACAGCCAAAGCAGCAGCAACTGCTGCATCACTGTTAGAAGATGATGATGAGCCAGCTGATTTTGGAGGATTTGGATCCCACCTGCTTTTCCTTTTCCTCTTTTGCATTCCAGTGCTTGCACTATGCTCACTGTCTACACCTTTGCTGGCTCCTTGCCCTGCACTTCTTAAACATCTAACAAGATTTTTGTAGTATTTGTGACCTTGACTATTGACATCAAACAAAAAGCTGTAGGGAAAAATAAAAGAAAATAAACAAAAGCAGTTTTTGAAGAGTTCTTGTAATAATTATTTTCTCAGTTTACAATGATTTATTTCATATCTAAGTTTTTGTCATGCTTAGTAGATTTATATCCACTCTTTGACTGATGGTACCCCTTGTGAATGTTGACAAATTGATAGATTCTCCTTTGCAATTAGCCCTTTTTATTCTTGTAAATCACACAGGGAACTTCAACCTCCATTATGAGCACCTCAAAACACACTCCTTTCTTAGCATCATGTGAGATTCCCTGCACATATTTGTAAACAAAATTAAAGACTTTCCCAAGAATTTTTTCTGTCATTGTTTCCATTTTCTAGACTTCAGGTTTTTAGTACTGACAAAACCCAATTCCACTTATAAAAAAACAGAATTGTTACACTACCTTACAAAGATCTCAGCCAACAATTATAAAGCACTTATCCTGACTAAGAAAAACACTTTCCACTTGTAAAAACCTTAGTTTAGAGAGCTTAGTTTTTTATTTTCCAAAATTAGTTTGGAATGTTAGGCTTAAGAATTATCTCCTTCTCATTTTGTATGCACCATGTCCCACTGCTAAGCCAGTTAGCAATTGCAATTTGTACCTACTCATTCTTTATGCACAAAACCAAAATCGATTCCTCTCATTTAACATTTATTTCATTTATAACTTTTTTTTTACAACATTTTGCTTGTGTTTTCATTGACAAACTGCAGAGCCACTCAAGTATTTATTACAACTGCAAAATAGCTCTTTATCCTGTGGTTCAAATTCATAATAAAACAGGGGAGTAAATAAAGATTACATCCACCTTGTTGGCACTCTGAGGAATGAGATATGACACATAATATGATAAGCTGAATTATGCACACATTCTGATTGCTTTTTACTCGAGAAATACTTGAAGACATACACAACATGTGCATCACCATTAACAACATCTTGCTTTTATATCATATAAAGTAAAGGGATTCTGTGTAGTCATAGGTCTATACAGAAATAGATCACAGAAGACCTAAAAACGTGGTAAGAACATCAGTGACACATCTAGCTGCGCCTTTTGTTTTCACCACAGTATGGTGTCATTCATGATCTACTTCTGATGCATGGTAGCATGGAATCTATTCCTTAGTTATGACAAACCTACCTATAATTTGGGTTGTTTGAGTTGTCCTGTATAGCGATACGTTCCACCTGATCGCCTCCTCGCACAACTCTGGCGGCTAGAACTTCAATGACATCGAGCATTTCCTTGTCCTCTGGTGGGGGAACTTAATTATACCGCTCATCAGAACATTTTCTAGCATTTAGCGAGATCAAAATTACACCATACTGAAACATTAGCTCGTTTGGCAACGCTCAGCTATCGAGATCACCTCAGAAACTACGAAGCGAAAGCTTCGAAATGAAATTCAAATTACCATTTTCTTCCACTTCTTCCGGATCCTCGAATACCTCGGGCCTGGCGGAAACAGGTTTAACTGGCGTAGATTTTTTAACTGTTGTTAGCTTCATGCTCACAGTTGGACGAGTTTCTGGGCCTGTGATAGTTGCGGTTGAAGTGGAAGGACTGGATGTACTTTGTTGTTGCATGGCCTGAAAGCGAGCTAGGAAATTGCCATCGTTCAGAAACATTGGACCCGCCCGAGAAGCCGTTGGTGTATTCCCATCGCTAGAGGGTGGAAGGGGTGGTGGTTTACCTTTATCGATTTTCTTTTTCTCCGCAATACGACGGAGAAGTTCTTGCTTTTTATCTTCGACTTGTTTCTGACGGTCATCCATGGACGCCATCTTATTTCTGTTAAGTAATTCCTTACCCATAAGGCTATGGGCACCTGGTAACCATGCAGCGCATTAAATTTAGGTGGTTCTGACCTTTCCGGACATTGCAGAAGAGCGAATCCAAGGCTGGCGCTTAAAGCTGCCCTAAGACTGTAATTGGGAGATGAAAAAATGATTACAAGCTTTTTAAGAATTTCGCGAATGGCCGGAACTGCTAACCAACCCTGGCGGAACCAATTCACAATTTCAGGGAGCGGCTAACGTTGAGTTGAAAAATTTTCCATAGGGCCATGCAAGTATCGGTAAATTCACGATGTTATTTTGCAGAGGACCACAAGAATATTCACAAAATTTAAAATGCACGAGCTGATAAAAGTTGTTCAGGTCTCAGTTGTACGAATGATGGATAAGGCTATCCATTGGATAAATCTTTATCCGATGAATAGTACGTTTTATTAACACTTATCCGCTGGATAGCGATTTTCTGTTGAATAGTGTTATCCGCCCAATGAACAACTAGGCTCTTTGTTTCGTTTCAGGTCAACTCACCACCACTACAAACTCGCCACCACCATTGAGAGTCGACACACCACCGTATCGGTGGTAAATTGAGTTCGCAAACTGCACGTAAACTGATCATAATCTTCATGATATAAACATGTTTTATTTCATTTCATGTAACACTGAAACTCGCTATTCTTCTTTCTTTTAACGATTAACGTTCTATAATTGAGGTACAACACATAAAATCTTAGTCAATTTGCCACTGGTGGCGAGTTGACTCTCCGTAGTGGTGGCGAATTGACCGGATACTCTATGTTTATTTCACTGTTTATTTCACTGTTTGTTTTGCCACGTTCTCGTTATTCTCATTGTCATGGTTTGCCAAAGAACACTATCACCGAATTTGAGACGGCTTTGAAAACCCAACAGCTCTTTAGGTTGGCGTGTGTTACTGGCCAGCGGAAAAAAAATCGCACAAGCTGTTGGTGGGCTCGGATCGAGGCTACAGTGCGAACTCGAAATTTATGCAAATATTAACAGCAAAAGTTTTTCATACTTGAGAAACAAGGTGGAAACACCTTTGTTACACCACGCAATTCATTGTTGCAGCATATCATGCCTAAAAAAGATAAAACCAAAAAAATTCTGAAAAGGGCCAAAAGAATATAATAATAATAATAATAAAAATTACGTAGCCGACGAAAAACTGTAATTTTTTCGGTGGTTGCCTTTTCGTGATGTGAAAAGTGCTGTTGCTGTATATTTTAAAATGTCTTCTTACAGACGAAAACATAGAAATTATGAGAAGAAAATCCACGTTTTTAATTGGTTAGTACATGGGTTGAAATTATCATAATTCTAGCCTCGATAACCAATTCTTCGTACGACTGTTTTTCCCTGAACATATACAACGACAGCGCAAAGCATGAAAATTCTTGCTGCTATTCCTTTCCTGCTCGTACTCGATAATGGTAAGTAATTATTTCACTTTATCATCCGCGGCTTGCAAAGTTAAAAAAAAAAATTCCTAATACACCATACGACGCAAAAATGTAAATATTGACGGTAGATTTACATTCTCAACTTGATTTATTTAAGAAATATGCGACCAAGAATTTATTCTGCACAGAAACTGTTCGTATACCTAGTTTTCCAGTCTGTTTATCATAGCGTAACTTTCTCTGATTACCGTTTTCTTCGTAATTGTGTTATATTTAGTCTACCTAGTACTTTAAACTCCATGCATATGTTCCTTGCAATGACGATATTTCTAATCTCGTTTGAATTTTGGTAAATTTCAATTGGGACTGAGAGAATTAATGAAAAAAGTCACTTTATGGAGAATAAATTTGCGAAGAACGCTGTTAATGCAAGCTCAAACATATTTCAACTGATTAGTTACCAGAGTACGTAGTTTGGCTGTTCGGTGTTTAGCCGGTAGAGTCTGGGTTTGAAAGAGCCTCTACGTTAACTCAAATTGTTGGTCAGTGGAGTCGATCACTGAAGAAATGAGGCAGGCGGGAAAATGACAGGAGTCTGGGAACAAAAAAATTTCTCTATCCAACTGATTCCCAGACGGACGCCAGTTTTAATGACTAACACGACCGTACATTTACAGTGCGCGGTTTGAAGTGCTTTCATTGTATGAGTGTCAATAGCTGGGAAGAATGTAATAGAGATCAAAAAGTACAGGATTGCCCAGCACATTATACAACCTGCCTCAACGCAACCGTTATACTGCCACCGCACACTGGCGCCGAAACCAAGCAGTACATCAGAGGATGCAATATACAGGGACTATGTAAGAGACTAGAGCGAGCGACTGAAGAGTGCAAGAAGCTGATAGAGTACTTTTCTCGAGGCGAAAACATTACGTGTGACGCAACTTGTTGTACGGAAGACCTGTGTAACGAGTCTGCAGTAATGATGACCAGCTCTATCATGCTGATAGCATGCGTAACATGGGTGTTGGCTCGTTAGGCGAAGCTTGAAGAGGATATGTTTTAATAATTTATTCAATTACAGGGTAAATATTTCGATAGGGGATCCGGCATCGCAGTTACTCAAAGAAGGTGTGAAAATAGAGCCTACGAAAAATTCAAGGTCAACTTATAAATATTGTCAGGAAACAATAACAGCAAAATAAAATCTTTGGTGTATTTGATTATTCTCAAGCCATCGGGAATTAAATATCTCTACTGTATTTTTATCATGCACAATGTTCTGGCCTAGCCACCGTCGATGAACTTTTAGAGTCTTTATTCACAATTGTTTTCCGTTTGCGAAACAAGGACCTATGCTTACGAAATTCTTGATAATCTCCTATGAAAATTGAAACACGGCAATTGCTTGAAAGAGAGCATTTTAGCCTATGTGTAGCCACCCCCAAGGTGAGACGGAAGCGAGGGTTCCCTCGCAATTTGAATTATGAATTAAAGTAAAACATTGTTATGAAAACCTCTTAACTTTTTACTCTTTAAATGTTCCGCATCTCAGGAATATTTGGCAAGTGGTCATTCCAATTTTCCCCTAATTTTTATCAACAGTGGATTTGAAGTAGGACATTTTGTCTTTTCTTTGTGTTCTCAAGAGTATTCTTTCAAGGAACTCCAAAATATTTGTTTTGATGGATTCACGTGAACACATCTTTCAATCAGACGTTTTTTAGCTGCCTTAGGCAGGTCTCCTTCCTCGGCAAGGCGGTAATAAATCAAATCTAATCTCTTGTTACCATGGAACTTGGCTTCAGAAACGAGACCCTATAAGAGTGGTAAAATCAAGAAAAAGGTAAGTAAAATCAGCCTGCCATCAAGTTCTAAAGAAACTTTGGTACTGCGTCGGTGGGGAGTTTAGCAGGATAATTTGGTTTGATCTACTAAGTTCATCATGTAAATTAGCCACCCGACACAGTTTTTAAAGTTTCGAGTTTTAGTCATTCGTCATGGCCCTTCCCTGAGCCTATCATTCTGACGAAGGCCTACCGCTCGAAAAGTCAGCTTCAGAAACTCTCTACAGAGGCCAATTTTCATTATCGACTCAGTTGATGAAACCAGTTCAGCATGTACTAATCGGGAGCGCATTAAACACAAGGCACAAGGGTAGTGAAATCATGGCGTCGTATGTGGGGGTAGAGATTCGAGGATCTATATTTCAGTTTTACGCTGTAATTAGTCTCTTTCTCTTGCGTGTTTCGCAGCTACGTGAACAACAAGCCATAAACAAAGTTGGGGAAGGGTGGAACATGAAATTCTGCGAGAGGAGGCAGTAAAAAAAAGTTGAAAAGCGCGCAACCCATACACAACAACAACAAAAGAAACAATGGCCTAGAAATTAGTTTTAAAGACCTAATATGAAAAAGGAAACACCCTCTAACTATGCCCATTTATGAGAGCTACGACCTCGTAACAAATTTTTTTAAAACGGTCCCAAGCAGAAATTTTAGTCATCTCGAGCCGAAAAAATCGCCAATCTTGCAAAATCTTCTGCACAGTAGCCTCCCTCATGGACTTTTGTCCACAGCCGCTGTAACGACCTTCCTATGACGTAGTGAATTGGAAAGATTGTGTCAGAGCTATCTACCTGGGCAGCGGAAAGATCTTTCTTCTTCAAATAAATTGAGAGCAGCCAGTACTGAGCTATCGAAGAGCCAGAAGCTGTGTCAGAGTCTAGCACATGTTGGAAAGCTCTTCTAGATGCCCTGCAAAGAGAGGACAAGACAATACTCGATTAGCATGGAATATATTTGAGAAAATAGAAATTAAAAAGAAACTTTTCCATTAGAAGAGGTTTGACAACAACAACAGACACAAAAAGTAAATGTTTCATCAAAAAAATAAACTATCCTATTTGAGAGGCAATTTTAACAGTTCTCTTTTGAGAATTTGATCTCTTATCGCCGGAAGTAGCTAGAAATGGCCGGATGTAGTTAGAGATGGCCGGAAGTAGTTAAGATGGCCGGAAGTTAGAGGCTCTTATTTCATTGTCTTAATAACACAACATTTACAGTGCAGATATCACTTCATAAAAAATAATTCTCGCAACAAATACATTTATTTCCCCTTGGTTATTTGGCATAATAAGAGTTGAATTCTTGCAAATTCTGCTCCCTTCTCCAACCAGCTTTTTACAAAATGTACCTGACCCTTAACATGCTAAATGAACCCTTTACACCCTAACATCAGTATGCATTTTCTCCAAACTGTTCTCCATACATTTCCTAATGTGCTGGAAAGGAGAATTTGTTAAACAATCAAGAAGTTCTTCAGTTTATGATCATTTCCTTTATTCTCATGACCTTAATGTTAGATTCATGGATGATATTGAAAGGAGAAATTAGATGCTAGTCACTCTCAGGGATTAAAGGGTTAAGAGAAGTTTCCTTACCTCGAGTTGTCTTGAAGAAAATGAACGATCCCTTGAATAAGATAGGCAGCAGAAATACTTGAATTCAATTTCAGGACCTGGAAATAAACCATCAATACATTGAAGTACTTTAGAGCCCACAGCTATTAACCTCATCCTTTAAAATCATGCCCAAGAGTCCCGCATCTCTACTTTTGAAAAGAAATTAAAGTTTTCTTTCCTTAATTATTCTTATTTGAATCGTAGTTTTCGTTGCCCTTTCTTCATTCAGAGGATTTCCAGCTATGTCAAAAGTGATATGGCACCGAGTTGGTTTTTTCTTCGTTACGCTGTGTGACTGGTCTGGAAAAAAACTCGCGTTACATTTTGAACCAATAAGATGAAACTCTAAAACCAATCTGGTTTTTCTCGACGTTAGGCCGTTTGCTCGTTTTCGCTTCGAGTTTCAATTTACTATTTTGATATTTACCGCTTTTGTTCCAAATGTTCATTAAGGAAACATCATATGGGCAAAATTGTTACAAACCTCGTTTGAAGCTTCAAGTGAAAGATCCATCCAGCGGTCTCGGTCAGCGGTCTGCGACTTCTAGAAGAAAAAACAGGAAGTTGACGAACACACCAACAAACACAAAACCAACGATGCGATGCAGTATGCTGACGCTAAAAGGGAAGAAATACAGTGACAAGATATGAAAGAAGGCTTAAACCCATCCTACGATCCATATCATAAACCCCCGACTTAGTTGATACAGTTTTCCTTTTAGATTCATAAATGACGTGATACATCATAAAGCAACGCTTTGCCAAAACGCGTTCCCTGGATTATGTTTGATACTGCAATTAAGAAGTTGAAATGGTTCTGAAAATACTCAGGGATTCCTTAAATTTCACGATGATTTTAACTAAAATGACTAAGAAAATCACAGTGTATCTTCTTGAACCGGTTGTGAGTTCTAGAGACGACTCTTGAAAAATTCGAGTATCACAGTTACCACATTAGTCGGCAGTGGTAGGCATACCATGTACATACCTGTACCATTTGGACGGCTAACAACGCCAGTCTTATCAACGGAACAGTTCGCCAGCTTTGAGCCCTTAAAAAAGTTAAAAGTTTGTAATCAACTGCACATTTCAAACTCCACAGATCACTGATATGGAAAATGAACTTTTTAACTCTTTGCTCGACCGAAGCGCTCATAGAGGTTGTCAGCGGTGCTGCGTGCACCAAAGCGCAAGTTTCATACGGGAGTGGGAGATCTTCTAGACCGATCAATTTTGCAACAAATTCGTGGCACACAGTCTCACAACAGCCGTGTCGTGGTTTGTTCTGCATTTGACGATGCAGAGATATTTGACGGTGGCAAAGGAATCTGAGCTAGTGCACCTTTCCTAGTTTTCAGATCCATGAACTTACTCATAGTAAGTGTTCCTAATTTTCTTACCTGCTGTCCATTCCCGCCTGCAGACACTTTCGATAGCAAAGCTCAGCCGCCATTGATGCGCCTTGATCAGCTTGGACTTGCGCTAAAACCTGTTAAAAAGACAAATAACAGTTTCAGAGGGGTGTAAAGGAGGACTGAGGAAAATATCGCAATGCTTAAGTGGGATATCAAGGTAAAAAATCAGCAAGCTGCTTGAAGCGCGGGAAAAAGCGGGTAACCATGTCGCGATTGATTTAAGTCTTTGATCTGATTGGTCGAGTGGGTGGTATGAGTTTTCTGGACTAATCACAGAGCGAGATGTAGCATAAAAAATTGTACCAATTGACTGACTTTGGTCGGGCCGAACGGGAAATTATTTGGTAAGAGGTCATTACGTACGGACCGTGCGTCACTGCTCGAGAAACGAGACTAACTTTCTCCTTTATGTTTTCCTTTAAGTTGAACTTTTTAAAATGTTTTCTTTTCTTGCAAAAAAAGCTATACGAGCGCGGAACTGAACGTCTTTTTCTGGACCGGCTCACGTCAACACCTCGGCTTTCATAATGGTTTTTTCATAAAGGATTGTGTAGGCGGTTCTTGACGGGTCACGTGATAAACAATCTTATACTTCTCCCGAGACTCAAATGAAAATCACTCCCAACTTATGGAACGGAAAATGAGACTTCAGTTGCAACGTTACCTGCCAGGCATTTGATGAATACGTTGGACTGGACAATAGCGATGTTTGTAACATGTTTAGCCCAGTCTCCACAGTTTCTCCGCTGGCCAGTAGCACTTGAGCCTTTAAGAAGTGGAGTTGAGCGGAGATTTGTGGTACCGAACTGTACACCAATAACGCCTGCAAGATAAAAAGCAAGGATTAGATCTACCGATTGTTAAAAATAATAAAAAAAAACATAGGCTGTACTACTGTGAGATGAAATTCGTCATATCAAGTAAAGTATGTGCAACTAAGACTTCTATTTACCATTTGCGTAACAAGACTAAGATTACTCAAATCTCACTTGACATAAAAATAACATAGTTTGAAAGGTCCTGCAAGAGAGGATGGTGCGAAATTTTGGGACCAATAACATAGCAAAGTTAAAGTAATTTTCATTCATGCGGAATATCTGCAAATTAGCTGATGTGTCATTTCATTATGTAATGTCACACCTGAATAGCTTAGTCTATGACACAATAAACTTACATTGTATTGTATTGTAAAGTAATGCGAACAAAGCGTTTTCGTCTTACTTTCGACACTCAATCTTAATTTTCTCCAATAACAGAAGTGTGAAGTAGAATAAACAGGAGGGATTCACCAAGTCTCACCTACCTTGTCAACAAGTTCAGCCGCCTCTTGTTGCCGTCCAGCATGCAGGAGACAGTAACCATGGTGAATAATGGCCCAGGACTGCAGGGTCTCCAGATGACTAGTCCGTAACTTAACAAGGGCAGGCAGCTGATGGTCAGATAGGGACTTCAGAGCACCTACCTGCCCGTGAGCTGTACCATAAAACAATATAAGTTTGAAACAAGACAGCAAAAACCCCCCTTGCGCAAGGTAGCTTAGACATTTTCCACTCGGCAACCATTAGATTATGAGCTCAAGATTTCTGAGCACTGAAATCCAGAGTGAGTAATCTAATTATTTAAGTATAAATCTACCAGCCATTCAAAATTTAATACTGTGGGGCCGTTACTTAAACAAAGTCCAGGTCGTGGTTTTAGATAATCAACCGACCTCGATATCATTGTTTAAAGTAAATTAATGTTTTCCAGTGTTAGATAAAAGCCCTCTTGACATAATCAACGTTGAGGAAGCGGATACAATATTAATAAGCAATCGCTGGACTTCCGGCCCCAAATTAAAACTCCGATTTTTCGTACCCAACGATAATTACTCCTTTCAAAACGAAGTTTTAATCGGGATTCCCTCGTACATCCAATACCTGTTGATTCCACAAACTGAGAGAGCCTTGCGCCGAGAGTGCTTTTGTCCCTCCCCAGTTCCTCACGACTCTTAGCTATATCGTGAGCTGTAACAGAAGCTGCTAGCACTGCCCAGCTAGACGAATGATCAGGATGCGCGTGAACAGCCTTCTGGGATGCTCTAAGACCTGTGCGAGTCCTGTGTGTAGCACCCATAAGATTGACTTTGCCGTTGTCGTGACGTAAGGAACCCGAACCCACGATACCGGCCGGCTGAAAAGCGGGATTGTGCTGTTAATAGAGAAATAGAACAATCTCTCTAAGTACCTATTCTGGTTGGTGTTGGTGTTTCGTTCTCCATCCTCTTAATGCAGAGTATATTTTGAACATTTTCATTGGAATAGCTTTCGTTCTAAACTAGTAATACGTCATTCTTACAAAATAACTACCGTACATAGAAAATTTTCGAACACACCTCTGCTGAATGACTTCCTCCAAGTGTAGCAGAAGATTCAGAGCAGCGAGCAGCAGCCTGCAAAAATAACAGATTTCGAATAGCAAACACGATTTTAATCTTCATAAAAAATAACCATTACCCCACCCTTTGCCAAGCCATGACCCGGCAATAATAGAGGATATCGTCAGCTAGCTGCGATTTGGTTTAAAAGCTCACTTTCCCGCGCTGAAGTCCGTTCTGTTTGATTAATCGGCAGTCGTTAAATAGCTCCCCTCTACCGAATGTCGGCCGACAGATAACCGACAGGCCCCCACCGGTAGGCTAACGACCAGTTGGCCGTTAGTGGGCTGACAGGTTTTTACAGGGAGCTTTTCTTCACAACAACCGATCAATTAGTGCACGGTCTTACAAGTGCATTGTGCTGTTTGCGTTTGTACCAGCCATGAGTTTGTCTCGCCCTTGCGCTCGCCACACAGTTGCCTCCACTCGTAATTTTCAACGACTCTACACATAACTTGAACGATAGTTAGATAGCCAGATAAATCCAGACAGGGAATACTTGTCACAGTACATCTGCATGTTACTGATGTATAGTCTGGTATATACCATCACATCATTAAATCAGCCTCTTTTTACCTGCAACTCGTCGGGACAGGCTTGCAGTAGATACGATGCCAACTGACTCCACAATAAGCTGCTTCTTGGATTGCTGTGAAACAGTAAACAGAGGTGATTCAGCCTGGGCTAAAAATCAACCCAAGTTCGAGTAAAAAGGCCCTTATAGGACAGGAACAAAGGAAAGAAAAGAACTATGGCATCTTACCGATGGATCTCTTTCATGATGTGACTCCGTCCAAGTTTTTGGTTTCCCTATAACGTGATAAGAACAACAGTTACATTGCACTCGAAACACAAATAAAACAAACGTAAAGAGAAACTTGTGACATACCTGCAACGCGTAAAACCGTGAGTAAAGATAGCAAATATCACCTGTCAATTCATCAGTACCTAACAAACAAGAAATTAACACATAATAAACTAAAGGTTTGTGTTAAGATGATAGGCTGAATCATACACGCATTTTGATTGCTTCTAACTTAAGATCTCTCAGAGGACAGACGCATCCATGACATCACCATCAACAAAAACATGCCATTTTTCTCACATAAAACAAAAAGATTCCATGATTCCGTGGGTCAGTACAGTAACAAATCACAGAAGAAATCAAAACGAAGTAAGAACATTATTTACTCAGTAAGCTTCACCTCGTGTGCCGCCTATTATTTCATACCACAGTTTAATGTCATCTGTGATCTCTTACTGGAAAAAACGCATATTCTCCATACTTTTTTCTAGACATTTCCTATGGCATTGGCAAGGAGAATTTGTTTAACAATCAAGATCTTCTTTAGTAGGTGATCATTTCCTTTATTCTCGTGGCCTTAATGTGTGATTCAGGGATGATATTGTTAGGAGAAATTAGATGCTAGTCACTCTTAGGAGTTAAAGGGTTAATGTAAATTGGACTGAATTTTTTTCAAGAAAACCTTTTCGACGTTGGATCCTGGCACAAGTAGGTTACTGCTGCTCTACCGCTTAGGTGTTCCTAAAATGTCTTTTCTCTCCCCTCCCCACCCCTCTCCTCCCATTTATTCTCTGCATAACCTGACTTACCGTTCTCTCGGTTCATAAGTTCACCGAGGGCTGCTCCAGCCAATGTAGCATCACCGCTGACCAAACCAAAGGCACACAGTGCCATGAGCCCGCGATCACAAGCGGGTTGCAACTGAGAACTGCAAGAGAAAACGACGAACATGAAAGTTTTTTTTTTCCAAAAATTTCTCTTAAAATCAAATTTGGTAAATACAACGTTATTGAATCTCCTTTACAGCAAAAACTTTTCCTTCTTTCAATCTTCTTTTTCACCTTTTAAAAAGCATTGCTTTTGCTCCGTCTTTGTCATCAAGCGCGTATCCCAGCATGCCCATGGCGGTTAGAATGCAAGATCTATCGGCATCTGTGGCAGCCAACTGGAAAGCTTGCTCATAAGCTGACATTGAAAAAAGTAATGTTCTTCTTTTGGTAAAAAGAAAAAGTTTGACCTTTTAACGACCAAGATTTGCTTGGTAATTTTCTGATTTAGCTGCTAGACATTTTTCCGTTAATAATGTGCAAGAAAAAATTACGCGCTTCCGATTGCCAGAAAACGAGTGCATTATGTAATACGAATGCAAAGTTGTAACACGAGTGAAAATTACAAATAGGCACTTGTAACACATCACAGAAGAAATCAATCATTGTACGGGCTCGTGCAATTTTTACGTCTTTGACAAATGTACTCGTGTCTATTTACACCAATTTGCATGAGAAATCATGTTATTTTCCATACAAATACGTCGAATGTATTTGAGTATTACATTAGGATACTATCCTCCAAGGTTTTCACAAAAATTGATCTCATGATTACGAACAAGTCTGTGAGTATTTCAGGCTTAGTTGATTACCTTGATAACTTTCTCTTAACTGGCCGCCCATGAATAATGATAGCGCGAGCCCGCACAAGTCATGAAATGCGGTCAGTGGCTTCACTGCTTGGTAAGTCTCGACAGCTTCCTTATATCGTCCCATTGCACTGAAAAGGAAAACAAAAACAAAAGAATAGGTTTCCACGGAGCCAGTAGGAGTATTGCTGATCTTACCCGGGTGTGGTGCCAACCATTACAGGATAACTTCAACAACAACCTAACCCTTACCCCCCCCCCTCCTTCACAAAGAAAAAAAGAAACAACTTACCAGAGCACTCTAGCATAGTTAACAAGTACAGTATTTAAATGTTGCTGATCATCATTCGTTGCACGTTCTCGAAGAAGATCGATTGCACTGAGAATATCAACAACACAACAACAACAAATTAACTGACAACCAACAATTGGTGATAGCACTAGTTTAGCCAATCAGATTTGCGATCGATTCGCCATGAAAAAAATACCCCCGCTTCAGCTCATCAGCATTCAGCAATTTTAACCCGTCTCCAGTGAAATAAGTAAAAAGAGCAAACTCACATTTTGACCCAAATTGTGCCTCACCCATAAATTACAGTAAATGCAAGGGCGAATCAACTTGTCTAAAAATGTAACCAAGCTACTCGTAAGATAATTTCAGTACTAGAAACATGGGGATACCTTTTAAAGGCTTTCTCTGCTTGTAAGAAGAGTTTCTGGTGTTCTAACAGCAGTCCGTACATATTGTAGGCACCAGCATTGTCCCTTACGCGATCTAGGAAAGTAACATGAACACATACCTCTTACCAACCGAGTAAGGGGTCCGTACTGTAAGTTATGGACCGATTATTTTTCCGTTCGGTAAAAATTTATTGGTTTATTGTCCCGCGCTACGCTGGTGAACAATAAACCGAGGGGGAAAAAGGTTCCATAACTTACAGTACGGTGCGAGAAAACGAAGTCAGTAAGATATTCATTATATTTCTGGGTTCAAATAGAGGGGGAAAGATTTCGATTCAAATAAACTTTTGAATTTGGCGGGTTAGACGTGGAAATACGAGACGCTAAATAGACCAACCAGAGTGCACTTACTAACTGAGAGATATTATAAGAAAGCAGTTTTGTCCTTACGTTTTCTCAAACACCCGAATTTTTTCCTTTACAACACAATCGTGGCAAGAAGAAAATTTTTAACTTTTTAATTCATAAAGTTCTACACATAAAAAAATTGCAATACCAGTGTATTTACTGAGGGCAGTGGCTGATTGAAGCACAGCCTTTCTGTATTCCGGATGAAGATGCGATAGAGTGGCGGCGGGTTTTCCTTTGAGTATCACGTGACTCTCACGCGATTTCTCTGATATGAGACTGGAACAGACCCAATGAGAGTAGCCAATGCTACCTTCGACCTGAAAAGAGAAAATGTCATTTACCAAACAAAAACGTTTCAAAGGTTTGCGCACCTTTGCGATAAAGGAGAATAAACAGAAAAGGGAATTTTTAGACAGATTTAGCACGGAGTACACATTGGAAAACAACCTCCATAAAAGCCTAAAAGGAAAGAAAATTCAAGTTGATATATTTTTAGAAACAACACTGTGACTGTGTGGAAGTTACGTCAGCCCTTCAGAGGTTCTTCATGGAGAATTTCATACTTTTAAAAAATTTCGAGAGAAAAAAAAAGCTACTGAAGAATGAAAAGCAACAAATGATCACAAGATTGCTAGGGATGGAGAAACTTGCAACTAAGTTTTTTAAGATGCACAACGTTGACAAAAAAAAATTTTGATAATGTTTGGAAATCATCCATTTTGAAACCATTCTGGTTAAACTTCATGGAGGTAATAAGCCTAAATTCGATTTTGGTGACGACCTGAAGTGATTTTTTTTTTTTTTAATAAAGTAAGGTGTTCCTTACGTGTGAGCCCAATTCCGTTGTGTGTCGAAACAAGTCCATAGCTTCCTCATTTCCAATAATCTCAGCAATGGTTGCCTTTAAATTGAGGAAAATAATTGCAACATATAACGTTACCTTAACAATGCAAACATCACTGAAACAAACAGAAGCTTCCCCTACACTGAAGAATGAAAATAATACTCCCTAAATGTGAACTATACCATAAGGCGGAACCCAATTATACGAGAGCTTGCTGGCAGGCTAAACCGACGGCGATAAGAGGTTTTTAAGGCCGCGGTGGAACGCTGATAACCAGCCGTTATTGAAACCCTTCATGTTAAAAATAGGTCTTTTATACAAACATTACGCTATCGACACTGCTGATCCTAGCAGTATGCAGGACGCGTGTCATATGAACTTTGTAACAGACCTCGCTCACCGTGGAGTCTCTATGATTCAGTGGTAGAGCACCGGAACGCGGAATCCGAAGGTCTGAGGTTCGATTCCTCATGGGTACTCTGATTTTTTTCTATGTCTCACGCTCGTGACAAGACGAAAAAAACATCATTCTCGAGGTCTTTTATAATCTACAAACATCCTTTCCTGGCACTCCTTTGCAACCTCTCATGTGCTACTAATGTTAAATAACTCACTAAACCAATCAGCGTAGTCTAGTTTCAATTTGCACACCACTGGTGGCGTACTTCGAAAGTTAACTTTATGTCCGCATTCAGCGCATAAGGTGTAAGAAGCAACACTTTTGCCTGAATTTTCTGGCTATTTTCGCTTACCCAAGGTACACTTTGATAACAGCTGACACCAACAGGTTAATCATGATTAAAAGTGTGATAATGATGATGATGATAACGACGATAATAATTATCAATAATATCTAATACCTATATTTACCTGACCAATCCACGCAGCTGTATACGATGGATCTAAAGCCTGAGAATTCTTGAATGCCTCATGAGCAAGCTGTAAAGAACAACGCGAAAATAAAAATACTTATTGTTAAACAATCACAATGTTTAAAGCATCAATCTTGAAAATATTTCTACCTGCAGTATGTGCTTCGCAAACCAAAGAAAAAATTTTCCTTCCGTCAGTGGCTTCCTTAATCGCTAGTGGCAAATACCAAGTGTATGTAAAAACAACAATTCTTAGTTTATGAGTATTTGGTTCAACCTGACATTCACGTCGCCCTCTACGATGTGTGAGCGCGTAACAGATTACATTACGTATTGCAGGTGAGTGTGATATTTAACCCTCTACGTCCTAACATCAGTATGCATATTCTCCATACTGTTCTCTAGACAGTTCCTTAGATGCTGATCAGGAGAATTTGCTTCTCAATCAAGAGCTTCTTCAGTTGATGATCATTTCCTTTATTCTCATGACCTTCATGTTTGATTCAAGGGGTGATATTGTTGGGAGAAATTAGATGCAAGTCACGATTTACCTCAATTTTACCATGCTTTAGATACAGCACTCCTAAGTTTGTCCAAGCTATAACATTCTACAAGCAAAACATAAAATTGTTTGAATACTTTTCTAACAACTGCAGGGTCTATTGAAATGGTCGAAAAAAGGACGAAAAAAACTGAATTCTTAGGCATGCAGCTATCATTACAATTATAGTTGCAGTACGAGTACACATAACAAAGCTCTTTACTAATGGTTATTGTGTTACAGCGGACAAATGTGGAGGCGTTGTCAAGTACAAAGTGTAAGTTCCAATTGGACATGATCACTTCTTGTTCAATCTTTAGGCAGTTTTTGTCGAGTTTTGTAGGATTAACTGGTTCCGTTTACCGAAGCTAACACTTACATTTGGTTCAGTCTTGATCGACATGATGAATGAATGCTGGCTGAGGTCTGGATTGTTGACTTCTGTAAGAATAACAATGTTTAGCGTGTTTTAGGTATTTTGCAAGTCCGCGAACCCCTAATGTCAAAGTCGTTTTCCACCAAAACACTTCAGTCACACCTGAGGTACATGTCAATACAGTTTTTTCTGGGCCCAGTTGTTCGGAGGTTGGACAACCCTATCTAGTGGATAAATCTCTATCCGTTGGATAGCGCATTACGTTTTGCTATCACCTATCCTATGGATAGTGATTTACCGTTAAATGACGCTATCCGCCCCTTATGCAACTGGGCTCTGGTAGATAAATTTATTGTTAATTTACACTGATAAGGCTTTCATTTCGACTATGGTTTGCATGAAGTATTTCGTCTCTTAGCTTTATCTTCTCCAGTCACACTCTGCAATCATTACCTCTAGATGCCGCCACTACTCCTAAACTATTCCAAAGTTTGTGGTTAGACGGCTGTAGGGTTAACCCTTTCTTCAAAGCCTGGAAGAGTCAAATAGAAACACTTGGGTGACATAGAAGGAAAATTTTTCTGTATAAATTACACAAGCTCTCAACCAAACAGGTGCAAACTAGAACCAAGTGCGACTTGGTCCTACGCTTTTTCCCGCACACGAAGTTGTTTACATGCAATTAATCTGAATTATCGTTCAGTAAAACTCCAACTTTGCGCCAACTTGAACCAAAATCGATAGTACCCCTTGACTTCCGCTATACATTTACTGTACCATCGATCACTCGAACCACTCGCTATGTAAAAATAATTTTCGTTCCCCTCAGGTCGAGTCATTTTCTATACAACGTTCCCTTCCCTTGAAATTTTTTAAATTATAACTTCTTACAGGAGCATTTTTTAAATTGCTCACCTGCAGAGACCTATGCGCCATCTTCTCTTTCATATCTCCCTTCAAAATCTGTGAGGAAACGGGAATAGAAAATAAGAAGAAAAAGAAAAAAAGAGTCGAAGGGTTTCCCATTTATTTGAATAAAAGGCTTCTTTTTATAGAGATTGATTTAAAAAATAGCCTCTCAATCGAGTGTCGTACAAGTGTTTCAGGCTTCTTAAAATGGTTGGACGTTATGCCACTACCTTGATCAATAACAAGGCAAACCAAAACAGCTTTGATTTGTAATGTAGCGCTCGCTCAAAATGGCTCCTCGCAATTGACCAGCATTACGTTTATCCAAGAGACACTGCTGAACACCACTCTATTTGACATGCGGTCAGGTGTTCTTTTTTACGGGAAGCGCGATAGCGTGGCATGGCCGAATATCGCGCACCCCGAATAAAGGAACACCTGATCACAGGTTACATTCCATTAGACCCACCTTGGCTTGCTGAAAGCAGTTGAATCCCAAATCACCCCACAAGCTTCCACAGTCAGGCTGCAGTTTCAATGCTCTTCCATAAGCACTACGTACAGGAAAGAAAAAAAAAATACAACATTCATGATACGTTGAAAAATTATTATCAAGACTGTGAAAACATCGAGAGAACGCGTTCAAATTAGACAAAAGCTTTATGTACGTATTGGGTTTGGGCAAAAGATTATAGTTTATAATCTCTTAGTCAGGGTGAATAATGACACGAAGGCTTGAAAAAAAGTTATTTATATCAAACAGCCCACCTATAGAGGATTCCCAAGGTTTATCAATTGACGAAAACCGTGGTCTAAATTTAATTCCGTTTGATTCATTGGCTTTAAGTGTCTCCGGAAAACGTTGATTGTCATGTAATCAGTTCTTACCCTGATCCCAAAGCAAGTAGCTGTTTCTTATCCAGATCATTGTGCTCTCCGTGAATGTGCTTCTTTAAATTATCTGGAATTGTTCCTCTGCAATGTAAACACCACAGACACATTTACACAGCGACCACAGATATCCCACATATTCTACTCTTAAAAACCATGAACATTGTCGATCGCAGTGAGCGGAAGGGATTTTGACTTGTGACTTTGGCTTCGTTTTTGCTTTAATTCGCGCTGTGATTGGTCCAGAAAACTAGCGCCAGTCTCTCAACCGTAGCTGATGAAAAATTAAAAACCAATCACGACTTGGTCGCCCGCGTTTTCCCGCACTTTAGGCAGTTTGATTGTTTTTACTCTGAGTTCCCGTTGGCTCTTAAAGGTATTTTCCTTTCCTCTGAAAGGCCGTTGTTATTCCTTTGGTTTTGGTTTCACAACACTCGATCGAAAAGCGCTCTATTAAGCAAGAGTTTGATGTACAACGTGGGTGCTCGCCATTCACACAAAGTGGGTCGAGATATGATAGTCGGTGGAAATTGCACGTACTCCTGAAACCTGATTTCCCAACATGGAATTATCAGAACAGCCAATAAGAACAAAGAAAGAAATCAAAAGGATCAAATGAGAATTCAGAGTAAAAACAAGCAAACTCCTTAAAGCGCGGGAAAACGCAGGTGACCAAGTTCTGATTAGTTTTAGTTTTCCATTTGATTGGATAGGGACAAGTTTTCTGGACCAATCACTGATCGAGGAAAAGAAAAACCAAAGCAATCCCAGATTACTCTTGCCTTATATTTAGTTTGCATTTTACTGCTGTCCTACCTAATGGAGATGTTGGACACAGGATGAATAATGGTACAGCAGTCGCCGATAAGTTTCCACAGGCATGACAGACCAGGTTTGCAATGCACTGCTCTACAAAATAAAACATAAAACTAAGATTCGATATTTCTGCTCTTTCTGCCTACCTTTGCGAGTAAATAGGTCTACAGACGGTTGCGTTAACCCTTTAAACCTTAAAAGTGATCAGCATCTAATTTTTCTTCACAGTAATATCGCTAAATCATTCATTTAGGTTATGAGATTAAAGGAAAGGATCGCCAACCTTAGAGGCTTTGATTGCTAGACAAATTCTCCTTATCAGTACTAAAAGAAACGTATGGAGGAGAATATGGATACTGATGTTAGGGTGTATAAGGAGACGTATGCTCGAGAAATCACATCTCCACCAATAAAAGGAAAACTGAAATTACGCAACAGATCGCGTTTTAAGATTAAAAAAACATCCTGCCCCTTCCAAAATTGTCTTCAATGAGCTAAAAACGCAGCACCTCTCTATCCCAAATAATGAGGTCAATAACAGTAAAAAGAGTACAATAATGAAGATGAGCGTGGGTAAAAGTAAAAGTAAAAGTAAAAGTAAAAGTAATAGGGATAAAATTGGTATACGATTATAAAACATTACGATCGCATCAGTAATCTGTCAACAATTTTGTCGCTGGTTGTCGTTTGATGTTTGTTCGTATATTACTCACGATCGGGTATGACAAAGTTGCTCGGGTTTTTTTATTTTTAATTTTTAACGAAGCTGCGCATAAGTAAATAAGTACACGACCATGCAGTGTAGGCAAGGTTTAAGAATTACTGTTGGCGTTTGGATGCAAGATTAAGTGATCAAATATTACGAAAAAGAGGAAAATAATGTTCACTTACCGAGCCAAAACGTGAATGGCTGCCATTACACAATCCACAGCCTTCCCATTAAAATCCTGCTGCAGCGCGGATCGTGCTTGGTTGAGATACGTCTCACCGAGTCCTACAAATTAAAACAACAAGAACAAAGCTCTGTGAGGATCACGTAAAAGAAAAAGATTTGAACTCTACTTCATAGAAAACAGATACTCTTCATCGAGAATGTTATTACAGTTAAATCTGTATTGAGCGAACATGGGCTGAATTGCCGAGTTTTCCCTCCGGAATTAGCTTTGAAAAGTTAAAGAACTTGTTTTCAGCGGACACCTTTAAGAAGTGGATGCAGAAACTAAAACTGAGCGCTCTTGAGACAGGAAGACTGTAGTGAGCGAACAGTTGCAGTTTCCTTTCACTGAGAGCAAGAACAGGTGAAGATCATTGAGCTTGCTTCTAAAACACTTGTTCTGGCATTTGCTTGTATCCATCTATCTTCTTGAACAATTAGTTTGAAAAGCATTTGATTACTAGCCCTTTTCGACTCAGGAGTATATAATCAACTTATGATGCGTAGTCCATGAAACCTCTTTTAAGAAGCCACCCTGGCTGAATTAAGCGGTAAACACTACCGGGGGTCTCCCTGGGTGTCAGTTTCATTCGGGTTTCACTGAATTTGAAGTTTTCAAATTAACACAGTTAAATCATATTGAGACTTTGCCTTTCATTGCAGGAACATAATCATGTTGCATTTCCAGAATCAGTTTATATTCCTTGATTGCTTCACTGTGTACACACAATAACTGTTTAATGGCCGCCAACCTAAAAGAAATTTTCATAAAACCGATTAGAGCGCCGACAAAAGTAACCTCTTACTAACCGAGCGCAAGGGTCGTCATTCCCAGATATCTTTAGTGTCTGGATCCAATTTCATCGTTCACAAAATAACTCGCGAGGAAGCATGTTTCACGAATAACTACATTCTCATCACACATTATCAGTTGAAAACTATCGCAAATGACCTCAAACCTTTCCAACTGAATCCCTGTCCACAAATTGCATTGAAACACAAAACGAAATTACATTAACAGCTCTCATTTTAAGCGACAGCGAATGAACACACAGAGCGTACACTTACTGGTAAAGGCAGTAGAGCGAAGATGGGTCAAGCTGTGAATATACAAAAATATCATGATTATTTTGAACCATAAAAAGTACAAATAAAATGATCGACCGTCTGATGGACTGACTGACTGAAGACCGATTGACAGACAATCAGACTGCCTGATGGACTGACTGACTAATTGAAGACCGACTGACAGACAGATAGACAGACTGACTGACTAATAGACTAACTGACTGACTGACTGACAGACAGACAGACAAACAGACAGACAGATAGACGGACAGACTGACCGACTTACTAGCTGGTTGTTCACTGACTGATTGAGTTCTGCATTTATCTAATAGAGTAGGGAGAAACAACGTTTCTATAAAGGGCTATATAACAGAGATACTCGAGCTTATTTTTACGTAACTACAGCGTTACGAATTGAGAGCGGAAAGTTCAAACCTCAGAAGCTTTTGTAAAAGCCTTCATAGCCGCGATGTAGCTTCCACGACTCATATACGCTTCACCAAGACATTCCCAGCAATGCCTAAAAGAGAAAGGAAAACAACATCAGGAAGCATATTCTCCACACTGTTCCCTGTACAATTCCTAAGGGGCTGAAAAGGAGAATTTGTTTGACCATCAAGAGCGTCTTTAGTCGATGATCATTTCCTTCAATCTCGTGACTTGAATGTTTCATTCAGGGGGGATATTGTAAGGTGAAGTAAGATGTTAGTCACTCTTGGGGCTTAAATGGTTAAAGGAAAATAACTGTAGAAGGAACTAAATGAAAATCAGAATGTAACATTGCACTTGTCACCTACCTGTCTTTGAGATCAGCTCTTAGGGTACTCTGAAAACTTATACGAGAAGCAATTCATATTTAGAACTCAAATAATAATGATTTCTTTAAGATAAAAGAACAACAAAAAACAACCAGAAAACCTTAGTGCGCATTTCAATCAAGTGTTGTAAATTAAAACCATAGTAATCACGAGAGCCAATCAGATGAGAGGGAGGTAACTCAAGCAGCCGATGAGAACTCATAGTAAACCCAAGCAAATTGCCTGAAGCGCAGGAAAATGCGAACTCGTGACCAAGTCACGATTGGTTGCGGTTTTTAATCTGATTGACCGAGAAAGTGGCGGGAGTTTTTTCTGGACCTATAAGATAGCGAAGACGACAAAACCAAAGCGACCCCGGTTAACTTTCGACAATCAACTGAAAATGCTTTAACGATCATCTTAATCTAATAATAAAACAAACACACACTAAGATTGGTTGACAGTCTCAATGTGTCCCGAGAGGGAAACACAGGGAATCGATTAACATTTTTATAAATAAACAAACAGGATATAAAATAAACAAACAGGTCCTGAAAAAACACCCCAATTTGCTTTCCTCTTTCGCGGGTTGTTGGTAAATCAGTCATTACAACGTCTATGGATAGGAGCAACTTCGGACTGTCATTTCGGCAATACCGCTGCGGCTCTCATGCATATTTAGCGTTTCTAACGCCGCACTCATTCGAGGACAGAGTTCAACTCATAAATCAATTGCCAATATATACATCTCAATAAACGAGTTCTAAGTCCGTGCTGTAAGTCACGGCCGAAATTTTTCCGCTCGGATTTATGACCCAGACGTGAAACGCGCGGGCTATAAATCGAACAGAAAAACGAGGTTACGTAACTTACAGTATGGACCCCGAAAAAAACCATGTTAGTAAGATATTCATTATATCTCTCGGTTCAAATAGAGAGGGGAAGATTTCAATTCAAACAAACTTTTGAATTTAGCGGGCCGTTCAATGAAATACGGCCCGTTAAATTAACCAATCATAGCACACGTACTAGCTGACAGATATAATAACGCACATGCATAGCGCACGTACTAACTGAGAGATTGTTTGGTCAATGCAGTGTAAAACAAGGATGTTCTCATTTGTCAGTTGTAAAGAACTGGTGCTCTCTATTTATGTTTTATTTTTCTTAATTTTTTCCATCTACATCGTCAATTCGAATTTGAGCCGGTTTCACGATCGTTTCCCTTACGATAAACAAAACAATTTCCTTGCGAATTTGTCGAATAGATCTCTAAAGATCGTATCAAGATAACGATAACTGAACTCACCATGATATGGCCGCTGTACTTTCGTTCTGTTTCAGGTGAAATAATCCGAGCCGTAGCCACGCCCATTTACCCCTTGAGAGAACAAGAAAGAACACTATCAGCTAGTGCAGTTTTTATTTGATCAGTAAGCTTCTAAAAGTTGTGCGCAGTTGGGTTCACATAACCGCACCAAACTTGTAACCAAAAAGTTTGATGATTTTCCTGACCAATTACCACTACTTACTATGGTTTGACAACATAAAATATTTGTAACCAAACAGAGGAATAGATGGAATTACTAAAAGTAGATATGAATACGTACTCTCCGGGCGATGATGCAGACGTAACATTCTTGTACAAGTTGAGTGCAGCAACCTAAGATAACCATACAGTCGCAAAATTCAGTAAAGAAATAAACTGAACGAATAGAGCGCTTCTCGACTGAGTGTCGTAAAACCAAAACTATAGTAAGCACAACAACCAATCACAGTAAGGAAAATATCAGGCGGAACCAATGAGAAATCAAAGTGAGTAAAAACAAGCAAACTGCTTGAAGCGCGGGAAAATGCGAGTGAGCAAGTCGCGATTGGTTTTAGTTTTGATACTGATTGGTTCAGGAAGTGGCCTTAATCACACAACCGAGTAAAGCAAAACCAGAAAATTCCCAGATTACTCTCAACATTCAACTGAGAATTGCCTAAGAAAGCAAAATTTCCTAAGACAATTCAGTGCCATATAATTTGCTGTTCATGAGCATAAGATGGAAAAATCAACCAGCATGGTAACTTTTCTGGGCTTCGTAGTGAAAGAAAAAAAAGATGAATTTATTTTGTTACGAGCGCGGGAAAAAGAAAAAAAAAAATTTAGAGTTCCCACGAATAATTGACTTCAGATCCTCGGGTTCCGAGCACAGATTCAGATGCTCTCTAAAAGACACGTTTCCCATATGAACTTAGTAACGGCCTATCTTACTGTATTCTCTGTGGCTCAAAAGTGAAACATCGAGGCGCGAGATCCGAAAGTCAGGGTGCGACTCCTCACAGGGACTCTGACTTTCAGAGCATTTAAACTACGTATTTAGAAACAACTTGTTCGCAGATTGAACCATTTCATTCACCTCATTTCCCACTTCCATAAGAGAATCTCCTAAAGCTATTCCAGCGACAACGGAACTTGGATCCAGATCAAACGCTTTCTGATAACATCTGCTAGCTTTGCTAAACAGTGATATAAGAATTAATAATGAATCATTCCGATATCAACGACAATTCATCCTTTTGCAAATCATACAATATAGATCAAATCCAGTCATGTGACTTCACTGTTGTCAACACACCACTGCACAAATATTCATCAAATTTTAAAACAAACAGATACCAGGTTTCCGTGGGTCTGTTCAGTGATGATCAAAGATAACGTCCAAAAGTGGTTGGACAAAAAAGGCCCACAAGACGCAGTAATGTTCTTACCACATTGTGACGTCTTCTGTGATCTTTTCAAGTACAGACCCACGTTAAGATGAAATCAATTTGATTTTAAAATGAATAAATAAGCAAATGCTGTGAATAATGACGTCAATTTCGAAGTTTTTGACATTGCACTCGAAATCATGTTATTACTTCTAATAACATGTGTGAAAGATAAATCTGTGTCGACTACAGTACCTTAAATCTTTCAATACTCCATGGTAGTAATGTCCCAAGTACAGAAATGTCGGAGAGTAATATGAATCCAACTTAGCTGCCTGAAAAAAATTGTGCCAGAAATTTTCATGGTTTAATTTTTAACAGGAAATTGAAGGAGAAATACTGTTTTTTTTAATGAAAGAATGACATGCCCAAATGACAATCGTAAGTACATTTTCGTGCAAAATTAAGGAGATTGTGTTTATTATCCTTCAGAGATTTTACAGGTGTGATAAAATGTTTACGAACAGCTTACTATTTGCTGCGTGAGATGTTTTCTTTTGACTGTGCTTTGGTAGACTTTATGCACAAACAAGAATTTCCCTTTTTATGTAACAACCAAAAACCCTCTCTCAACTTGAATTAAATTTTGAAAGAAAGTTATCGCAGTGGACTTAAGGTTTGAAACTTGGGGAATATCACTCGGATGATATCCTTACATTTAGACCAAACCCCTGTGGGCAAAAATATTTGAGATGGATCACATAGAGATGTAAACCAGAGTTACTTAAACCCTTCAAAGCCCAGAAGTGATTAACACATAACTTCTCCCCATAATATCCATACATTATCCAGGAAAAAGGTAATGAGATTACTCAGACTTATCACGTGGAAGTTGTCATCTTGATCTAACACCAGATTCTCGTAACTGAAATGTGTAGCAGCCAGAGGGGAGAATGAACAATCTGATCCTTGGAAGTTAAAGGGTTATTAGGAATTACCAGGTTAGATACAGTGTAGGACAGTGAGGGAACCATGTTACAAAATTATTAAAAAGCAATTTTTTTACCTTTAAAAACTCTGCCAAGCATTTTTTCTTGTCAGCTCTCAAATTTCCATTCATTTCCCAGTACAACTTGCCAAGAAGAAAGTGGTAAAATGCACAATCCTCACATTTCTCTATTGCTTCCAAAAACCTAATTTCAATTTTAATCCATTAAAACAACCACTTAAAATCATTCTACAACATAGTTGTAGAGAAACCTTTTCACTCCATATCGTAGTTAATATGTCATCTTTGAATAAATTTGCTTATAAAAATAATTAAACAGCATGTGCAAAGGTTATTTAAAAGAACTGTGATCAACAAACACCTCTTGCTTCTCTGCAAGGTGCAGGTGGCTAATTCAAGTTTTCAATAAATATTAAGCCAACTAAACAATAAGGTTGAATGTCATACCATCCCTTTGACACAGAGGAGTGATAGCATTTGAATTTCTCCTCACAATATCACATCTGAATCAATCATTTAAGTATCAAGAATAAAGAGAATGGTCACAATCTAAAGAAGCTTTTGACTGTTAAACAAATCCTCTTTATTAGCATCTTAGGAAATGTACAGTGAACAGTATGGAAAATATATGTGCACACCAATGTCAGGGTGAAAAGCAGGGTTCTCCCTAGTTTTCAACACAACAGGTAAGGGACCTTTTCAAACCAGTAAAGCACATTTGAAGCTTCAGGTGGCTGGTCATTCTCAACTTTGTCATTTCCTAAAGCAGACAGTACACTGCGCCTATCAAAAATTCTCCATCGAAAAATTCATAATGTGAATGATACACATTTAGGTTCAGAGGTTGAAAAAAATAAAGTAAAATTTTGTTTAAAAGTATTATATTTGACTATGCCCTTTCCCAACAGCTTATAACGTAAACTGGTCTCCCTTTGATTTTGGGTGATATCTTTGGCTTCACTTACATGGCATATTGCTGGAAAATCAGCAGTGTCAGCTACGAATCGCATTGCTATGAAATCGAATCACATCGACTAGCTGAATTTGTGTTCTAATCGTCTAAAATTCAGAACTTTTACGCTGTCGAGAGATTTTATTTTCAAGGCTTCTTTCAAACCGCTGTCTCAAACACATTTAAAGTAGAATTTCACGATGAAGACTAGCTTTGTCCCTTTGTCAAGGCAGTTATTTCTGGCAATTGGCTGCTTTTCCATCGCTAGTATGTAACCTTTGTTTTGTTTACCCCTAAAATTCTTGTAAAGCTTACCAGCCACCCTCTGGACAGAAACAATAGCATTGTTTGCTATCGTTTCATCGTGGAAACTGAACAACTAAATGACACCACATTTGCATGTGCAGAGAACTAACAAATGTCATGAGATTTAGCAGAAAGCCCACAAAAAATCACTCTTGCTTCAAAATTCGAAAGGTACCAATCAGTGTTAGCTAACTAAAGCACACATAGGTCTATAATAGTACACACTGTTGGCTTGTTATTACACTTTCTTATCAAATTAGCTCACCATAAATGCGTATTTTTTAAGGGTTCTGAGTGTTTACAGGTGGTAATAAGTGTTCTTACAAGCAGTAAATTTTACCAGTTACCACCTGATAAGGAGAACCCTGGAAAAGGGTTGATGTGCATTTAAGCATACCTTAACTCTGCATCATCAAAGTAACCTTCATGGAAACTTATTTGACCCTGCACGAAAAAAAAAAATTAATAAAACAGGAAACAATCTACCAATTGTCAAGGTTTTGAGAAGCTAAAAGGCTGGCGTATATGAGCTGAAGTAGAAAAGTACACTTAAATATTAGTTGGCAAGAGGGAAAGATACAGTCACTGTTTTAACCTATGTTACCTGCAATGCCAGAGCTGATGGACAGCTTTTGTCAATAGTTAGAGCTTTTGCACAGATCTGAAACAAAAACTAATTTTTAAGTCACAAACTCACAATACAAAATCATGACGATCAGTTCTCATATCAACACAGTTTATATGAAGACACACTGTAAATGACTGTCACAGTAAATTCACCTGTGTTGCCTGCTGAATATCACCAAGAGTGAGATGTGCTTGTCCGAGTCCTGTAAGCAGTTGAACCTCCTCTTCAGATCCACCATCTGTCAGTAACTAAAATGAGGAAATACTGAAACTAATTTCATTTGCATTTCACATTCAAGTTCAAAGAAGACATCAAACACTTATAATTGCAACCAAAAGGCAGAATTTAATGTACACCTTTAGTCAGCAGGTCCTCTACTTCAGAAGAAGGACCATAAGTCTGTAAAATTATTGTAGCATCATGCATGTACCTTCTCATATATTTTGCTGGCCAGTGCTGCAGTTGATGGACCTTGTTTCAGAAGAGCTTCTGCCATTGCTATGCTACATTAAAATTGAGGGGTTAATAAGTTTATAAGTTAAATAAAGATTCAATTATTTGTAAACGTATATCATTTCATAAAATATCCTATAGCTATGTAACCCTCACAAAACTTTGCAAAACTGCTGTTAATTAAAAGCTATATTTAAGTGAACACAGGAACAAATGTTCTCATACCTTAAAATTGTCTTGAGCTCTTTTCGTGAATCAGGTATTGATGAGTTCATGCATTCAAGACCTTTTAACAAAACAATAAAAGAGAAATCACTATACAACTAAATAAATAAATTAAAAACCTGTCATATGTAAAATGTAACAACATTTTAAACTTTTCCTACTAATTTTTTCAGCATACTGCAAACAGTATTGTGTGTTAAAAAATATGTAAAAGAAGACCTCATTTATCGCAGATTATTGTTCAAGTTTGAATCGTCAAAGCACTAACACAAACCTTCCTTTGCACTCTTCTCAGCTTCTTGGTAATCGTGGAGTTGAATCTGTAACTGACAAAGAGTCAGCCAACCATATGGACAATTAGTGAACGACTGCAACCCTAAAATCGAGCAAATGAATATTAAAAGTTTTCATGACATTTAATTCCTGCCTTAAACTCACTTGTAATCTGTTCAAGGAATGGATATAACTCTCCACTCCACATATAGTATGAATGTGTTCCCAATGAAATCACAAACATCTCTACGAAATAGAGAGCTATGAAAGTAATGCTATACAATCATCTTCTTATACTATGAGTACATGATAAATTACTGGTAACTATTAAGTAAATAGCATACAATTTTAATATTGATGAATCTTGAACAATTTCACTTATTAATTTGAAGTTCACTTTGTGTAATTCATGTTGCTCTTTTCCATCACTGTTTCTTTGTCATTTATTCTTGTTACTTCCAGTGTAATTCTCTCTTCTCACAAGCTGAGTATTATTAGTTTACATCTTTTAAATGTAAATTACCTCTTTAACTCTCATGAGTGACCAAGACAGAATTTCTCCTTACAATATCAATACAATATCAACCAGATTTTATAAGTGATGAGAACAAAGAAGAATATCAATTTGGGGACAATAAGTTGATCCAATACTTAATTCTCTGAATTAACATTATAAGAATTGTATGGCGGACAGAAAGGAAAATTATAAATTTGACCTAGGAGTTCAAGGGTTAAGGCGATTGACTGACAAAAATAACATGTATCAGACTGACTCTATAGAACTTTCACACAACTGCCTCCTACTGGTTAACCCTTTAACTCCCATAAGTGATTCATGTGTAACCTCTCCCTACAATATCACACACTATTCACCAAACAGGTGATGAGGATATTCAAAATAATGTAGAAGTTGTGATCTTGATCCAACACCAAATTCTTGCAATTACCGGCAATTTACAAGGAAATGCTAAGCAGCTAGAGGGAATAATTAACAATCAGGTCTTGGGTGTTAAAGGGTTAAATTTATTTTCACCTTTTTGTAGTAATGTTTGTGCCATTACAAAGTCTTTTTTAAGAAAAAGAACACTTCCTAGTCCCACCATGCCAATCTCTGATCCAGGGTGAATGTGATACAGTCTTTGGATTGTAATAGTCATCTCTTGAGTTGCTGTAAATGATGCAAAATGACAATAATTACCAATTCATGTCTCATACCAAATGGTAATTCATGAAGGAATCAAAGACCCTTTTCTTGCTTTGTTATCCTCAAGGTCACAATTGAGCAGTAAAGCAGAATATCGATCCCTTTGATAACTCTAACTGCTTAAGATTAGCTGAATGATTGTCTCATTTTGTCGTTAATGAAGAATTTGCTGCCCCCAAACTCCTGATTTATTTTCATCCGATACTAGGGTCCAAAATTTAACTCTGTCATCACAGAGCCATGAAGCAATAAAATTTAAATAGCATCACTTGGTCACCAAAAAGTCCATTCTCTTAAATTTTGCCTCACAACAAAATACAAAGCATAAATACCCATTTCTACTGGTGCATAAAAAGTAGTTTGGTTTGTCAAAGAGCAATGAAAACAAAACAAAGGATGACAATTTTTGACACATGAGCATGACTTTATATGAAATACATTGAAGACTTCATGTTATTCACCAGCTAACAACTGCAGTAGGGTAAGGGAGGGCATGTTGAAGCTTTAAATTGATCGGTATAATATTCAACACTGTGGATATCTACCACTTTGTGTCACACCAATTTCAATTGTTATGCAGCACTTACGTGAAGATGTCAGAGACTGAAGAAAAGCCTTTGTAAGAATTTCCAAGGCAACCACTGAGGCAGGATATAACTTAATCATGGATTGAGCTTCACTGAAAATCTTTTGTCTCTGCTCATTGTACAATTCATTTTCCTCACTGACCTGTTTAGACAAAGAAAAACAGAATTGATCCACACTATAAACCAAAACAGATTGCTGCAATTATTTCAAGTGACTTTTGTTATTTTGTATTTTTCCCCTTTTTGTGGTTGATGAAGTATCTCAAATCCAGAGTTCAAAGTAAGTGAAAAAACTACTGTGCTTGCCATGCATTTCTTTTTAGCATGCCTTGGTATTCTGTGTCTTAAACAGTTTTCAATGATTCTCCACTTTCACTTATAATAAAGTTCAGATATGACACACGCTGTCATAGGTGGAAAAACTTTCTTTCCGTACATTTTAATTCTTTATTATAGTGGAGCTTGCAGAGGATAGCCCCATAATTATACAAAATAGTAGTAACCCATCAAGTCAAAAAATTTGGATGTACAACCATACAACCATACAAGGTGCTACTTTAAATATGCATGGTCAACTGTACTGCGGACACACCAATGCCACAGCTTTGTTCAGTAGTCCAGTGGTCAGTGCACTGGGCTCCGAGTCAGATGACCTGAGTTCTAGTCCTGGCCTTGGCAAGGCGTTGTTCATTAGAGACATGCGGGAAAAAAAAAATGCAAGCTCCACTTTTAGGCTTGGCTAAATCTATATATTATAAAACAAATAGTTCAGTAATAGATTGCAGAGGACATCAAAATGTGGTAAGAACAACAGTGACACCCTCGCCTGCACCTATGTGCCACTTTTTTGTTCTTACCACATTTTGACGTCATCTGTGATCTATAACTGAACAGACGCACAGCAACTTGGAGTCTATTTGTTAATTATATAATAAGCTCAGTTATGCACGTATTCTGATTGGTTCTCACTTATGATCTATTGGAGGACAGACGCATATATGACATCATTGTTAAAACTTTTTTTAATTCTTTATTATATAAAACAAATAGATTCCAAGTTGCCATGCGTCTGTTCAGTAATAGATCACAGACGATGTCAAAATGTGGTAAGAACATCAGTGACACACTCGGCTTTGCCTCGTGTGCCACTTTTTTGTTCTTACCACATTTTGACATTATCTGTGATCTATTACTGAACAGACGCACGGCAACTTGGAATCTATTTGTTAAATAGAGGATAGAGCTGAGCTAAAGCTGTCACGCCATCTGCCAAATTGTACTACTGGTATGTCCGACTTTCTCAAGGACTTTTCCCAAGTTTCTTTCTTTAATTGACAGTGAAATTCCGGAACAGGCGAGTCGGCAAATAGCAACAGAAAAACCAAACAAAGGTTTGTCAACATGCCACGCGGCGTAAGTGACGTTATTATAACGTGAGCAGAGACGAAAATCCTCCAAGACTAAACGAAATGGACAGTCCGAGTTTTGAAGGTTTTCACACTCAGTTAGATTGCAAGCTTATGTACGGTAATAAAAGTCAAACACAGCTAACACTCGTGTAGTGTATATAGTTTCGTGTTCAAAAACAAAACAGAACAAAAAAGGACAAAACAGGAATTATGAAAAATATAGCCGGAGTGGCATAACTGTAATGATGACGGTGTCATGCTGAGGTCCAACGCGGCTAGCTCATCATGGCGATCTCCGGTCATCACAGTCAAGTAAGCCTCAGAAATTACATCGGCTGCCCTTCGAGAGAACAACTACAAGCTTGCTCTGATATCCTTTCCGATGCGTCGAGTGGAAGGCCAAATAAGTCATTGTAGCCGAGTTCTACGGCGCTGTCATCCCGAGTAATATTCATGTTCCGGTAAATTCGGCTGTCGTTCATTCATAAAACACACGCTTAAACAGTTTGTTTTCTAATCGTCATATGAAAAATTAGCGTGTTTTTATGGGCCACAATTCAGCCGGATTTCTCTGAACATTTCGCTTCAGATTCTGTATTCGAGAGACCAAAAGGCTTCAGAGGAACGAATCAAATTCGATCTGCCGAACTACTAAGTTTGTAAACAATTGCAGAATATGAACTTTGATGGGTTTAGAACTTTGATGGTTTGACATTTTTGACAGCTTTAGACTTGCACACCCAATCAGATTATTTGTACCATTCTAACAGGGATTCTGATTGGCTTATGGCGTGCTTTATGAGAGTGTAGTGCATTGACGACACTGTTGTTCGCTTAGAAAACAAAGTTTGTTTTGAAATTATAACATAGCTAGTAAATTTGTCTAATCAAATTCAATTGCGCGAGCGTGCTTCATATTCCTATTGTGCACGCTCATGACGTTAGCAAACAAATCCCTCCAGAAAAAATTTTCCATCGGGTTGAAAATGTTATAAAACAATTGGTTCATACGTCAGCTGTGTGTTCATCGAGATATAAAGCACTTGAGAAGTTTGGAGAGCACTCGAGAAGCAAGATGTTGCTCTCGGCTACGCCTCAAGCAACTCTTACGCCTCTTTCGTGCTCTCCAAACTTTCCGCGTGCTTCATATCTCGATGAACACACGCTGATGTCAGAACCAATTGTTAATGAGTATGAATGATTCTTATATATTTGCTCACTTTGACATTCCTCAGTTTTCTTTTAGTTCATTTCTCCAAGACAACTACATCTACGCCGACATTTTACCCACTTTAAGCTGCCCAATAATGTTTAACTTGTCTTTCAGAAGCACACAAAGGCTAAATGTTACACATCAATGAGAGTGCATCATGTTCAGAAAAACAAATAGTTACTGAATTTACAATTTACCTGATTGTTAATCAGAAGTCTGAGATAATTTTCAAAGTGTATTTCAAGATCTTTAGTTGCTTCTTGAGGCTGGCCGCTATGTAGGACTTTCTCATAAGCTTCCTGCAACTAATAGCGATAAATACTTGCATTCATATTGGTAACACATGTGATAATCAAAACACATAGTTTGTTCCAAAACAGACTGGCCCAGCCTGATAAACATAGACATTTTTCCTGCTGGTTTGTTTTTCTCTCCTTTGCTGTGAATGGCGCCAAAAAAATTCCGGGCCATAACCTGTATCATAAAAAGCTGGACAAGTTATGAGCGTGCAATTAGCTGATCAGATATAAGGATTTAGGATTCTTTCCTCCTGTAATTTTTAAAAGTAACTAAAATCCTTTAAAGTTCCCAATTAAAATACGGTACCGCTCGCGTAGATATCAACTGCGCAGATGAATTTCCTACGCTCTGACGTAGGGTATTCAGACGTGTACACGCCAATTTTTTGCGCGCACGCTAAAAAAAAATGCGCGACTCCTGTGCCTTTGTTGTTCACTTCGGTGTTTACGCATAGGAATGTAAACAGTATTATTCCGCATCGCACGTGATGATTTGTTTCATTGCGGAGCGCATCATATTACAACGATAAAAGGTCAAGTTATGGTAAATCGCAATTTATAATAATAGTTTGGATATCGCGCGCGCTGTCATTGGTTGAAAGAGCGTGCTGTGTGAGAGCTAGAGCACAGAGCTAAGCTACAGCTGTCACGCCATTTGCCAATTTGGACTATGTCCGACCTTTTCCGGGAGTTTTCTCTAGCTTTTTTTCGTTAATTGAAAGAGAAATTTGCAAACAAGCGAGCCAGCAAGTAGCAACGGAATAACCAAACAAAGGTTTATGAACATGCCAGGCGCCGTAATTGACGCTATTATTAAGTGAGCAGAGACAAAAATTCTCAAAGAGAAAACGAAATAGACAGTCCGAGTTTTGAAGGTTTTCACGCTCAGTTAAATTGCAAGCTTTCGAATGGTAATAAAAATCAAACACAGCTCCACTCGTATAGTATATAAAGTTCGAATTAAAAAACAAAACAGAACAAAACAGAACAAAACAGGAATGATAAAATATATAGCCAAAACTAATCATGACGGTGTTAGAGCGACTGCGATCATGTTGACGTCCAACGTGGCTAGCTGGGAGATCACCAGTGAAGCAAGCCTCAGAAATTACATCGACCACCCTTTGAGTGAACAACCACGAGCTTGCTCTGATGTCCTTTCCGATGCGTTGAGCGGTGAAGGTCACATCAGTCACTGCAACCAAGTTTTACGGCTCTGTCATCCCGGGAAATCTTCATGTTCCGGTGAATTCAGCTGTCGTTCATTCGTAAAAATCGCCTTGAGCAGTTTGTCAACTATTTGTCATGTGAAAAACTTGCGTGTTTTTGTCAGCCACAATTCGACCAGATTTCCCTTAGACATTTCACCTCCACATTTTGTAACAGGGACTAAAAAACTGCAAGCAAAAGTGTTAGATTCGACCTGCCAGACTATTAAGTTTGAAAACAATTGCCGCAGAATGTGAAATTCGATGGTTTGACATTTTTGACAGCTTTAGTTTTGTACAGCCAATCAGATTATTTGAACCATTCCAACAGGGATTCTGATTGGCTTATTGTAGCGTGTTTTATGAGAGTATAGAGCATGTAACGACACTGTTCTACGCTTTGGAAAATAAAGTTTTGAAAATTGAAAGTAATGCTTGGGAGTTTGCCTGGGAATTCTCAAGAAGTGTGGAGAAACACTCGACTACGTCTCGTGTTTCTCCCTACACTTCTTTCGTGCTCTAGCCGCTTCCTGCGTGCTTTACAACAGTGCACAGTCAAGGCTTCTCTATTTGTTAAATAATGTCAAATACGAAAAACATCTGAAAACCGAAACGCTACAACAGACTACTATTCATGAGCATATAATGCAAGCGTCTGTCAATAATGTCAAGATCTCTCAAAACAGTCTCCCTTTTTCGAGCAATTTGGTGAGCATCGATCGATGATTTCACAAATACCGAAACACGAAGCAAATTCGGTTTCCCATCAGAATTTGCATACGAGTCTGAACAAGATGTAGCCGTGACAGGTAACCATACTGTAACACAACACCATTAAAATAAACGAGAAGATCTTATCAGTTTCTGTGTAAATGTCGAGATGAATGGACCAGTTTACGAGAATAGCATATTCACCGATGAAAAAAGCTATGAAATAAGTATTCGCGTGTGGGTTTGCATTCAGAACGCAACTGGTTACAAACGAGCGCCTTAATTGATTCTACCGAATTACGACACACTGAGAATAAATTTATTTTGAACAAATTATTAACCCGTTGCTACGGATGTCTTTTTATACGAAGTGAGAAATAGCTATTTTGATAAAAGAAATTCCGTTAGAACATGAAAAATCATTTATATAATTCGATTACGATGTCGCTTTTGTAACAGCATGTCGGGAAAGTCGGTTCGAGCGGTGATTGAAACGAACAAGTTTGCTTGTCGTTGGTAATGTTTTAGTGCTATTAAAATAAAGTCTATTCTCTAAAACGATAAACCGCCAACAGTAGAAAAACAAAAAAATCTACCTCATACATACTTAATGAGGCAGATATCTCAACTTTGGTGCGCACGTGCGATTTTTAGAAGCGCACGATTTTTTAAATTCGCAATTGCATGCGATTTTTGGCGCGTTTCATTCTCGTTTTTTAGTTAACTTATGCGCGAGCGGTACTGTATGTGGCAAAGATTCATGGAGATCTGATTGGTTGTTATGAGAAATAAAACTAGTCACTAATTTATTATAACACTGCCTACCTTTTTAGACCCAGCCTCTTCTAATTTTCTCTGAAAGTAATTTCAAAACAAAATGTTATTCAAGTCATTGTAGAACCTCGAGTTAATGAACTGCTTTAAAACAAAGTCCTTTATAACACGAACACTCTTCAGCCCGGCCAAAGTAACAGGACAGAGCCTCGATTTAACAAAATCCTTGATATAACGAACACTATCCAGAAGCTCAAAGGTATAATATAACCTGAGATAACGTAACGAACAAATGTCAACACGTGGCAATAGACAAATGCGAAACAGACCGACAAGAATCAAAATCTTTCAATTCTTTAACTATAGAACAACGTCACAGTTAACAGCTCATCATAAATGCCAATGCTGACACTATCAACACATCTACAGATCTGCTTTATTCTCTTTGTCTTTTATTACTATTGAAGGCTTCTTGTGGTAAAAAGGTATAAGAGGCAGGAAATTCTTGGCTTACGCCCTTGTTTCTCCGCTTGCTAGTGACTTCCACTATGTAAAGACCTGTACAGTGTATTGTCACTCAATACAGACATTTTGATGTGAATATGAAAGCACAAACGTTATTTAAAGGATTGTTCCAATCTCAAAGTGCTGGGTAGTGCGATGTCACCCACAAAAAAAAACAAAAACAAAAACAAAAACAAAAACAAACAGGAAGAACATAAGAAAAAAAGAAAAAACAACCGTCCACCCTCCCTCAATATAACAAACATTTTGGTTGTTTTTCCACAAATTCGTTAAATCGAGGTTTTCAATATAACAAATCCCCAATTTAATGAACCAACTTCCCCAGTCCCTTAGCACTTCTTTAAATCAAGGTTCCACTGAAATCAATAGCAATCTCGATGTGTTGGCAATTAAAACTCATATCCCATATATCACACTCAAAGCAGTGGCAAAAGCCATTCAGAACCAAGTTATACTGGGTATCAAAACTAGTAGGTGCCCATGAAAAATCTAACATTGACACAAACTATATTTGACAGTCATATAACAAGCCTTGGCACAGGGAACACTAGCTACTGAGCTCCATCAGACATAATGTTGCTACAGATTGGTTGAGAGGATGGTGCCATTTTTCAGAACACAACTTGACAGGGTTTGCAGATTTTAGTACATCTATAATCTCAAGCATAGAGTACCCTTCTAAGATTTAATGCCACACAAAGGGGAAGAACCTTGAGTTGGCTCATTACAATCTATGACTTTTGGTACATAGGGATATCATTTGATTTAATACCAGATTCTCAGACTTAAAAATTAAAAGAAATATATGAGATGTTCATACAGAGAATTAATACTACGAGACTGGGAATGAAAAGGGTAAGTTGGTCAGTTGACATCTTTCCAGTGTTGGATAAAAGTTTTACATATTCTCCATACTGTCTTCTATACATTTCCAAAGGCACTGACATAAATGATGATCATTTCCCTTATTAGTGACCTTAGTCCTTGATTCAGGGGTGATATTGTAAGGAGAATAAGATGCTGGTCACTCTTTGAGTTTGAAGTGTTACAACAAAACAACAAATTCACCTTTTCAAGGATTTTTATGATTTTCATCCAAATTCCAAACTGTTCAGCAGCATCTTTGGTGACCATGGCCATCTTCTCCCACATATGTACTGCCTAAAAAAATTAAATATAATACTTAACTTAGAGTGTATAATTTGGTATTAAACAAATTTATATTTAAAATGATTTCTATGAATCTCACCTGAAGGACAAGCATGTAGATTAGATAAAAAAACAAACAAACAAATCAGGCTGAATACATAAAGGGGTTAAGTTTCTAAAGAAACTGTGGTGCTACATTGGTGGGAGAGTACAGCAGGTAATTTAGTGTTAACAACTGAGTTAAAAACATAAATTGGCCACCTAAAGGGTAAAAAAGCTGACGTTTCGAGCATTAGCCCTTCATCAATCGCTCTGACAAAGGGCTAACGCTCGAAACATCAGCTTTTTTACCCTTAACAATGACCAATTTATGTTTTCAACTCAGTTGTTAATACTAAATTACCTGCTGGACTAGAATACAACCAATGATCAGTTATTTACATGGGTCATACCTTCAGAGCTTCATCGTTTTTCTTGTAAACTTCAGCCAGTTTGCTTGCAATTTCCAACCATTTTGTATTTTCACTGTGAACAGAGAGAAAATTGTTAAGAGTACATGTTGGGTTAATTAAATTATAATCATATGTGAGTAAGTTTGATAACAAGGTACTTCTTTCATTCAGTTTCATGATCAATCTGATTCAGAGATGAATCAATCATTTTACCACAAATGAATTTAAATGAATATTGTTTTTAGTTGGTTTACATAACAGGTTCATTATTGGCAGTCTTAGTTTTAGCATAAGAGCTTAAAGTATGCACATCACTTCTGTCACCTCTCATACATCAGCAACAATTTCTCATAGACACCAGGAAGTTCAGCTTTATACTGTGGATTCTCTTCTTTCTCACAAAGGGCAGCAAGACCCTGACATGAAAAATATAAAACAGACATAAAAACTTTTACTTCTAATGAATTTTTTAATGTAATGTCTCCTTCCAATATCACCTTTAAATCACACATTAACTTAGGGTCATGAGAATAAAGGAAATAATAATAAACTGAAGGACTTCTCGATTGTTAAACAAATTCTCCTTTCCAGCACCTTAGGAAATGTATGGAGATCTGTATGAAGAATATACAAACTGATGTTAGGGTGTAAAGCATTAAGTTAATCCAGTACAGAACAAGATCATGTTAAAAGTGTAAGGCTGCGGCAGATGGTTGCTGACATTCTCTGCACACTGCTCCTAACAAAATCACAGCGAATTTCATATCAGAAGAAAGCTTGCAACAGTGCATCACCAAGAAAAATCTCTGTGTTTCAGTTTTGGTACAAATGGCAGTTGACGTTTCCTTCAGAAACACTAACAGTCCCAATAGTGTGAATCGTACCTGATCAACATAAACCAAGATCTTCTTACAAGGAAATGATTCTTTTAAAAAGGACAAAAAAAATATTCTACCTGCCAAGCAAGGGGCTGTGTATCATCAGATTCAATTGCCTTTCGGTAAGCCGCGTGGGCCTGGTCGAGCTGGCCCAGTTCTGATGCACATTTTCCAAAGAAGACCAAGGCGTTGTAATTGGTTTTGTCAGCCTTCAAAACGACCTGTAAAAAAAGTCAGTTTGAAGTAAATGTACTTAATGCAATAACGCTTCTCTCACTATGCTGCAGTAAGAACAAATAAGAACTGAGAGTATAATAAATTCAAATTCGAGAACAAGAGAGGCATAATCAGAATTTGTTATCCCACACATTAAGAACGTAAATATACTGATCGACGCGTGCCTGTCACCAGAAAATTTTACCGTAAATTTTATGGCAACTTTTGACAACAAATTGTAAAAATCAATTGGACACGAAGTAATGAATTATTGTAAACAGTACCTTGCAGTGCTTGAAAGCTTCTTTATAGTCTTTGTTCTTGATACACTCTCGAGCATTTCTCAGGGTATTTTTTATCTCTTTCGCCGCCATGGCGAAAATAATCGCGGGCGCGGTTTGGTGCACACGAAGGTATGCGGTGTAGTACAACGCAAAGTTTCTCTATGCCACAGTCACAGATACCGATAACCACAGAATAATTACACAAACGGTGCGAACATTTATAGGAAATGTCTGACATGAGGAACATACATAAGCTTAAATTATTTTCCTTAATTTTGATTGACATCCTCGATGGCTTTTCTCGTCTGACTGTATTGCATAATTATTCAGTGGAGCTAAAATTGACTGCTCTGAACCACAGAATCAACAAGATACCACATACTTAGAAGAAGTACGTTTATCGTGATCATAATTGAGAATATTCAACGTTTTTACTGCTCTGATATGAGGCTTTTCGATGATCTCTAACTCTTTCCGTAAATTGAAATACGCAGTTTCAGTTTGAATGGGTACCCTAGGGGCTTACTCAACCCAGGGGGTCAACTAATGGAAACAAAGATCACTTTTCTCAAGACCCTTTGCGCCTAAAATTTCAGAAGTGGTGCATAATCCAAAATTAAAAGTGGCGAGAAAACGGAGTTTCCAGCAAGCATGGAATATGAACGAATGAAAATATCCCTTTGTTTTTATCATACTCTAATTGAACATTATTAGTCCAACGAGAGCCGAATTTCGAAGTCACGATTTTTGCGATCGCCAGAAAAATTACAGCAAGAACTAGGATTCACCCTGAAAGAGAGAGAGTTCCGTGACGCTATTAAACTGAGCGACGACTGGCCGATTGATGATCTCCCCTCCACTTGTGTATGTGGGGGTACCTTTACGGTAGACCATGCAATGATACGTAAACAGGGAAGGTTTATTACTCAGCGACACAACGACCTGAGAGACCTAGAGGCCGAACTCTTAGGTTCTGTATGTAGCGATGTCGAGATCGAGCCTCCAAGATATTTCAAGTGAACAGCTGAGTAGTGGATCCAAAATAGGATCTGATACGAGGTTAGACATTCATGCTCGTGCGTTCTGGGAGTGCCAACGTGCGGCACTTTGACGTGAGGGTTTGTCACCCTAGTGCTGACTGGTACCGGAACATGGAACCCCAACAGGTCTATCAAATACATGAGAACAAGAAGAAGCACCAGCATACTTGATGTGGAACAGGGAACATTTACCCCGCTGGTTTTTACTACAATGGGTGGGCAAATAATGCCTTAGGTTTCATTGTAGATTGGCAGGGCTCATTGCCTTAAAGAAAGAAGAGCAATATTCCTCAGCCATCTCTCGAGTAAGAGCTCAAGTTTCGTTTGCGCTTTTGCGCTCTGCTCTTGTCTTTTAAAAAGGTTATTATTATTATTTTAAGAAAAATTTTACTGATTTCCAAATTTTTCCCTTTTTAAGATTAACAAATCTATACAACACAACAACAGCAAACTTTCAAAGCAGTTTGGGGTATTATATATATATATATATATGTTTATTCATATAATAAAGCTCTGAAAATTGCATATCTAAATTACATCTTGGTCTGAATATCTCGATTAAGTTAAAAGAAATTGTAATCGACGTATTTGTGATATTTTTCAGCCTTCATGGGCCGTTTAAAGCGTCTTTTTACGAAATTACTTTTGGCCGGAGGCCGTTAAGAGAAGAAATGGGCCTGCCTGTGAAGAAATAAATTAAAATATTGGTGAGCATGGTGCAAGGAGTGGTGCATCATGGGATATAAGCAGAAATTTTGATTTCCGCCTTCTGTTGACACATGACGCAGCTTCGTCGATAAAACTTCTGCGTTTCAATCTTATACCTTCGTAGAAGAGGAATTTCACTGACAGCCAGAGTTTATACTTTACATTGTTTAACTTTAAGCGACGGCTTCTTCGGAGTCTTCTCTTTCTTCACGAGCAGATCCGGTTTGAAACGTAAGTGTTGTAATAATAACTTGAATGTGTAAACCAGCCCAAATGGGTAATGGAAAATTATGATAAACTACTAGATGATTCAGGACTATGTCAAAAACACACATAGTTTCGGCCCTTCTTAGGAAGCTATTTTCATCAACCGATTAAAGTTTTCTTGTTGGGTCTGGCCAGCCATCCAAGGTCCTTCAAGCTACAGTAGGTGCGATCGATATCGAAGTTGTGAAACGCTTTGCTGAGTAATTCGATCTCGTGACCAAAGAGCCCTTACTCGAGCTAACCGTGATCAAATTCACATCTCCGACTTTGGCGCTGTAACACCGTACGTGGCAACCCAAACTTCCTTTCGTGCAACGAAGACGCTTGCACTTTAGTAATTTTTGTTTCCCGTGAATCAGTGTGGTGTGTTTTACATACGGCAACTTTAACTTGCCGTTTTATTACTATCCTCAGTTCTCTCTTGCGTTCCGTTTGCTCTTTGAAACTATCGTCCTACGTTTCCACAGACACACGTGAGTTTCCGGCGTATCTGGTAAACAACATCCCTCCACATTTAGGTGCGGCGAAGATCTCATATCACGCCGAATTCTTTGATTGTGTTGCTACAACTTTTGCGCGAGGTGAAACGAACGTTTGTGCCGATGTGCATTACAGAATCGCGCCCATTGAAAAGCGTAGCACAGGAAAATGCAAATAAGCTAGAAAAGAGAAAGAGAGCATGCGTAACTTCACGCAGTGAAGTTCAATCCGACTGTCAATCATGTAATTCCCCGTGTACGCAATGTTCGCAAGTATTTTTTCTTGTGCAGACAACCGAAACGTAGCGCTTTTCATCGAAGAAGAATAGACGTAATTAGTGGCGTTATCTTGATTGGGTTATATTGTTTAAAAATCGGTCAGATGTAAATTAAATTACCTTTCAAATGCCGGGTTTTCAATTTGTGTTAAGACAAATGCGCCAGATTTACGAGGTTCGACCATCAATTTCGCCAAGTAAGCAAAACATTACAGAAATATTCCTTTTAGTAAAATTTCCGTACTGCCCCATACTATCGTAAAACAAATCTGTTTTCCCAATGGTAATGTATTGTTTTTGTCACTCTATGCAAGAACTGAACGTATAATGTAGTATGGGGCTGTGCGGAATTTTACCTTCCTTTTTAGCCCGTTATTGCCGTCAGTTTCAGATAACACGTCGGTAGTCTATTTACTTTTCGAAAAGCTTAAGTACACGTTGTAGATTCCCGCTCCACGTAGGTGCACGCTCACTTCCAACTCAGCTTTACCATAACAACACTTCGTTTGCACACGTGACCAAAACAAGCCAATGAGCAACCTCGTTCCGGGATCCTTTACAATCGTTGTTTGGTAGCCATAGCGACGGATAAACAAGTAGAAATCTTGGTTCGTTCATTTATCTCGCTCATTAATCGCGTGTATACGACGACGTAAACTACGGCTTATGAAATCGGAAAAAAAAACGAAGGTTTACATGACGGTCGATGATATATATGCACCATCTTAAGTCAAAATGGCGACAGGAACAAGGTTACCTTCGATGATTGGAGCCGACAGTTTGACACAGTTCTCAGCGCCGACTGTCTTCGCCCCTGTACAATGACTGACGTTCGCTCCAGAAAGCGTTGGAGACCCAGCGTGAATTTCAACAAGTTGCTGCCAGGCGACGAAGTTTTCATCAGCATCGAGGGCATCAGAAAACCGGCCGGGGTCAGAGTGGTGGATCCTTTTCTAGAACTCGTTACAGTGGAGTGCGGAAACAAAGAAATCTTTGGTTCTTTCCGCGATGTACTACCACCGCCAGAACCCACTCCTGATACTGTCAAGAGGAGAAGACCATTTTCAGCTAGATTAAGGTTACTGTCAATAAAATGAGGTGCATTGCGGAACAATCGTCTTACCCGTGCTACTAGAAAGCATGGAAAAGTACATGTAATTTGTCTTCTTAGGCCCGGTTTAGAGGCCGTACTTCAGCCGCGCCTAATCGAATTCAATGATAGGCCGACCTAAGTTAGGTAATCCTGGCTGAATTGATGCAAACGCCGAACTTTACTAGACCGAAATTAATTAATCGAAGAAAATTATTATTCGGTGATTGATTTGGCATACAATTGTAGACATGGCGGAAGCTATGGATTCCGGCAGCAATCTGCAAGCAAGAGCCTTTTTCTGCTCGAAATGCTGGAAGAGGAAGAAGAAGAAGAATGCAAACCATCTTAAAGGCGACGATTTTACGAGCGACCCATCCTTGCTAATCTTCTTCTTCTTAAAAAATTTAACATTTATTGCAAATTGGGATTTTACATTTCAAGCAAGTATATTTGGTCGTTCCGAAACACGAACAACGCATGTCACCATCGTATGAACTGGGCCCAACTTTGTTGTGTGTTGCAACTCAAGACGCGACATAAACAAAATCCCAGACGAAAGAACGTGGAAAACGTCAACGCACTGTTGAAGGCCTCTTCGGTTATGAAACCTTTCGTTCTTTGATAAAGGTTTCCTTAAAACATTCTTACAGCCGTATCTCGCGTTTGTATTTTTTTTTTCGGCAAATTAAACTTAGATTCTCTCTCTAATTAAAGAGGGAAAAAACGAAATTTTGAACATTTTGATAGGATTTTGTCGACATCGTAGGATAAAGGTTTAATTCTATATGTCTGGGAGGATTAGGAGCAAAGTTTTACAGTTTTATTGAAGACTTGAAATCCGGGAACATAATGATAACGAACCATGTGATGTACAAGGACCCATCAGGTCTCATCAACAGCTTTATCCGCAATTCATGGAAATATGAAGTATAAAATGCCTTTGGAATAAGTTTAGCTGTGTTTGATTAATCAAGCATGGCTTTTAATAAAATTTATCAACCGTTGTTTCATCGATATTTCGTGTGATGATTCGAAAAAAAAAAAACGAAACGAAAACGGCTTTGACACGTGTCATAATTAATTTAGTTTCTTTCTTGTACAATTTTAGCGTTATTCTTTGGAAAAATCTTGAACCGTAGCAAAGATACAAGAAAGGAAGAATTTGTCGCGCAAAATTTTGTTAAGTCGGACCTCAATCGAGCGAGAGCGAAATTCTCTCCTCCACCCACGCTGCGAGAAGGTGTACTTGACCGCTTTCATTTATTATTCTATCCATTCGACATTAGCATAAATTCACTCACGTTTACCCAAGAAATACTTCGATATGACTGACTTCGCTACCGCCTGTCTATTTCGTAATGGATAATGAATGACGCGAGAAGCCTAGCACTGTGTGGTTTAAAAAACAAAACAAAACAAAATGAGCCAGACTTGTTTTGAGCGACCAGTAGATTTACAACAAAATACTTAAATTGTTCGCTCTCGATTTCTAAGTGTGATAGTTTATCCGGGCCTCACCCTCATCAATTTTCGGGCGATAGAACTTCGGACATAAAATCAGATTGTTGATCAAGAGTCCGTCTGCGTGTTGTCAAACTGTGGATCAGCAGACCTCGGAGCCCCTTGAACCTGCAGAACCATGAACGGATTCTTTATTATAAAACAAATAGAGAAGCCTTGGGGTAATAAACAAATCGATCACGCGCTCGAGATTTCATCTCAGTCTATCGCGAGATAGTTGATGAAGATTAAGTCCGAATCACCTATAACGCATGAAAATCGAGAGTAAATTATTTCAGTTTCTGGTATGAAACTAACAGTCGTTTCAAACGGAGGCCCATGTTTCATTGAATAAAGGTACAGACAGGTCACGCCACAACATTGCATTCTGTGTGCGCCTTTGCATTTCGTTCGAGATTTTTCTAAACATCGATCGAAACTGAAACGATAAGTCAGAACTGAATGACTGGGAAGCTCAAACTGAAATCAAAGTACCCTGTGGAGGCCAATTTTTTCTTCATTATTTTCAGGCTTTTAATCTTGTTCAGTCAAGTTATTTGCCGGATGGGAGGTCCGTATGGTGAAAAGCTGTGACCGAGGTCTGTAAAATACTGCCTGAGGCCGTAGGCCGAGGCCAGCATTTTCCAGACCGAGGTTTATTTATATATTTTTTTTTTTTTGAAACTTGACGAAATTCTTTCCGAAAGAAGCCGATTGATTTGGGGCTGTAAATACGGCAAGATCTTCCATAAACTGAACAGTTTTTTGAGCGAGAAAATGGTAGTTAAAATAGAGGTGATGCAAATTAAAGAGAGATGCCACACCGAAACATTTTCATTTTCGGCTTCTTAACAAACTTTGAAACATTATTTTTACAAGTATCTGTCACAATCTGACACCTGTCAATTAGAGAGCGCGTAAGTAAAAAAAAAGGGGAAGAAGATTTGAAAAACAATAGAACTAGTTTGACAAGGACTGTCACGACAATGTTTTCTTCAAAAACAGTCAATGATCTAACGGAAAGTATTATTCACTCTCATCGACGATCCATTCATGTACGAAGATTTACCTCTGTTCATTAAGTAAACGGCGAGGACAGTAATTGTGAGTAAATTCAAATTTTTTTTATTTTTAAGTTGTGAGAGTTTGCTCGTTTGTTTGCTGCAATGGCGTGTGTAAATCTGGTCTTTCTTCCACCAAAACTAAATTCGAATGGCACACTTCAACGAGACTCAAGGGGATTTAATGCAGCCTTTTCTCAATAAATTCCTTCAGTTTCTGTTGTGAAATTTACGGTACAATTGTCCAAATTGAACGGACTTGGAAAGACTCACCGAGAGAGTATATTTGTTGTAGAACTGAAATTAAAACTTCGCACGCTCTTTCACTACGAACAAATTATTTGAGAAAATTCAGATATTAAATGAATGAAAGTTCCATCGTTCAGTTTAACTGTAACCAAATACCTCACGTTTTTACTTTCTAGGTATTTTTTGTGAACGATTAAAATTAATTGCAGACGGTTTTTAGGCCGCTTGTCAACCAACGTAATGACGCTATTGCTGATACAAATTCATCTGAAACCAATATTTTTCTGTCAACCACGACCCACTTTTTCAACTAAACAATGGATCTGGATTTATATGCTTCCTCACAATGGTGTTTGCTGAGAAGAACTGAACCATCACTTCCTCTGTCAGTTTCAGTACCAGTTGCGGGCATTTTGTTGATGCATTGCGAGCTGCATTCAAGACAAATCGAGGCTTTTCTCGCTTATCGATCATGCGTCATTTCTCATTTCTCCCCATACCTGGAGGCCTAAAGAGAGCCTCTCCGGATTCTGGCTTAGAGGGCAATAACATTAATTGACCACTCCCCCGATGGGGCTTTTCAGGGCCAATATAAACTAAATAAACATTGGGTGTATTGAAATATTGTATGTGAACATAGCTTTGAAACTGGCCGGAAGCAAACCAGTCGGTTACATACAAATTTTAGCCAAGGGGTTTGAGCCCTGAGAAACCGAGAACAATTCCAACGAGTAGCAGAGTGAACGACTTGAACCCAGGACCACCAGATTACGAGTCCAGCACCGCAACTACTTGGCCACACAGCTTCCAATGCCTTCATATTCTTTCATTTAGCAATTCGAGGAAAGGACTCTCTTGTATTGCATTTGACTTCGATCTTCCTCTTATTTCGCGAAGGCCATTTACTGTCCGTCTACCAATTCACTAATCTCCACTGCCTGAGAGGCTGGAACAGGCTATAGATAAAGTGGAGTTTAACAAAACGAGATCCCACTAGAGTACATTACACTGTTGCCAATATCTCCACATTTTTAACATATCTATCTGTTGTTACTTCTACAGCTTTAAAAATATTCATGGTGTCCACAGCAACTTGGAGGTACCTTCGTTGGTCCATTGCAACAATCGTTTTTATCTTTGTACTCCTTTCGCTTCGTGTATTTACTCCACCAAGGTCCAGGTATGTTCGATATAGAAATCCTTGATTGCAAAGTAGAAGCCGTGGCCTCAGTTATGATCCACTTATACCAAATTTAAGGAAAAAATGCAGTTGTAGTGAAACAGTATTTAAAGATATTCCTGATGCAGACAACATGGTATGAACGGGAAAATGTTCTTTCCTCATGCATCAAAATAATTACTTTGAGTTTCAAAGGATAGTAGTTGTTCCAATAAGTTCCTGATGCATACAACATGGTATGAACGAGAAAATATTCTTTCTGCGTGCATCAAAATAGTTACTTTTAGCTTCAAAGCATAGTGAATGCTTCAATAATATTGTCAAAAAATTTCTCACGGGGATCAAGAACTGCTCGTGAAAAGAGTTCCTCCTCTCTATGCTCTCGTCGTCAACGATTATAGTCTATGAGTAATTCTTATCTGTAAGAACCAAATCATTTGAATAATTCGTGGCAGCCAAGTTCTAGTCCAAGTGTTTCAGCCAAATTCCTACTGAGACTTTTATGATAGCAATGCTCAAATGCCCACACCTCGTTATTTCCACTATACCACGACTAGAAGATAATTTATAGAACAGAAACGTGTTAAATCTTCAGATATTTACAACCTCCATTTAAAGCGATGACAGACCAGGAGAAAACTGAGACATGTGACTGTAGAAACATAATCAAGGAAAGAGAGAATACAACAAAGGAGAGAAATGATGCAACCAAGGTACGTGAAGATACTAAGGCAGATGTAAAGACAACTGAATCAACTTGGCTCAGGGAATCTTTTGGAAAGGAACTTCACGAAATCCACTCCCAACTAAAATACCTCTTAGATCATAAAAGTATACCCTCACCGGATTTTGTTAACAAGGTTGGAGACCTTGCCAAACGCCTTGACGGCAAATCAGAACCACCAACTCCAAATAATGGCATGAAAAATAACAGTTTGAATGTGTGTCCGGAAGAATACAAAGGCAGCAAATTTGGTTACCCATTTTATTCTACAGGTTGGGTCCTTACTAACTGTATCAATGTCAAACCACTTAGCTCCGTCATAAGTGTTTTAATAAACACTATCGCATATCCAAAAGAAGATGAGAAACACATTCGTAATGTAATAAAGGGTATCAATGATACCTATCCACTAGTTCAAGTTTACGTAGCAACGCGCAGTGACGATATCATAGAAATGGCCAAAGAGTACGAAAACATTGACGTGGTTAAAGTCGATGATACAAATGCAGCAAAAGTGTGGAACATGCTTAAAGCTAAAGCCTCCACACCTTATGTGTTGGTCGCACGTGATGTGGTTCACTTCTCATGGTTTACTCAAATAGAAAGACAAATTCGTGTGGTCAGTCAGATACCAACTGTAAAAGTTGCCGGGGGAGCATTTCGGAATATTTCTGGTCACTGGAAAGCAGGATGTGTGCAAACCAAACTACTAAACTACGTTCTAGAATATCAAGAAGGCTACTTTCACTCACAAAATGCATGCATGTTTTGTGATTTTCTGCAAGGACCTTTTCTGACTAAAACAGACTTGTTTAAGCTGGACGAAAGTCTTCCAAACGAAGTAGTGTTTGAAGACTGGTTCTTGCGCATTAGAAAGGATGGCCACCAAGTGATGACATGCCCTGACGCTATGTATTTCACTTTGGATTACTTTTCGTATACCAAGAGCACTAAAAAAGATGTCTGGACGCCTTTGGCAAAAAAGTGGGGGATTAATCGCGTACTTTTGCCCCAGGGGATCAAATTTTCATTCTCTTGTGACGATATTGGCGTCTCGTGCAAGGCAACTCACGAATTACTCCCAATTTGTTGCCTGGAAGAGTACGCACATCTCTTGACAGTCCTTCAGAAGTTCTGTGATGAAAGAAATATTTCATTTGAACTCGATTCTGGTTCTATTCTTGGTGGTGTTAAGTTCGATGGTCTTTTACCGTATGATGCCGACGGAGATCTCATCATGATGTCAACACAAATAGAAATATTTAGCAAAGATGAGACAAAACAATATTTTCGGAATAAAGGTATCTCCGTCTACGGGTATAAACCGCCAATATTTAACGAGAAAATGGGAAAATTAGTTAATGGTTTCACGTACATGGGTTTCCGTGGCTTTTACATCGAAGTTTGGGGGATGTGGAACACGACAAATTGGCTGCATCTTCCACCAGAGCTACGAAACTTTGCATCGTTCACCAAAGCGAATATAAGAGGTAACTGGATTAACACGGCATGCAATCCTGCTTTGTATGTGAGGGGTCGTTATGGAAGAGAAATTTTGAAACATGCTCAGTCCTGGATAAAACAAGGACTGGGAAGTGGTTGGGGGGAATACAAAGCTGGCACCTTCAAGCCGTGTAATAAACCAAAGCATCATTCATGCTTAGATAATTTGCCAGCCGATGGTAATATTCCGTTCTTTGTGGATTAATTGAGCTTGCCTCATGAAACTTGTTATCACAGATGCGAGAATCAAAACATCTGCCCGTGAGCTTTGGCTGTGTGTTGAGGCCAATGAAGAAGGAAACGTAAAGATAGCTTATCAAACTAGGAAGGCCTCAAAAGAGATTAAAAAGCCGACTTGTGGATCGTTTTCACATGACCTCACGACGAGTCATTGGTTCATGGCAAAGTCTGGTTACAAGGTTTGACCGTAAAATAACGGTGTTGTCACTGGCAACCTTCCTCTTTTCGAATGGTTACCAAATCTCAAGAGCCGAGCGTCACCAACCGTCAAACACGAAAGCCCGCCAAAAGAAGTCAAACGACACGTTGCCACTCGAAACGGGGCCAGTTGCCCGTGACAACAACACGATTTCAGCGTCAAAATGTGATCGCCAAACTTCCGTTGCGCCTCACGCAATTGTAAAATCGTAGTACCTTTCTTAGGGCAAAGGAAGATTGTGTTATCGACTTTACTAGTCATATGAAAACGATTTCTTCTCGTCTCACCACATTCTTACTAAATGAAAGACATACTAGGATTAAAAAACACGATATCATGATCAATTTTTTCTTCCAAATAATTTTTAGAGCGGACAAATGATAATCCGATTAGTTAGATAAATGAATGTTCACTAACTGTGTTGTCTCGACTGATTAGGAGGGTTTTGGGACGTTAGATTCCTAATCCCATTCCTTCTTCACTGTCACTTCTCTTTTGTATGTGGAGCAGCTTCAGTTACGAGGAGAACGTCGGAGCCGATCACTTGCCGTTTCAATTAGGGATCTTAAGATCCGACAACGGAGGTGTTTTTCAATCATGAAATATGGACGAACGAAAGTACCCCATTGTTCTTTTCAAATTTTTTCACCAAGAGCTGGGAGCATACGCCACCAGTTTATTAAATACCTAACCTAAACAAAAATAAACATTTTTCAACTTAGAAGCACCCTTACGCAATAATTATAGTCGGACCTGTATTGAGCGGCGCCGTATTAATGCCTGGTTCACACGTGCGATGCAAATGCTCACACGTCCGACGCAAACGCAAGGAAAGCTAGATACAGGCGCAGTGGGAGTATTTTCGAGGGTATCTAATCCCGTATCCCGCTGCTATTTTTCATTCCATCCCGCGGCAATGAACATTTTCATTCCCATCCCGCCTGGTTAAACTCAAGTTGCTCTAGTTCAACGCCTTACTTAAAGAGGGGGGCATTGAGGCTCATTAGAAACCGCAAAACCGTAGAAAAAATCATCCAAAACCGAAAAACCTAAAAAAATTCGATCAAAACCGGAAACCGCATACAAAACTGTCAAAACCGATACATTTTCAGATCCCAGTTATTAAAATCCTAATCGATCCGGTATAGTGGTGACAAGTGGAGCATAGGGGGGGTGTGGAATTTAACAAATTTGCACCAAACCCCACCAGAGCTACGAAACCTTGCATCGTTTACCAAAGCAAACATAAGAGGTAGATGGATTAACACGGTGGCCAGTCCTGGTTGGTACGCGAGAGGTCGTTATGGAAGAGAAGTTCTTAAACATTCCCAGTCCTGGATAAAACTAGGACTTAAATCCAGTTGGGTGGAATACAAACCTGGCACCTTCAAGCCGTGTAATAAACCAAAGCATCATTCATGTTTGGACAATATGCCCGGCGATGGTAATATTCCTAACTTTTCAGATTAATTGAGCTTGCCTCATGAAACTTGTCATCACGACAGCATATCGGTTGCTAAGACAATATATCAGCGGCTGTGTTGGAGTCTACGGGCCGCTTATTTACATGAGGTCAAACCCAAACCGCGATTTTACGCAAGCAGTAAGCCTCAGAGATTCTCTGCGAGAGAGTTTATTTAATTAAATAACTGTCTTTTCAGTATGAGCTTTGGGCCCTCTTGACACTGTTCACAAAAATAAATGTCTAGATAAAAATTTCTGCTCAATTGAAGATGGCCTAAACGCTGTTTTGTAAAACAACAGCTGAATTTTGTTCTAATTTATCAGACTTACGGTTTTTCTTAACACTCGGTATCTTTAGAAACACTTTCGCTGTTTTTTTTCTCTGAATGTTTTCATTATATCGTTTCTCTCGTTTCTCTCGGGTGTTAACCCTCAGACGCACTTCAACTGTTCAAATCTTACGGAGAACCGTCAGCTACACCAGGTACTCCCACATTGTGCTAAAGACCACCTAAGGATCATTCAGGTATCCCATGAATCTAAGCGCATAAGTTTGTTTTATTGATGTCAAGTTTCAAACACAAACAGGCGCAAGGCGATAAAATTCGCCTCATCAGTTAAGAGGCCATTAGCAATGGAGGGGGGTCCTCAAGTACCCCATTACCGTATGATTTTTTACCTGGTTTACAGACTAGGGGTGTGAAAAAACGATAGAGAAGTTAAGGAAAAAAGTTTCTGACTTTGGCAACGGACCGCTTAAAATAGAGTGACCGCTCAATATGGCGCCGCTTAATTCGACTGTATCCACCACTTTCACCGACACTGAGGTGAATAATTGTTTTAGTACATAGCGCAAAAAACCGAAAAAGAGAGTTTATTTTTTCAATACACAAAAAATGGTCCGAAATTAATTTGCTGACGCGCGATTTTGTCTCTTCAGACGCCCCGAGGTGTACATGCTAATCACTTCCGAACCAGCCAATCTGCGCGCGCGAAAGGCATTATTCACCTGTGTGATACATACTAAAATTAATTAGTCGTGCTGTTGACGGGTTGCAGATGTAGGCTCTCGAGGTTGTTTGTTTACGATCGTTCGAACGTGTTTTACATGACTGTTTGCTTAGTTCACTGGCACTCATCTTGCTCCGAAGAGGACGTGATTCCGTGCTCTAGCACTCGCAATTTGAATCAGGGTTTTTAAGTAAAACTTTTAGTCCAACTCCTTCCATATGAAATCCTCTCACCAATCATGCTGGTTGCTTCTCCAACCGAACTCGAAAATCAAAACTGGTTCCCAGATGCGCTTTCCGTTTTATCAAACGCCATTTTGAATTCTTACGCAGATTACTGAATGTACACTTAATTTGTGCCAAATCTTTTACCAGACTGAACGAGGGTATTTCGTTAACTGCTTTTGACTCTTGTTTATTTATCAATACTTTCCTATCCCCCTGAACATTCTATCGCTATTTCAGACTGAAATATGTTTTTTCCGTTGGCGCAAAATCGAGCTGTCATAACTGTTGTAATCTAGCGAAAGTTATTTTTCGTCTTGCACGTGCATAGAAAAAAGAAAAAAATCTGAGTCCCCATGAGGAATCGAACCTCAGACTTTCGGATTCTGCGCTCCGATGCTCTACCACTGAGCCTCAGACCTTCGGATTCCGCGCTCCGATGCTCTGAGCTACAGAGACCCCACAGTGAGCAAGTTCTATTACGAATTTCATAAGACACGCGTCACATGTGTAACGTACGATGGTTAATGAAATGAATTTCAACTTGCGAGTGTCATTTCGTTTTTTGACTAAATTACCTCTTGCATTTCAATCTACTTCTCCTCTCAAATCTCTCATGGGCTGTTTTATTTCTGGTAATGCTCATGTAGGCGGCAGAGACGAGAGACAAAAGGCAATTTTTCGGAGATAGAGTTTACAGTAAATACCAGCGACAGTCTTCGATAACTGTAATTGTGAAGCAAATTTCTTCTCGATCAATCTGCTTCGTACATGGTATTTCGATATCTAGTAGAGTTTTTAGCAAAATTTATTTTGTGCTTCATTGTTCTTTCAGGCTGATATTCAATAGAAATGTAAATACAAAATTGTTTGAGTATTTTGCAGGCAACGCTCCCACGAAAATTTCCTATCAGAGAGAATTCGCATAATTCGTTTCCTAACTCATCGAGACGTATTTGAATAAATATTCACAACAGTTGTTCTTCGTATTAGCATTTACTGATCATTGAAACTCATTGGCATTTAACGAACGAGCTTTACGAATTCAATTTATTAGGGACCTTGAGCAAACACTACGGCGACGGCAATGTGGACGTGAAAAGAGTCAAAAGATGTAATAAGCAGAACAACAGCTCGACTAGCTCAACATGTGCGTTTTATGACTTTGGTCATTTCTTAGCCGTCCTCTGCAAAATAGCGACGTGAAATCACCATCGCCACTGATATTGATTGATCTTTAATACCTACGAAAGGATTAGCGTATGCGATTCATAAATCAGTGAATGTATAGTCATGATAAGGAAGTAAACTGAATTTTACAATATCTACTGATTATCAAACTGATTTCTGCCCAACGTCTTGTTCCTGAGGCTCCGAGTTTTCACTAATTCACAAGGAAATGTGTAGCAGCTCGATGGGATAACTAACAACTAGATCTTATGCGTTAAAGGGTTCAGCCAAAAAAAGTCGTCAACTTTGTTTTAGCAATGGCTACGAAAAGGACGGAAAGTCGTGTTTCTGAAAATCATCTAAAATTATTTTAAAATCTTTTGATCTGACAAAAGTTTAGAGCTAATTCCATAAGGCGTTCCCTCTACTGCATCTAAAAAATTGTTTCCACTCTGTTCACTTATCCCTCTTTTTTTAAGACAAGCAGAGCGAATACAAGCATTCACCATGAGCACAACACGTGATGAGGAAGTGTACCCTAAGGGAGCTTGGTGAGACGAATTCTACCCAACCCCCCCCCCCTTCCTGGCCACCACCGCTACTCCCCGCGTTCCGCTTCTTCAGTCGTCTTCAACATTCCCACTTTGTCAGAATAGTTCACAGACTGTAAAATTATGTCTATAAAGTGAGGGGACCCGCCACACTTGTCCCCTGAGTGTGATTAGCATCTAATTTCTCCTTACAATATCATCCCCGAATCACTCATTCAGGACACGAAAACAAAGGAAATGGTCACCAACTAAAGAAGCTCTTGACTGCTAAACAAATTTTCCTTATCTGCACTTTAGGAATTATTTGGACAACAGTGTGGAGATAATTCATACTATTGTTAAGGTGTAAGGGGTTATATTAACTAATTATCTTTTGCCTTTATCTCAACTATCAGTTAAGCCGCTTCTTTTTACTGAATTACTACTGGAGTTACTAAGTTCTATCTAGCCGCATGTCATGAAAAAAACCTACTGGAAAAATAGAGACTGTATACGCGTCAAGACCTAAAATATTAGGCTGGATTACATGGAATTGTAACTCTGTCGTGAGGTGGTCATCTGAGAACAAGTGATCTTAGCAAGAACAAAGGAAAACCCATCCTGAAAAAGAAAGTACTGATTAAAAAACATTTTCTTTTCGAGCTAAAGTGCGGCGCAACACAAAACAAAACGATGATGGGAGGTTCACGTACAGAAAAATAGATTGCGAGTGAGAGGGTGGTATGTCCTCTCAATGAAATATTAAAGGATTAAACAGAAGCAAGAGCATTAAGAGCAGTATGCATGGTCAGAGAAACTGAGAAATTCTTTTATAAAGTTAGAATCATCACTTCTTTCCGTGAGCCAATAACTTGAACTGCAGAGGCTAATCAATATCATATCCAATAAACATACCCTTAGACCAAGCAACAAAACCAGTCCAATAGAGCGAGAATCGATGGCCCACGGCCATATTAAAAAAAAAAAAAAAAAAAAAGAATCGGAGAAATAGTAGCGTGGGTCTTCCCTAACAAAGCAGACCATTCTCTTTTTCTTCCTGATATTTTCATGGTTTCATAATTCCTTGACCATAAAAGTAAACATCACACAGACGAGCACACCCACTCAAAAACGTGGGCGCGCACGTTCATGCATGCACGTGCACGTGCACGCACCCACGCTCACGCGCGCACACGCATGCAAACACACACAAGCAGCTTTTGGGAACCATTAGATACATTCTATGGCTTATAGTAGACTACACACCGCCCAAGTCAGTTTGATTATGCCACAGGACCTAGCGAATGAAACCCAATTGTACTCTACATGATGAACTGTAGAGTGAACATTTTTAACGTCTTAACTTATGCTGATGTAGGGAATTTCCCTAGATCCAAAAATTAACTTCCCAAACAAAATATATCCCATTTAAAAAACAAAGTTGCTATTAAAGTTTATCATCATCAGCCTCAGAAATGAAAACTTTGCATGAGAATCATGTGTCAGTTTGGATCCTTTCTATCTAAACTCTCTCAAAATATTCATGTGCTGATCAACTTCTGTTTATCTTCCCCTTGTAGAGGAAAGGAAAACTTGAATATTGAAAAATTTGAATCTATTTTTCTTCATTGTTTTTATCTCCTGCTTGATTGCAAAATTGTCATTTTCACACAAGATTTCAGCCATCTTGAGCCACAAACATTAATTCCCCAGAACAGAAAAAAATTGTTAATAGACTCCCAAAGAATTTTCACACCACACTTTATTCTTCACAATCTTCTTCATATCAGTGAATGAAACAGCTCACTTACTGCTATTAATCCTGGTAGATCTGACCAAAATTTGGAGTTTGGGATCATTTCCTTTCCTGTTTTCCCTGCTCCTTTATTTACCAGCACTCCCACCACACAATACAAAAATACTCCAGGAAAGAATCTAAAGACATTCAAAAACAATTCTGACTGTAATTTAATGATTAATTTTTTAAACTAATACATTAATTTTCATTTGGTGTAGAAATATGCAGGTTTATTTGTCGTTGGACATTATCTGTTCCTTGTAACTCACAGTTTTCTTCCAACTTCACTCTCAGTTTTCTATTTTCTTCTTGGAACAGATGATGTCTAATGAAAAATCTGCAAGCATATTTTTGCACCAAATGGAGGCTATTGTTTATATAATTTCACACTACCCTAGAATCTCTGCCTGTGGACACCTCGTTAGGAATGACACCATGCCATTGCAGACAAGACCCAGCCCCCCAGCGAAAGGCAAAAAGAAATGCTGAAATGAACTCCTGTTATTACAGAATCTTGCTATTATAGAAATGTGGACACTTTTGTGCTCTCCAGCACAACATTTCACTTGCGTTTTCCTCCCACTATAACAGACACTTACTCGCATAATTGAAAGTGACATTACAATAAAGGAAAATAAAAAAATCATTCTTCAATTGAGTGCAATCAAGAGAATTTCCTTATTGCAGACAGATCTTTTACGAGTTCGTGAGGCCACATTAGAGATTCAAGTCTGCGTAGTTACATATTATTTTATACGTTTAGAGACAAAACCAATTTCTATGGACACTAAATCTCCCCCTGAGGATGTCCTGAAAAACAGGAGTTGACTCAAAAACAGGGACAATTCTTGAACATAATAACTTACTACTTACAAAATAAGCATTATTGATCCAACACTCAGAGGTTTTGAAGGTTCGTCATCTTTTCCTCCTCCTCCTCCACCTCCTTTGAAACAAGCCCCACTATACTCAAACACTACCTTAACCGAGACTACCCCAATCTATTACAAAAAGGAAAAACAGCCAGACATGTTATAAGAATGCTCTAAAAACCCTAAGATTTTATCTTTATCATTTCAGTGTGCAATTATGAAATTGTAATAATAATCATGTTTTGAAAAAATTTGACCTCATTTGCAGTTATTTGAGTCTAATGTTTTGGTAACCTAGAAGCCACCTTATTAAACCTTAAACTCCCACAGAAGTGATTAACAAGTAACTTCTCCTTATAATATCCCATACAGTATCAAGCAAACAGGTAATGAGAATATTCAAAATTATCAGGTAGAAGTTGTTATCATGATCTAGCACAAAATTCTGGTTACTTAAATGTACAAGGAAATGTGTAGCAGCTAGAGTAGGGAATTAAAGCCAATCCTGAGGAGTTTAAAACTTCTTAGGATTGGACAGCTAAAGCTGATCTTAAGTGCACAAATATATTAAGCTTGCATAGATTAAAATTTAAAGTATGTGATGGTATTATGGTCACCATGGGAGACCAGAATGAATTACAAATTTCATGATTTTTTCATGATGATGATGATACAATTTTCCTACAGCACTCACTGACTCAAAAAGCATTTTATATAAAAGCTGTAGCATTTACCCACTATACCTCTGTACTTGTAACAGTCACACTTGTTGGAGGATATGTGACACTATTATTGCCACTTTCACCATCAGATCTTTTCCATACGGCACTTTTGTTACAACGGAATGTGATTTCAGTTTGGAAGGAGGAAAGTGTTGAGGCATTGGTTAGCTCTCCTGGTTCATAAATTAGGGTGAAGTATTCCCATTCTAAAAGTAAATTTAAAAATCATTTTCTGGAAGACAGTTTGCCTTCACTCTTTGAACCCCAAGAGTAATTAGCAATCTAATTTCTCATGAAATTTCACCCCCAAATCACACATTAATGTTAGGAGAATAAAGGAAATGATCACCCTCTTAAGAGGCTTGGGATAATTTAAGAAATTTTCCTTGTCAGCACCTAAGGAAATGTACAAAGTACAGTATACATGCTGATGTTAGGGTGAAACAGATTAAACAGAAGCAGATTAATTCATCAACAAAATAAGAAAGGTACTTAACTGATTAATCAAACACCAACTTTCATTTATTATTTATACCAATAAAGCTAAAGGAAATTGAAACATTCTCTAAGTTGTCTTAATTCATATACAGTATTGTGCAAAAGAAATGCAAATGAAAATTGCCGAATTTCGTTAATTGCTCTTTTCAAATTTCATCAAACTTTGGTGCAAAAGTTCAAGGGAAGATTCTCACCAAAAAGCAATATTTCTTTGAATTTTCATTACCAAATAAAAGTTCACAACGAAAAGCTTGGGAAAAAAAAAAATTCTCCACAACATGCTCAATCTACCTGTCACGAAACAAAAAGATTAAAGCCTCTTGGTACAAGAGGTTTCAAATGCTCGTGCAAACTGTGTTCATTGCACAATACTGTAGCACAGCCATGAATTATACATAACAAGCCCACCACATCACCAAGGAAGCCCAGTTAAAACTACTCGAAAAGACTCCAAAGAAACAGACTCATAGAAAAGTACAAGACTCTTACATGGTTCGAATACAATACCGTACAAGAAATCCTTACAAACAAGCAATTGTCTCTATCCGTAACCTTGAAAACTGCTGAAATATCCGTAATGCTTCCGTAATGTTCTATTCCTTCGATGCGAGACTAGTTAAACGATCCTTATCCGAGAAATAAAGGCGAAAATAACAAGCGATAAAAGCACGTATATGCCGAGGTTTGACCTAGTGTCGAATGACAACACCTCGGCGCAGACTGGGCCTAGTGCACAGGACACCTAGCATTTACAATGAGAATGATGTATTATTCAGTAAGTGACACAGGCGTACTCGGAAAAAAAGAAATCCGAGTGCTCCCGGCCATCAGGAGTCGAAACTATCGACATCGTGTCAGGTTATGCCTAAGTGACACGATGAGACGGTACGGGTAGTCATCTCCTATAAACTCGTTGGCTTTTAAAAACACGCAATCTTGCTAAAATCAATTCTGGTTCAAGTCCGGAGAGTTTTTAGGACTTCGTGCGATGTTTTTGCAGTACATCCTGAGACAAGCAATTAAACACTCATTTATCTTTACATCCATGATGAACACTCATTTATCTTTAAAACCATGAAAATCAAACACTTTCTTTAGCATCTAAAAATACTTCATAACCAAGGTATTAACATCAATAATAATAATAATAATAATTTATAGACTTATATTGGGAAATTATCAATATAAGAATTTTCAATTGCGCATTACAATTAAATCTTAAAAATTCAACCCCTACATAGATACTAAAAACTAAACATTAAAAAATAAAAAAAAATTGAAAAAATAAAAAAATAAAAAATAAATAAATAAAAAATGATCATAAGAAAATGTAAAATATGAAATTAGATACAAAGAAATAACTACAATGTCTATCAAAAAACACGATTTCCACTGGTTACGGAGTCGAATAAAAATAATAAAATTCAAACTTACTTGAATCAAAGTTAACTTTTTTGTTTGGGTCAAAGCCACCAGTTTTTTTTGGCATAGTATAAAGGGTCTTGCTGTCGTAGTCATGCCCCCAGAAAGAGACCTTGTTGGTCAAACAAATTCCACAATTTTCAGTGCAGAGACTAGGAACTGGATGGCAAAGGGAAAAATAGAAAACACAGGTGGAGGTGACATTTTCCTCACCAGAAATTGGTGGTTTGAAAGGTATGCATCCTTTCTCTACATGAGGCACCTCAAATGTCCAAAAGTTTTGACTGGAAATTAGATAAAAATGCATATCATCAGATACAATAAAATCAATATTCTAACTGTTAATGACAAAGCCTTCTAAATTCATCCTCAAGCTCTCTGGCAATTAACCCATTTGACCCCTTAGGTGACTAGCATCTAGTTTCTCCTTACGATTACATCCCTGAATCACCCACTGAGGTCTGGAGAATAAAGGAAATGATCACCCACTGAAGAGTCTCTTAATTGTTAAACAAATTCTCCTTGTCAGCACCTCAGGAAATGTAAAGAGAACAGTATGAAGAACATGCATACTGATGTTAGGGTGTAAGGGGTTAGTAAGTTCTTTGCTTGGGTAAGTGGTGGACTAATATCTCTAAATTCAGCTTATAGCACAGTGCATAATGCTTGTCCAGTTTTTCTACTACGGTAAAAACAAATTGACCGAAAGAGAAAGAGATAATCGTGGATAAGAACATTATATGTGCAAATATAGACAGGAGATGGAACAGTTTGCTTGCGGGTGAAATTAAACAGAATATAAGATCAGTGTAGCATTTGTGTACTGCATGATCTTGCATTACGAAGTAGGTTGGCCAATAACATAACCCAGATAATTGTGTGTTCAAATATAAAAACTGGATCGATAATACCTTGCAATTATACTAAAGACACGTAAACTTTGACGCTTAAGATTCTGTGTGTTTTAAAAACCGCACTATATAAGATTAAGTTCTTCGTTATTGTGTACATTACCAATACCGTACGTACACTCGTATAATATAGGACGCCCTCAAACATTTGATCAATACGATAACCTCAATCGATTTTCCACTTACTCTTTCAGAATATTGATGTCCTTGTCGATTGGAGCGCATATCTCTGAAGAAACTTGTTGTGTCGCAAAGAAAATAAGCACAAGGCAACCTATAACTAAATGGCTGCTTCCGCACGCCATTTTGCTTGTGGTAAAAAGGCAAGTGGATTCCAGGCTTCTTCCTGAGCGCAGCAAAAGCATGCTGGAGTACTTGAGAAGACCAATTTTACGCCCATTGTTCGAATGGACTAATTTATCTTGCTTGCTATGATTCACAGACTAACTTGTTTTTAATGGTTATGGATATTTTTTTTTAACATATCTCAGTAATTTATCTAAGGAGGCTAAAAGTGAACAAAGCTCTGAAAATAAGGTCTTCTCAGTGATAAATTAAGGACCCCTCAAAGGAAACGGTAATTTGTTCACTGATCGATTTCTCCAACTGTAGACTATGCATATTGGCGGGTTCTTGTGTATTATGCTAGAGTCTTTTGGATATAGAACAGATCTCTCCACAGTCCCTGTTTCAGTTGGCTTAATAACTTACATAAAATTAAATTTGTTTTTATTTTACTATCAAAGAGAAAATTCCATACATAATTTCACCATTGAAAAGAATGAATTTTGAATAATGTGCGTAATTTCGTGGAGAGAGAAAGAGCAGCAAAAAAAGAAAAACTAGGTGGATGGGGAGGGGAGTTTATCCCAATATTCACACATCTATGCATATCAACTTTCCAGCGATTGTGTAACCTTCAAGCAGACCCATTTTCTTTTAAAACCCACTTGCCTGTGTTACCCGGGAGTTCTACTCATGGATTCAGAATTTATCTCCTGGTGTTTCCGCCACTTCGGCATTATTTATTTTTAATTCGTATTTTTTCTCTTGTATTCACGTGTATTACTGTTATCATTATTCTGTTAATTTATTTTTTTGCATAACTTCGAATACCATTTGTTTGTATCATTTGTGTAATTTCTTTGCCATAAACTTTATTCATTCGGCTTTATCGTCTAATTGTGCTGGATCATTTTTCTCAATAGCTGTAAATCGTTTCATATCGTCTTCACTCAGCCATTTCTCGCCGGATCTCGTACAACATTTATAAATGTCTTTTGTCGTCCTTTACCTTGTCTTCTCGTTTATCGATCATTTTTACTTACAATTGTAGTAACTTATTATTTACAATTTTTTCTTAGCAACTGCTTCAATTTCTCACCTCGCTTCAGTTCTTTAGTTCGTTTCGCTTCAGTTTGGAATTTTATTTAAGTGCGTGTTTTATTTGGACATGTACGAGTACTTTAGCCATCACTCCTAGTCTTTTCCTCTACCGTTTTCATAATCTTACGGATGTAAATACATTTTGATATTCTTTCTATAAAAGAGAGGAGGTCAAATGGATTTTCTTCATATTTAGGATCACGTGATTTCATTTTAGGGACTTTATTTTATGGAGAGACTGGGAAAACGTGGTGAAATAATAAAATTAAGGGGGAGGGGATGTAGGGGAGTGATACTGAATTAGGCAACTGTTGGTTTCAGATTTCCAAAGGTTGGCTTTTCTATCTTTTTTCCTAGGGGTATTAATTTTGAGATTTGCATCCCTCCTGGCTCCTAAAACACTTCTGGGCGAGATTTCAGTCGGCCAAAAAATTAGTAACCAGGCCTCCCCTCAGCCCCTCCCCCTCAATAAAATAAAATAAAATAAAATGAAAAAAAAACAGAAAGAACAAGAAATAGTAGAATAAAACAACACTTCAGAGTGGTTTACTCTCTGTTATTTAATAATATTCCTGAACCCTTTTACATCCTTAAGATTGTGTTCATATTCTCCACACTGTTCTTTGCATAATTCCTCTAACACTGACAAGGAGAATTTGATTGACAATCAGGAACTTCCTAAATTAATGATCATTGCCTTTATCCTTACAACCTTTACATTTGATTCAAGGGTGATACTCACTCTTGAGGGTAAAAGAGTTAAAAAGTGTTTGACTGTATATTTGGGGTTTGTCATTTACATGATCATTATCGTTTTTTGCAGTCAATATAATTTCAAAAAGTAGCTGCCATCTTCTCCAACATCATTCCTTGCTTGAAAGGTCAAGTTCATCCCTGAACTCATCAAATTCATCCAATGACATTTTAGCAACTTTTTCTGCAAACCTTTTGTCGGAAGGAGTCACAATGAGTCCAAGGCCATAATCATCGATTATTGTTTCATCTTTTATGAGTCCCAGATGCTTTAGATACAAGTGCCTTTCTTTAATTCTTTTAAGGGAGCACTGAAACACCCTGGGACAACGTGCTATGCCTGTTGGACTTACATTGATCTTCTCAAAACAATAATTCCACTTTTCTTTGAGTGCATCATTGCTGAATGTCAAAACAGATGGCTGTTTGAGAATGATATTTTTGATGTGATGTTTATTAAATTTCAGTTCTTCTTCCAAGAACTGGACCTTCTTTTGCAATGACTCCACCGTGTAAGCAGCAATGATTGTTGGACATTTTGTCAACACATGGAGTATTTCATCTTTGGTAAACTTTGGTTTTACATTCAATTCTTCAAAACATTTGATCTGTGCAAGAAAAAAAGTAACACCAAAAACAAAAGAGCCATGAAATGATGTTTAAATGAAGCATCATCTTCTAAAAATGGGTCATTGGGAATTCAGAGTCAGATAGAGTCAGTGATAGAGCTGGTCAGTCTGTCAGTCAGCCAGACAATATGTCAGACAGTCTGTCAGACAGTCTGTCAGTCAGTCAATCCGTTGATCAGTATTTGTCAATCATGAGTATGAGTACAGACAGAATTGGATGACACAAAGTCCTATTGCCAATTAATCATAACAATTATCAAAAAAACAAAACCATAACTATTTCCGAAAACAACAAATACATTTAGGACTAATCTCTCTAGTACAGAGCCAAAGTAAAAAAATTCCTAAATTTTGGAAATTTCATAGTTTTATTTTAAGGATAAGTGGTGATTGTTGCTACTGTCCGATCACACAATCCGATAACAACTGTATAGAATGATTGGTGAAAAATAATGCAGCTAATGCACCAATTGCATTTGAGGAAATTGCTATGGGTTCTGATTAATCTCTTAGTCAGCCCTACCTTGTCAGGTAAAGATTCCTTGATCCTTGCCGTTAGCACTCCTGGCGATTCCTTAACGACGTAAGCAATAGATTCGGGAAAGATTCCAACAATTCTCATGATCTTCACACGATGTCTCAGCAGATCATCCTTGGTTGTCAAAATAGTGGGTCTATTCGAGATAATTCTGTTTCGCTGATTGTGGTCAATCCCTATATCATCTAGAATTTTAAACACCCTTGATATTTTTTCTACAGTCAGTTTCCTTAAATCGATCTGTCTGCGGACCCTTTGAACACGGACCCCATTTTTTTCCAAATATTCGCTGACTTTTGCACGTGCTGTTTGTGACTGTTTCATCTCTTCTTCCGATTTTTCCTCCTCGTGCACGGTCATCTGAGCTTTAGATGCTAATTTTCTAGCAAATAAAAAGCTTATAGCACTTGACTGGCCTCTCAATAAAAATGTTCGAGGCGTTGAAGCAGTACGAAGCAGAATGATCTTGTGCACTAGATTCTGACGCAGAGACGCCATTTTGGAAAAGTTACTTAAGCTCTCTCCCCAGTCAACACTCGGCTCACCGATGTTCTTGTAGAATTAAGGGTAAAAGGAAACACGGAAGGTCCAAAACGTAGGTAACTCAAGCCCCTTGAAACAAAAAGAAAAATATGATTCTCTTCCAAAGTGTATTTTCTGTCTCTTACCTTTGTTAGTTGATACACAAAATAATCAAAAACAAAAACATGTCTGTTTAATGCCTCGACCTCTGGCAACCTAAAGCAACACTTAATAGCCTCGGGTCCCAGGTTCCTGGATAGTGATGCCTTAACTTGGTGGGATCTTATTTCATAGAGAGGTTTAAAGGGAAGCCATGATAAGCTATCGAGCTAAGTGACCCATCCAGCCGGAGCTTATCCCAGTTTCTGTGGCATTAGGTAACTGAGAGTGTTGCACCCCCCTAGATGGGAAAATCCATCGAATGCTACCCCTGGGAGGAGGCAAGGGGAACCATAAGAGTGGAGTATCTTGACCAGGAACACAAGAGGTAAAGACCCAGCGAGGTCTCGAACCCAGACCTCTTGACCTGAAGTCCAGTGCTATCTGAAAGGCTATTACGTCTCCCATAGTTCTCAGAGAGGAGAGACAATAAAAGACAAGTCATCCTTGTGTATGTCAGTTATACCGAAACACGTCCATTGATCCTATTAGCCAACTCATCCTCTAATCGAGTATTAAAAAAATTATTACATGGAGCTTTATTACAGCGCATGAAATTTGAAAAAAGTTACCTGAATTATAAAGCTTAACGTTTGCAGCTCGTTTCACCTCAACTGAAAGCTCGAATGGAATGTATTTTGAAATCAACCTTTATAAATATCATATACAAGCAGGGATTCAAGCACACATCTAAAATGACCTATAATGGGGGCGAGGATTGTAGAGAGACAGTTTTGTGGGCAGTCATGGCGTAATTTCATCCCCGATGACCTCAACTCATACCTCGCGTAGAGATATCGTAAAAATAGGGGTGCGACAAATGTTTGTTATCAGATTTACAAGAAAACAATGTCCTGCTTTTCAGTTCATTTAAAGTAAGCTCTGTCTTAATCTCCATGGAGACCCGCCAAGCTTCAACCTTAAATGTTTAATATCAGACAAAACAGTTTTCGAAAGGTCATCTGCTATTGATTCGCTAAACACTACAGGACTGGCTCTCTTAAATGCTCCAGAAGGGTCTGAATAATTAAACTGGCTTTCAGTAGACCGACACTGAGTAAATATGTACTTAGATTTTGTTAAATGGGCATTGCACAAGTATAACATTCCACTGTTGCACTTCAATGCAGCACAGTGTGTTTCTTGTGGCGGGCGGAATATAGAAATTTTTTTTTGCAGCTAGGAGAAGCTGTGATCAAAGCGCGCAGTAACGGGAGAGCGCTAAAAATCTTAAGCTAAGTGAGAACATTGTGGTTGAGATTCTCAGCGAATCGCTAAATGGGGTGCGAAAGCTTTAAAATTCTGGCCGTGGTCTTAGTATTTTGTGTGATGAACGAAGTGTCTGCGGATCCCAGATGGGCTTGGAGACGCCGCCGCAGATGTCAAAAAAAGGATTGCGTTCCGGGAACATGGTCTGCGTGGAGTGCCTGCTCGCATTCGTGTGGTCCGCGTGGAACTCAATACAGAAGGCGACCTATCGCCAAGCCTGCACAGTGCGGAGGAAAATGTTTAGTCACCACGATAGGAGCTAAGGCGTGCAATCGCTTCTGCCTAAATGGTGGTTCACTGGTACGTCTGAGCTGCCAGTGTAAGGCTGGGTATAGTGGGGTTTGCTGTGAGAAAGGTAAGTTCTGTGATAAAGGTGCACGTATGGTTTTTAGGTTTCAAGAGTGACTGAAGGTAATTGATCTATACTCCATTAAGATGAAGTTCATTTACAATTGAATCACAGCGTGACATTAAAAAGAAAACTTCAATTTTTCAAATTCCATTCAAATCAAATTTAGTGGATCCACTTAAAGTGTTTCATCAGAGTATAGTTTTTTATTTGTTGAAGATTAAAGCTAAAGAAGTCTTTGATAGGTGGTGGGTGTTGTGAGAAAAAAGATTCTTACACCACGTACTTACTAGGGACTCATTCTTTAGCCGACAGCGGGCGTAAATTTCCTCTCTTTAATTTCTTGTTTGTTTCCTGGTTAGTTTGCTCATCTTTTCCTTGTCTGCAAAGTCACCACACCCGGAAAATTAAGGAGGAATAGAATGCTAGTAGTGCTACTTTCATTAAAAAAAAAAAAAAAGCAAAAATTACGCTCATCTTTCCGAGTTACGCCATAAATTATGCTAGCACAATCTGTAAAGACCTAGTACCTTAGGCCTCGAACAGATAACATAATAAATTCCCAGAAATATTTACATTTTTGTAAAATGTATTCAATTTGTAAACTATCAAAATTTCCTTGATGTACAAGGGATCTATCGCATAAATATTCAGGTGGTAAGAGTTTTACCCTTTTAAAAGAAAAACAGTCTTAGCATTTTTAACAGTGTCGTGGTCTTCATGATCTTCCCATTTCTTTTCGGTCCTTATCCGCCAGAAAAAGATCCTGTGAACGGCAGGTGGCTTAAACACGAAAAGCAGAATAATATAAAACTTGTAATAGACTGCAAATCACTGAGACTGGCGGGAGTTAGAGACACGTTCTCCTCACTTACTTATCTTGTTCTCGTAGTGTCCGGAGGATGGAGTAGTTGGGGAGCCTGGTGCGAGTGTACTAAGACCTGTGGGAGAGGGTCACAATACCGCAAGCGATCCTGCACTAAACCCGGAGGGACCGACTGTGTGGGACCCTCTAGAGAATACAAGTCGTGTATGATCAAACAATGCAACTTAGGTGAGTAGTTAGGTGCGTTTATTGTTATGTTTCCAATAGAAAGGTACCAATCGCTACACGAACGCATTTGTGTCCAATCGGTAGAACTTTTTTATACGTGGTTTTTCCTACAAAGACAATTTATATTAAATGAAACTGTTATTTATCTAGGCGCACCATATAGCTTTAACCTTTTGTAAATTTTATGCAATTCAGCCTTAGGAGGCTGCAAATTTGAATATTTCAATAAACTATCTATCTATCAATCTCACTCCCTCTCTATTTGCCAGTGTAAGCAAACCTTTGGCACAGGACTCACGTTAAGTCCAACAATGGACCAATCAGATTGCTCGGAAGAATGAGGAAAAATAAACACTCTCTAGAAAGGCCGATACTTTGACCAGCAATACTAAATGTAAAGGCTAATGATTTGAACTGTATGAACCATTTTTTAGATGGAGGCTGGTCTGCTTGGTCAAGCTGGGGACAATGCAAGGGATCCTGCGGAACGGGATTACAGACGCGAAAACGGTCCTGTACGAACCCGCCTCCTGGATATGGAGGAAAGAAATGCATGGGCGCATCTCAACAGCACAGGAATTGTATCCTTAGTAGGTGCCGGGGTAAGAAAACTCACATCGAATTTTTACAAAAATTAATATGAAATTGAAATGAGGAAGTGTAAATCTATATCATTAGATAAATCTGATCACCATCAGCTCTTCTCTTACCTTTTCAATTTCCCCTTCTTCATCAGATGGAGGTTGGTCTGCTTGGTCAAGCTGGGGACAATGTACGGGATCTTGCGGGACGGGACTACAGACCCGAAAACGGTCCTGTACAAACCCGCCTCCTGGATATGGAGGAGAGAAATGTATGGGCTCGTCCCAACAGCATAAGAATTGCCTCCTCAAACGATGCCCAGGTGAGATATTCAAATACATATGAAAGGTTGCCTCCTTAACAGTTAGGGAGTTGGTTGTTTGCGCACAAAGTCGGACACGCAAGACTTCTTGCTCATGCGCACAGGGACTGCAGAGGCTTACGTTAGCTCACGCTTGGGTTACGTGGGACAAAATGTCTACTTTCTGATGAGGATTAGCAACACACAGGCTCGATTGCGTGGAACCCTTCCGTCTTATGTATAAGACAAACTATTCTTGACTGATTGTAAATGGACCATTTTTGGAAGATATTTCTGTCAGTGATCATATGGACACCAAACATGTGCGGTTCGATTCCAAGTTGACAAACCAGTCAGTGAGTTTGCTGAAAAAAAAAAAATACACGACAACTATCGAAAAAGTACACAATTCAACAACTAAAACAGAAAGGGTAAAGGAAGAATTTCTGCATCTCTCATTGTTTCTTTAACAATTGTTTTGATCGTTTTCAGTAAATGGAGGTTGGAAGCCTTGGAGTAAATGGCGCGCATGTTCTAAGACGTGTGGCACTGGGTCACAGTACCGCACCAGGAGCTGTACCAGGCCTCGCCCGGTGTATGGTGGTAAAAAGTGTACTGGGCTTGCTAGACAGACCAGGAGATGTAATACTCATCACTGCCCTGGTAAGTAATGGATTGGGAAAAATCGATCACTGCTTTCTATTTGGTTACATGTTATCGGAAATTGGTGGAAACGTCTTGGTAACAAATCTTGTTCGATTGTTAACGTATAACAAGCGCGGATATTTTTAGAGTTTCGTGGCAAATTTTATTTTATCCTGTTACGAGACCAAGTGCTCAAACCTCCCCTTCCCTGACCACTGTGCGTCTTGGAAAAAATACTCATACATGAATATCTCTTTCAGTTAAAGGAGGCTGGAGTCTTTGGAGTAAATGGTGTACGTGCTCTAAATCATGTGGGACTGGATCACAGTACCGGACAAGATCCTGTTCCAGGCCTCCTCCTTCATACAGTGGAAAACATTGCACTGGGCCTAGCAAGCAAACCCGGAACTGCAACAATCGCCGTTGTCCTGGTAAGAAATAGATTTTAAAAAATCAATAGTTGTCTTCTATCATACCTAATATTTGGAATGGACACCGAGGCAAGATAAATCAATGTAATTCTGTTCCTTATTATTTGTTCGTTTTGAGCAATAACACGGAGTAACCTGATATCGGTAAGAGCACTTTGTAAATCGGGTCAAGTCTTTGGGGTGTGGCAGTGTTTCCTCTGATCTCCTGTTAACAAACTTTTTTAAAAGCATTGACATTATGGTCATGGCGGATTAGACTTGAGTGAGGAATGGGAAGGAGTTTTCTCACAAAGTTAACATTGGTCTTAAAGGATAGACATGGCGGGGCAAACATGCCCCTAACATCCTTTACCTTTTGTCAGTGGGTTAACTTACTGCTGATCGTAGATGCCCACTATGGATCAACAAAACAGTGATACTAAGTTAGGCTGTCACCTTAATTTTAATTGAGATAATCAAATTTGTGTTTGATTCTAATTTGATTTGGTATCACATACTAAAGGAATACTTCCTCTCTATTGGCTCCAAACTATCGCAAACGTTCGAACGTCAAACACGTTTCTTGAGTTGAGAGGCATGATTGAGTTTATGCATAACTGAATCATCTGTCAAAATAAGAAACACATGGAGCCAAATACATATATTTTGCTGCTATTTTGTAACTGATCTACTTATTTGTCATTAAAGTGAACGGAGGTTGGAACCTTTGGAGTAAGTGGTGGGCGTGTTCTAAAAGGTGTGGCACTGGCATTCAGTATCGTACAAGGACCTGTACCAGGCCCCGCCCAGCATACGGTGGAAAGCGGTGCACTGGGCTTAGAAAACAGACTCGGAATTGTAACACTCATCACTGTCCCGGTAGGGAATAAAAATAAAAATTCAATGTTTTTTTTTAGTTTCTTAATATTTAGTTTGTACAAGTAAACAAGACGCTATCGGTCATTTCATGTATATGGGAAACGATCGTATCAGTTGAAACTCTGAGCCAATTTTTTTTCTCATTTTCAGTTAATGGAAGATGGTCAACCTGGGGTAGCTGGGGCGCATGCTCAAAAACATGTGGAGTCGGAAAGCAGTATAGCAAGCGAAAATGTAACAATCCTGCACCAAAATATGGCGGGCGGAACTGCTATGGATCAAATGTTAGATCACGATCGTGCAATGTTAAAACTTGTCCAGGTAAAAAGATAAATTTTTATAAAAGGACCATGCTTCGATTCCTTATTTGTAAGCAAATTTGCTAGGAAGGGAAGCTGGTAAAAAGATTGGTCATCATGGGATTATCAGTGGGATCATTTTACAAATCCGCATCAGCTGCGACTGTTCATTGGTTGGCAAAGGCTGACAGGAACCAATCAAATATTCCAAATATCGATTTATATCCTGATGTCTTAAGCAAAACGATTACTCGGCTCTCTTATGGTTCCATATCGTTGAATGGACTGTAATGCGACCACAGCTACTTGGTATAGATATCATTAGTAAGACATAGAAATGCATGTCCTTTCCATTCTCTTTTTTTTCTTTTGATTTTAATTTTCAGTAAATGGAGGCTGGAGTCTTTGGAGCAAATGGTGCGAATGCTCTAAATCGTGTGGCAGTGGATGGCAGCACCGCACAAGGACTTGTACCAGGCCTCCTCCGACCTATGGTGGTAAAGTATGCAGTGGGTTAACCAAGCAGTCCAGACACTGTAACACTCGGCGCTGTCCTGGTAAGCAACATGTTAACTAAAACAATCACTGTAATTCTTGGCTCTTGAAAGTCTTGGTTTTGACTGAGTCTTTCGGACCAATTCTAGAACTAGAATTTCCGTCTCATCAACTAATAAAATTTATGGGAAATGCGAAAAAATTTCCTGAAATTTATCTGTAACTGTGTGCATTACTTGCAGTAAATGGAGGCTGGGGTCCCTGGGGTAAATGGTGGGCCTGCTCTAAATCGTGTGGCACTGGGTCACAGTTTCGAACAAGGACCTGTACCAAGCCTCCCCCGGCATACAGTGGCAAACATTGCACTGGCGTGAACAGACAGACCAAGAGTTGTAACATTCATCACTGTCCTGGTAAGAGATATGATTTCCATGTTGATTAGGGATACCGATATTCTAAAGAAATTACTCGGGGCTAATTACTTGTGGAATGTTTTAGAGAACAAATTATTATGATCTGTTAGAACCTGTGGCTATAACATAGAAAAACACCGTTCCTAAAGATCAGTATACATATAAACACTTCAAAAAGTTATTTTTTCAAGACTTTATTGCTGTTAAACACAGAAAACCCTAAACACCTGAAATATTTGGGTAGGGTGTATCACATTTCACCGACCACCTTACAAATTAGGACGTTTGTACGGACAAGCAAACTGCAAAACACAATTTCCTTTTCTCCCTGTTTAATTGGTGGTTGTTGCTCGACACAACAACGTTTCAGCAGTATTTCCTGTGTTCATAGTGTTCTGAATTTCATAGTAAAAGCAGCGTTCCTTTTTCTGCAGACCGTAAGTGAGCATATTGAGAGAAACTTCCCCAAGGTGTAATTCCAAGGATGTAAGAAATATTTTGACCAAGTTTATATATATATCATGAACCATCCCCATTGACTATTTTAATCAAATGTTGCAGATAACCATATTGTGGGTAACAATTGAGGAAAGTTTAAAGAAAATCTCCGGTCAATTTGAAAACTAGTTCTTTTCTTTGTGATTATCTCAAAAGCATTATTTTTCGTACAAAAAACGCCTAAATATCTACGAAATGATCATGAGTAGCCATATGACATAATCGTTCTGCATTTTTAGTTCATGGAGGATGGTCCAATTGGGGAAACTGGGGCGCATGCTCAAAAACTTGTGGAGCTGGAAAACGTTATAGCAAGCGACGTTGTGACACTCCAGCGCCAAAATATGGCGGCAGGAAATGCTATGGGACAAATTTGAGAACCCAGGCATGCAACGTCAATCCTTGCCCAGGTTAGTGGAGTTTAGTTTAGAGCACTTTGGTTCGTGTGGTAATCTCGTACCCAGATCATATCGTTTAACTGTAACTGAAATGCCCACCGCTTGGTCGCGGAAAGTCTGGGTACGAGACAAGGGTGTGGCGAAACCAACACTAGGATAGAATAATTTTTGATTGGGCACCGGCATAGCTTTGGTTTTGTTTTGTTTGGATTTGGGATTGGTCCATGAAATTCGCGCCACTTTCTCTACCAATCAGATTAAAAACTTAAACCAATCGCGACAAAGTTATTCGAGTTTTCCCGCGCTTGAAGCTGTTTGCGTGTTTTTACTTTGAGCTCTCATCGGCTGTTAATTTTATCGTGCTTTTATTTAAATGGTCGTTGTGATTATTTTGCCTATGGTTTTTGTTTTACTACACTCAATTAAAAAAGCACGTAATTGCAATCATGGAAAATATCACAATGATCCAATGAAACCTCAAAGTAAAGAAAAGAAAACTGCCACGAAAAACGTGAGGGACTAATTCGCCACTATACTTAACTTTGCACGAACGTCGAAAGAAGTTTTTTATACCAATCAACAAGCAAGGTAAAGAAAAACATATGCAGCTTTAGATTGCCCATGAATCTAAATTGAATTTGCCTGACTATATTTTCCATCGAAAGTCTATTAACGCAAATCTTTCTAAACGGTAATCTTCACAGTATCGAATGTGTCATAGGAAATTACTTAAGTCCAAAATACTTTGTTCCAGGAAAGTTACAGGTAATGAATGTATCAAAAGTAAAGACATGATGTTTCTCAGTCAGAGTCACAGGTAGACCAGTTGCTCCTCATTGGAGTCAAAACATGTGACCTTCCGATTAGTGATTTCAGGATGCTTTGTAGCTTGGAGCTTTGAATTACAATTGTGTAACAGATATCCTGTTTACTTCCGAGATAAGGTTCTTAATAGGATACCACAACCCTTTTGGCTTTGAAGTTATCACTTTACAATATAAACTACGGGGCGTAACATATTTTGTTAGATTGAATTGAAAAGAATATAAGCTTAAAGCTCAATAAAAACCTATCGCCATGATTTATGTTTCTTGTAGTAAACGGCCGTTGGTCACTGTGGGGAAAATGGTCCGCGTGCACAAAGACTTGTGGGACTGGAGGGAGTCAAACGCGCCGTAGAACCTGTACCAATCCCCCGCCGAAATATGGAGGAGTGTGCATTGGACCGGGTGTTCAGACTAAAACGTGTCTGGTGAAAAGATGTCCAGGTCAGAATTTTTGTGGTTTATTTAAGAAAGAAATTATTTAGAATAGCGAAGCAAAGATTGTGTAAGGGCGGCGATTTTGAACAACAATGCTTTTTAAAAATTTCTCTAAGAAAATTCCTTGAAGTCTCTTCAAGTGGATCGCTACGTTTCGACTGTATACAGGTAGTCTTCTTCAGGCGATAAGGTCGACTGGATAAGCATTGCTTTTATGCTGTCCAAATATATTGAAACGTGCGATTTGATCTCGTCGTACATAGATTTCGATGTCCTCGCGCAAAGTCAGCAATGTTCTTCAGTACATCCTTAGAGTTCCAAACTCTTGCGATATCTGATCGTCCTTCGATCAGTCGAGCACTACAGTTTAGTTCGTTCAATATGATTGGTTACTTTTGCCGCAAACTCATTGGTTGTAAGACTCGGGTACCCTACGTTTTCGAAAAGTCGGTATTTTTAGAAATCAAAAGGGTAAGTTTCTGAATAAACTATACCACTGCGTCGGTGGAGTAGTATAACAGGATCATTTTGATTTTATTAGATCTGTTAATAATATAAAATTGGCCACCGTAAAGAGTTTCACAGCCGACGCTTCGCTGACGAAGGGCTAATACTCGAAAGGTCAGCTTTGAAACTCTTTACGGGGACCGATTTACGTTATCAGCTCAGTTGATAATACCAAAATTATCATAGTTAGCAATAGGTCGTTCTGTTCGGTTCGCCTGTTGTAAATAAGTAGTTTGTACGGTGCCAATGGGTCGTTTCAATCAAAAGAGTGATACTGATATGAAAATTGAAAATTTGATTCTTAGTGAATGGCGTTTGGAGTGCGTGGGGCCACTGGCGCGCATGCTCTGTGACGTGTGGCACTGGTACACAATTCCGCAGTCGCTATTGTAACAAACCGAGACCAGCATATGGCGGCAAGTACTGCTCTGGACCGAGTAAACAGACGAAGAAATGCATAAAAAATCCTTGCCCAAGTAAACATAACATTTCTCATTCTATTCTGTAAGAGATACACAGTTCCTCGGTAAACTGAGGCGAATCTTGTTTTCCACTGGAAACAGGGGCGACACAGATTGTCATTTTGTGACATAAAAATTATTGCCCAACATTTACCAGGCAAGACAGCTAGATACCGTTTTGTTTTGTGTTTTACGTTCCATTAGGAAGCAAAAACAATTGGGTCAGTTGGATACTCACCCTGTAAACAATAAAGCAAGTTCAAAGTCGTGCAGTGAGGCCGGAGAAATGTGTGCTGCCATTAGGTGGATCGTTATCGATAGCAGAAATACTCACTGTAAGTGCTGTCATATCCGATTGTGCCTCACACCTGGTCTTTTCTCCAGCATAATTCGTCCGACGAGTCAATAGAAATCGCTGGAAGAGGAACTTATTTGAATTCAATCTGATTGAACATCAGGTATGCAAAAAAGCATACAGCGAATACAAAAGAAAGAATACTTGAGCTGGATTCTTTGTCTCTGGAATCAGTCAGCTTGCGTCTTACAATTTGGATCTTAAATTAACAAAAAAAAGTCATCAAACTATTCCGTTCCTTTCCTCTCTTTTCCTCAGTAAACGGTCGTTGGACACTATGGTCGACATGGGAAGACTGCTCTAAAACATGTGGGTCTGGAACCAAGGCTAGGAGGCGATCTTGTTCCAATCCTCCGCCCCAGCATGGAGGACAAGCGTGCACTGGGCCGAGTAAACAGACCAAGTCGTGTTTGCTTAAGGATTGTGCGAGTAAGCACAGAGTTTTCATGTTCACGAATAATGTAAACATCTATAGTCTTAGACATAATTATTCGTACAGTTCAGATTACAGTGCAAACTTTTCAGGCAGAAAATGCCATTGCGTTGCTCGGCCATATCCATCCACAATCTCCCCTTTTAATTTCAGCGTTAAAAGGATCGAAAGCACAAAGACGCTATTAGCCTTCCACTATATCCACACAGAAAAAAGGAATAACCAGCAAAGCTTTTATGTTCAACAATTCTTCACTTTTCAGATATCTCTTGTACAGATTTGACTCTTTCATAAGAATTTAGCCGTTCTTAATCTCGTACCCAGATCCTTCCGTGTAATCATAACTGCCTGGCCGTGAAAGGTCTGGGTACGAGACAATGCCGATCTAGCACGAAAGCCCACAGTGAAGGCCAATCTAATTAATACTATTCCCTATAAATGAATAATTCCCTCTTATGTTTATAATTAGGTTATGTTAGTTGGGGTTCCTGGGGTGCATGGTCAGCATGCTCCAAAACCTGCGGTGGCGGAACACAGAATCGTAAACGGAAATGTCAAGGTTACAGCCAGGGATATGGTGACTGCGCAGGCGCAAATGAAGAGACACGCGTGTGTAACACACAATCATGTCCTGTCGGTAAGCAACTGAATCTGTCTCTTTAATATCGAAAAAGTCTATCTCATTTACATTCGGCTCAGTGGTATTTTTTTGAAAGCTCAGCTCAGTTTCCGTCAGAAAAAAAAATTGAGTTTGGCGCCAACTTATTTTCGCCCATTAAAAGTAACACACCTTGAGAAGTAATTACTGTGATTTTTTTTTCTTAAAAGGTAGCATAATAACTCCCACAGTGGTTAGGCTGTTCTACCGTAGGAAGTGCTTGATTTCTAGTTAGAACCCTAAGATACCCCCGAAAGCGTTTTTAATTAACCTGACTATTTCCAACATTTTTCTTTGCATTGACGAAGTTGTTAATGGTGGTTGGGGAGACTGGAGCGATTGGAGCGCATGCAGTGTATCGTGTGGGCCTGGCACTAGTATCAGGAGTAGGAAATGCGACAATCCACCCCCAGGCCCCGGTGGTCAACCTTGTCACGGACCTCCTCTCTCAAACAAGCCTTGTAACGAGGGACTTTGTCCTGGTATGTGTGGACATTGCATTTTAACCAATCTCACAATTCTTCAAGAGACGTTTAAAGAGGGTTCAATTTTAAAATGGTCTTATTACAGATCTACAATGAAGACGCGATTTCACATTTACAAGATCATACCGCACAAAGGCCCTCTGATGAAAAAACAAACCGACGTGGTAGTATAGAATGGTTTTGAACTTATTTTGACGAGCAACACTTCCTGGGTGAAGCGATTTTCTTTCAAACGTATCTCTCCTTGCTATGGCTGAGATCAAAGGAAAATAATTGTGCTCGGATTGGATAAAAGTATCATTTTCCAAATCTCAGTCTTTCCTTGAGCGATGTACATTTTAAATTGAGAGTAATAACAATTCCTTCTCTCCCAATTATAGTTGACGGCGGCTGGGGAGACTGGAGCGCTTGGAGCGCATGCAGTGTAACTTGTGGGCCTGGCACTAGCATTAGAAACAGGAAGTGTGATAACCCAGCCCCAAGCAATGGCGGCCAGCCATGTGCAGGACTTCCCTTTGCGAACAAGCCTTGCAACGAAGGATCGTGTCCAAGCAGTACGTAACAAACTAACTCGCTTGTTTGTATTGGAACAGCCTTTTTTAAAAAATCCAAGCTTCATTCTCATCCCAAAAAGTGTCACTTATTGCCGCCGAATGTATAAAATATTTTTAAAACGAGGGAAGCAAGAGGTAAAAAGTTGGTTTGCTGCAGTTAAACTGTGTGAAAAACGTATTCCCTTTGGTTCAGAAGGAAACTCACAGTTACTCGATATTGAGTCGTCTCCTTGTTCAAAGGAGTTTTTTCCTTTTTACAACCCTTGGGATGAAGAGAAACTACGGTGTTTGCTTATAGCAATTAGAAATTATTCTGACGATGGGCAGTGTGACAAATGTGAAATCATAGATCATTGATGGAACCAGTGCGGCCGAGTGGTTAGGACGCTTGTCTTGTAATCTGATAGTACCAGGTTCAGGCTCTCCACCCCGCTACTTAATGGCTTTGTTCTCGATTGTCCTGTGTTTAATTCCTTGGCTGCCCTTTGTATAGAGCAAACAAATGAATGCCTTGCCAGTTGAGCTTTCAAAAACTAAAAATAATAAAAAAAAACCAAACCAATGAGGTAGTATAGAATGGTTTTGAATTTATTTTGACGAGCAGTACTTCCTTGCTTGGATTTGGGAACGGACTGCATGTCGTTTTCAGAGTGTCATGGTCAATGGTGAAGCAATTTTCTTTCAAGCCAGGAGCACATATCTCTCCTTGCTATGACTGGAATCAAAGGAAAATGATTGCTCGGATTGGATAACAGCATCATTTTCCAAATCTCAGTCTTTTCTTGAGCGAAGTACGTTTTAAATTGAGAAAGATAACAACTTCTCTTCTCTCAATTGCAGTTGACGGCGGCTGGGGAGACTGGAACGCTTGGAGCGCATGCAGTGTAACTTGTGGGCCTGGCACTAGTATTAGAAGCAGGAAATGTGATAACCCAGCCCCAAGCCCCGGCGGCCAGCCATGCGTAGGACTTCCCTTTGCGAACAGGCCTTGTAACGAAGGATCATGTCCAAACAGTACGTAACGAACTAATGATCGCTTGCTTATTTAAGAACAGCCTTTTTTAAAAATTGGCCAGGCTTGATTCTCATCACAAAAAGTGTCACTTATTTCCTTAAAAACGAGGGAAGCAAGAGGTAAAAGTTGGTTTGCTGCAGTTATGTTATGTGAAAAACGTATTCACTTTCGTCCAGAAGGAAACTCACAATTACTCGATATTCTGTGGTCTCCTTGTTCAAAGGAGTGTTTTTTTTTTTCTTTTTCACAACCCTTGGGATGAAGAGAAACTACGGTGTTTGCTTATGGCGATTGGAAATTATTCTGATGATGGGCGGTGTGAAAGTATAAAATCATAGATCACTTAATGGAGGCAGTGCAGCCAAGTGGTTAGGGCACTGGTCCTATTATCTGATGGCGTCAGGTTCAAGCCCTTCACCCTGATACTCAATTGATTTGTTCTAGGTTGCCCTGTGTTCAACTCCTTGGCTGCCCTTCGTATATAGCCAACAAGTGAACCTCCTGTTAGTTAGGTTTTCAAAAGCACTTGTTTCCAATTTGTTAGTATTGACCCTGTGAAACTCCATTCGGGGGAGTTGGTGAATTAAGTATATATGCATCCAAACACACGTGTAATATGACCTCGCTAGAACTCAGTCACTGACACACTCCCCAGCACTGGTGATCGGTTACAATTGGTTCTCGGTCTCAGGTGACGACTGTTGGAGCGAATGGAGTGACTGGAGCAACTGCAGTAAAGTTTGCAGCTGTGGCAAGAAATACAGGGTCCGTTATTGCAAGTGCGGGCATGGGCAGGGGAATGAAAAATGTCAAGGGAAGACTGATAACTCTCAGAGTTGTAACTGCCAACCCTGCCCTAACGGACCTCCTGCTGATGACGTAACGGAAGGTAGTGTGCATTGACTTGGTTTGGCTGGGACTGCTCGCGGTCGATTACATGAGATATGAACCCACTTTGGAGCTTCAAAACATTTCTTGATTAGCTGCTAGAAAAAAAGGACTCATTATTATGTCTTCTGGAAAGAGGATTCCCGATTACTGGTCTTTTCTGACATTATCGCTGACACTTTTTTTCTTTTACAGGTTAAAGACACCGAGAAGCATTGGAGACGTACATTTTAGTAATTTGCGAATAATCTAGCTCTTTCGTGACGTGTGAAATATCTTCAAAGAAATTCGACGTTAAGATGCTCATATTATCGACATAGTCTGTTCTCTTTTTCCTTTTTCGGTAAACAGCACTAAAGTTCACAAGCTTTTGGAGCTTCTGTTTGCCTTTTTGATATGCGGGACGTCTTTGTGTTTGTAATGTACCAATGGAAAGGCATGCCATGGCTCAAGTTCATAACTAAATAAATGGTGTTTTAAATTTTTGAGGCAGTGTTTTAGTGAGTCTCTGTTATCCGTTAAGTTTTGCTACAAGATTTCTTTTGGTCGAAGAGGAACATTGAACGACAAGCGGTATCTTTGTTCGTTAGGAATGAGCAAGTTATTTTAAGAATAAATGCACGATAAAAAAGATATCATGTAAATTGTTATGACCGTCCCTCTTAGCCTTGAGAAACGCCTCATGCTATTACTGATTTAAAAAGTCGGCGGGGAAGGTTAAGCGAATCCTGTTTCTTTTTTTTTAGTTGGGTACACCCATGAACGAAGGATCCAACGTAACCGCTCGCGATTACCCGCTGGATTTCCGCCAAAATATTTCTTAAGGGTTCGTAGTCTTATAAAGAGCACTTCTTTTCCCACCTTTTTCGTCGGGAGGGCAGGATATTAGCCTTATTTCTATTCGTTTTCGAGCTTTTAAATTTTCTCTTTTTGCATTTCGGTGGACCAAAATATTGTCTCGATTCATGCATGAAAACGCAGACGAGAAGCTGTCTGTAATCAACTCATCTTCAACTCGCCCCTGAGTCAAAACATTAAAACATATATACGTTGGAGGGGTGTTCAAACCTTTCACTCAGTCTCCCTCCTTTTCTTCTTGCGAGTGGGGAAAGAAACTGGAAACCAGCTTGAACAAAGGTGACTTCGAGCGTCGATAAAGACATTTTGTATGAAAAACGTCAACTTCTTTCATTTTGGCTCCTACACTTATATAAACCTCTCCACGTTTTGATTTTAAAATGCATCGTTCCAAGCATCGATTGTTTCCTTATAAAAGAGGCAAATTAATTAAATTTCAGGTAATCTTCTGTTAATTGGTCAAATTTTTTGCATATGAAATTCAACGTAAAGGACACTTCTGATATAAAATGATAAGTGTTTAATCACGACAAATATAATAACTAAACATTACGACTCGATTTGAGGAAGTAATCAAAAAAGATCAAACAAATCAAGTGTTGGGATCACACGTTGTGTCTAGTACCTTTCTTATTCTCAAACCAAACCATCTGAGTTTTGAAACTGAAAAATGGTTTCCCACCTTACTTTGATTATATCACTGGTTTGTCTGTTGTATCTTTGCCACTTTCATGTCGAAGCGAATTCTCGACCATTTCAAAAGCAATCATGTTGGATGTGTGATGCACCGCGATGCGACAAGTGCGTAACAAGTCAGTGGACCACATGGAACCAGTGTTCAGCTCCGTGTGGGTTAAACGGCTATCAGTCAAGAAATAGGGTCGTGCATCAGCCGTCGTCATGTGGTGCTGGATCGTGTCAGAATTTAATAGCAAAGGAGTGGCGACCATGCAATCGTTGGTGTCAAAATGGCGGGACCCCCGCTCGATGGGGCTGCCAGTGTCCGCTTAACTACATCGGTGACTGTTGCGAAACAGGTCAGCACACTATGAAATTAATTTTAGTTACATAACGCAAGATTCCTTTAAAACTTAAAGTCCTTTTTTTCCCCTTTACAATTTAAGTAAACTTGGATCATAATCTCTAGATGATAAGTAAGTTTTTATTCCAATGTTCGAGTTGCTACATGTTCATTATCGGTGTAAAAAATTTCCATGCAGGTGCCCGCCGTTCTCTCAGTAAGCCAGTGCAGACATGTTAAGAGGTGTCAAGGATAATAAAAGATCTATTTCAATTACATCAGTCAATTCTGATAAAACTGATTGAAGAGAAAAGCTTTATTTTAAGGGAAAGTCTACTAATCCACTTCTTTCGCGCTGATTTAATGAAAAAGAATTTTTCATTTTTGTTCGAAAAATTGTGAAGAACGATTTTAATCTTATCGGATTAGCAGGATGTTTCACTAAGCTACTTGTTATTTATACAATTACCCTGAAAAACAAGCCTTGGCTGAGGATCATGATTAATATTTGGACTTAACAATGGTATGCAAAATAATACTTGTCGTGGGGAACTCTACCTAATAAAATTGAGAAAAAAAATGACATCAGAAATATAATTGTTACTGTAAGCACACATTTGCTCCTCAAGACACTGTCACAATTTCTTTTTGAACAATCCACAGTCTTGAGTAGTGAACCTAGTTTCAACGTTTCGTATTATCTGTGTGTAACATAAATGGTTTGAATCCAGGTCAGGAGTAAAACTTGTTCATGTGGTCTGATCTTCTTTGAGAGAGTAGGTCCAAAAAGGATTGCTGTCGGTAGCAGTGACTGACGTTTTGACAACCTTAAGAGGAAGTCAACATTAGAGTCTAGTTTAATTAAACAAACCATCTTCCCTTTACCGGTATTGATTACAATTACTTCAATTTTGACACCAATCACATTTTACTGAGGGAAAAATAAATTCTACGCTGTGCATTATGTTAATTATTTACATATATTTTTATTTTTCAGCATACCTCGGATGGAGCAAGTGGGGAGACTGGGACCCATGTAGTAAGACTTGTGGTGGTCCTGGTGTCCAAAAACGCATGCGTGTGTGTGTTGGGCTCCTGCCAATCAACTCTACAACTTGTGACAGCGTGTGCCCTGGTTCAAATATTGAAACAAGAGCATGCAATACTCATGATTGTCCAGGTTTGCGAATTGAAGATTTATACGAAGGAAGCTAATGGAGCTAAGTCACATAAAAATTACTTATCAAGAAACTTACTGATTTGGTACAATTTTCTTTTCAGTTGAGTACAATTCACTTGGTTGTTTTAAAGACAGTACTCCCCACGCCCTCCCGTTACTACTAAAAAGCTTCCGAAACAATATCGATTGGAATGACATGACGAAAGTCGTTCGAGCATGCGCAGAGATCGCCAAAGAGCGTGGCCTTCCCATATTTGGAATCCAGTTTTACGGCGAATGTTGGAGTGGACTGGACGCCGAAAACACGTACAATAAGTACGGACCTTCCGAAAACTGTTGGAATGGAGTGGGAAAGAAGGGAACCTATCATGTGTACAAAATATGAGTAAAAGTTCCAATTTTTTTCGAAAATGAAGTGTTAAATATTTGACATAATGTTCCTTAGGAGCAGGTTGTGACACGTTATAAAATAAAGTACTCCTAAATTACGAACAAAACTGCGTTATCGTTTTAGATTCGCTTCAAATGAAACCCGCGGCTAAGAAATTTCCCTGAAAACAGACAACTTGTGGGGCATCCTAATATTTTCACTCTCTCCATAGTCACTAGTCATAGACTTCACGTAGTCAAAAGTCATAGTCTCCCCGTAGTCACTAGTCACAGTCTCCCCGTGGTCACAAGTCATAGTCTCCCAGTAGTCACTGGTCAGAGTCTCCCAGTAGTCACTAGTCAGAGTCTACCAGTGGTCACTAGTCAGAGTCTCCCAGTAGTCACAAGTCATGATCTCCCCGTATTCACTAGTCATGGTCTCCCCGTAGTCACTAGTCACAATCTCCCCATAGTCAAAAGTCGTCTTCTCTCCGCGGTAACTAGTAATAGTTTTCCCATAGTCAAAAGTCATAGTCTCTCCATAGTCACTAGTCACAGTCTCCCCGTAGATACCAGTCATAGTCTTTCCATAGTCACTAGTCATAGCCTCCCTGTAGTCACTAGTCATAGTCTTCCTGTAGTCACTTGTCAGTCTCTCCATAGTCACTCAGTAGTCATAGTCTCCCCGTATTCAAAAGTCAGCCTCTCCTTAATCTTTCCATAGTCACTCCCAAACTGACTGCTAACAAGGATAATTTGGTTTCGTCAACTCAATTGATAATGTAAATTCGCCACAGTAAAGAGTTTCTAAGATGACGTTTAGAGCGTTAGCCCTTTCTCAGAGCGAAGCCGTGGGTGATATGACTGCTTACATACTCTCACGCCGGTATTAGATTGAGAACCTAACACCATTTACAAGTACATTTCAAAAACAGTCAAGGGGTAAAAGCTAACTGCACAGGAAGGAATGTTCAAATATTTTTGAACGATCTAAGTCCACAGTTTTCCCCAGAGATTGCTAATCACACCAGAATCCCCGGAGAATCTTCCGAGAAGATTTTCCGAAAGCTCTCAAAAATCCTACCATCATGTCATAAGCAACTGCTTTCTGAATACTTCCAGCAATTTATTTGCTTCATTTATAACAATCCCTAATATTTGTTCTTATATGAAGCCACATAATAGCTTTTTCCCCCGATCTAAATATACAATTGATGAATACATAAAAAACCATTAATTCCGTTCTATCTGAAAAAGAAAAAGTATGATTTCGTTTGTGTAAAACTTACAAGATAAAATAACTCTAAACATAATTCACTTTTTCAACTATTCAATTCTTATTTTTCTTTCTTTCGTAAAACAGGTATAACAGTAAATACCTGGCGATATTATAAACTTTTCTAAATCTTAAAAAAATAATTTTGCCAGTTTTTCACGACTAATACAACATTTTTAGACCAATCTCAGAGTAAACTAATAAAAATATCAAAATATCTATCCATTACTAAATCTCAAATTACATCAATGCGTTGGCCATAGTCATTTCAAGTTTTGTCTACAAGTTGAACAACCTTACGAATAAAGAGTACATGATACTTTCCATTGCTTTTCAAAGGAAAACACTAAGAACAACGTCCTCTCTTACTTAAACCCTTCAATCAGAAAACACGATATATTGATCACCTACGGGTGTGTGAACTGTCATTGGACAAGCAAACTTTGCTAAAGTAAATGTAGCATCAGCTTACTTTATTCCTTCCTCTTGTCAGCCTAATTCCTTAGGGACAGGTTTCCAAATTTGATTCCTAAACTTTCCCTTAGTTTTCGCAGTGATGAATTTGTAAGGAGAACAAGTTTGCATCATTAGCACACTTGTCGATTGGCTGCGCAGAAAAACCGAAAACGAAGTAATCGCAACAGCCAATCAAAACGAAGGAAAATATCAATAGGCGTCAATGGAAAAAATCTGGTTAAAAACGACCCAACTTCGTGAGGCGCAAGAAAACGTGAGTCATAAGGTCGCGATTGGTTTTAGATTTGCCTGTGACTGATCCACTGTTAAGGTGGTTCGCAAACGCGAACCAAACGCGAAATGTCTAGTCCAATCGATCAAACTGAAAATTAACAGGAGTCGCTTCAAGCCTCTACGCTCGGCCGGTGCCCTGATGAAGAGCTCGGTGACTGCATTTCTTGGGCCTGGTGCGGGTTGTGAAGACACTTGTGAATTCGTTCCTCCATCTGGAATCCCATGAGGTCTTTACGCGTAATTATTCCCCGCACCCTAAGGCAAGACAAAAGATTAGAGTAACTTAGATGAACTTCAACGCGGTGCACCGTAATGGAGCTACAGAGACACAAAGATGGCCGACGATAGAAAAAATCAAAGCAGATTGAAAGTAGCAAACTGTTAAAATTCAACTGAATTCTTTATTACGATGCACAGGAGGCGGCGATGTCTCTTACGGAAAATATTTTGGAAGGATTATATGTTCTAACCAATTTATCTGCTGGAAAAACTAAGATAACGAGGAAACAACTAAACAATAAAGGAAAAAACCGATTAGGTGACGAAATTCTGATGCCTTGTTTTAGGCGAAACGCAAGACGCAATTCATTTGACAAAAAAGCTGGAAAAACTTCTACATCTGACAATGCAAAATTTTAAAAAAAATTGTGTCGCTGATGATAGTCATACTCGGCTAAGAAGAAAAGAAATTAGTTTTATAGTTTACGACAAACCTATTCTTTTGGTCTACAACCGTCAAATGCCTGTGAAAAAGAAAGAGAATTCATACAAAGTTAATCCAAATAAGTTTTTCGTACCGAGATATCGTAAGCGCATCAGTAAGTTCTCGGGGTAGGGGGCAGGCCCGGCGGGTAAAGGAGGAGATAGCTCACTGACTTTTAAATTTTCCAAACGGTGAAGAGATGAATAGGCTTAATCATATTAGTTGAAATATTTCAATTCTAGACTACCACATACCTCAACCCTAGTGTTCGGAATATAATATACGTTCGGTGAAGAGAGAATGTCTCCTGAACAGTTGGGGCCGAGTGGTTCACATAAGGAGACTGGAAATAATTAAAACAGAGAAAATAACACTGTTAAAGTTTGTTTAGTCTTAACAACGAAACGATCGCCAATAAAGGCCAGAGCTTATCCCGGTTTTCGCTACATGAAGCGCGTAAGGTTACTGAACCTTTCCCTTGGTTGGATGGTCTCCATCTCACGTAATAACCAATTCTTTGCTATGTTTCCTCGACAATTTGCCAGTACCCACTGTCACTCCTGAACGGAGAAAGGTAATGTGATAGTATAGCTAAGAGCAGGAAAAACCCATCAAATGGCCTTCTAATTCCGAAAACGTTTAACTTACAAGAGAATGAATAGAAGCCCTGATAACAAGTAAAGATATTTGCGATGTAACCAAGTGACATCTTACTGTCGCTGAGAGCAGGAAAACACGTCAATATGCCCTCTTTTTGTAACTCTACACGGTTGACAATAATCTTTTTGAATGCGTTACATACCAGATCAATAAAAATCTCTTGGAAACGCGGCTCCCCAGCGTAACGCTCCAACTGGGCATTTAGTCCTTCAGCATCACGATGATACCCCTGGTGCATCTACAACAGCATGGAGAGAAGGAATTCAGTGGAAACACTACGCTAGAAAGAAAGTTAGCCGTGTACAAACTTATCTTACAGTATTGCAAAATGTATATTCGATGGTATTTCATCAGTTGATAAACGATTAACGAAAAAAACTGTCACTAGTTTGATCATAAATGTGGAACAACAAACAAATCCAGGTCCCCCCGCGAGGAATCGAACTCAAGATAAAAAAAAAAAATAAAAGCAGCAAGATAAAAAATCACATCACCATCTTTGCTACTGAATTAACACAGACTAGACTTCCACTATTGCTAATCCTAGCCGTAGACAGAACGTTTATTAAACGTGCCTGTAGGTTATGGTCTAACTCAATGATCTAATTGATTTATCTGTGGCTCTGAGGAGAAGCATGCGAACACGAAAACCAATTTGACCCCTCGTGGGGGACAAAACTGTTTCCTTTTTCCCTCGGTAATGAACAATCCTTATGCATAATTATCTTGTTCGTGGTGAAATTATTGTTTTATGTAATTAACGTGTTTAATCGTTTAACTGATGCGTTTGATCTGCAATTCCTGGTGTTCACCTGGTAGTAATCCAACCTGTTCACGTCAAGCTCTTCTTCGTGCAGAGATAAATTATTGCGGGAGGAAAAGATGTCTTCTCGAGACAAAAGTACCATGATTTCGTTTCTGTAGGACAAATAAGATATTTTTAACTCAATTTACCACAAAATATTCTGCAGTAAAAGCTACCTTCGTACCAAAGAGGTCAAAGAACTCCCCTGTGGACTTCACAGCCGAGGTTTACATACTACCTTATCGCCGATTCACTCTTTCATACCCACGATCTGATCTTTTAGAGACCATACTCTTCACCCTTTCCCTCCCATGAGTGAGAGAATTTCTCCTTACAATATCAATACAATATCAAGCATAGAAGAGAAGAGAATAAAGTAAAATATAAATTAGGGGATTATTAGTTGATCCAATGCCAAATTCTCCAAATTGACATCATAAGAACTATATGTCAGACAGTAAAGAGAATTACTCTTGAGATCTTGGGAGTTAAAGGGTTGGGTAGATATCTTTCTGCTTTCTCGTAACCTTTCTTCCTGACTGTAATAAGAAATCCCAGGAGACTTAACATGCCAATCACTCTCGGACATCCCAGGACTAGCTCCCAACTCCTCAAAAATAGGCAAAGCAACAATATTGACTCTTACAATATCAGCACCTAATTCAATATCAACACCTAATTGTACATCCAAAGCTCCATCATGGTGTTTTTGTTCTTAGTGTTGTTGTAGGTGGGGTTGTTTTGTTTCGCCGTTGTGAGAGAAAACAGTAGCTAATTATTCGTAGCACAATAGGTTTAATCAATTCTACAACATTTTTTTATTTTATTCCTAGAAATATTCATGGTCATTTCTGTATAAGAAATTTTACTAGACCCTTCGGATGTAATTAGAACCACTGTCAGTGGCTTTGCAAAATCTTTCAAGCTTTCACTGCGCACATGCCGCCCCTGATTTTCAGATATGCAAAACAAATGACAATTGTGAAGAACAACTGGCAAGTGCAGAGTTGCATATTCTTGGCTCGCTTTCAAGTTTTCACGCTGTCAATTCATATGCTTTACGATCGGTGAATCAGTCAACCTTATGAATCAATCAAACATTTACCCAACCAACCGCATACCCGGGCCATTTTTTTTAAAGGAGCAATCTATTAGTCTCTATGGGATGTCAATGGTTTATGGGGAAGCGCTACGTGACATCGAAAAGAGAAGCTACGAAGGAGACTGGAAACCGATCGGTTAAGCGCTTAATCGATAAATAGGGTAGTTAGCCAATCAATTCGGTGTGTTGGTCATCATCCCGCCCTTTCCCCCCACCCCCTTCCCTCCAGTAATGTGACATTGAAGAAATACAAAGAGCTGAAGTTTGAACAAGAAACTGTTACAGGAAATTTGGAGGGGGAGGGGAATAGAAACAATAGGTAACAAACGGAAGGGAAATGCATCAAGACCAACATTTGGGAGTCATTTGATTTTTAATTGTCTCACAACTGAGGTAGGAAGAAGGAAATCAAAGTGCAAACGAAGGAGACTAGGGTACGACCGTGAAGGGGGTTCTCCCCCCATGCACGGCCTACCCCTTTCCCCTTAAAGGTAGTTAGAAAGGTTGAAAACACGCGATTGTCAGTGCATACGGAGACGTAACGAAAATATTCGGTATTATCCATTGAACTTTATCTCCTTGAAGTAACAAGTGGCTCTGTTTCGCTGTTTAAGCTTGACAATCCGCGAATTGCATGCTTATTATATTTCAATTTCTTGGATATAATGCAACAAATGGCAACAACAACTTCAATACTTCCGATGCAAATCAACGCTACAGAGACAAAAGGGACAGCTTTCATGGCAATCAATACACTCTTCATTTTGTTCGCAGACGACGCATCCACTTTCACGGTGTTGTTAAAATACATTATGGGCAAGATCACCTCCTTTACACCGGCCATTTGCACCAGGAATTTTACATGTTCAATATTCAAGTTGAGTTGAAGCCGTAAACTCAGGTGAAGAGGAAGGCCAAAATTTGGTTCAATGTCAAAGAAGGTGCCGTGTTCTTCTTTGACTGGGTTAAGGCCTTCAACATTTTTTACAAGAGATGGATCGCCTTGATAAAAATGCGGTTGAGACGCCACAATGGCTGGTACGGAACCGGCAGAGGGGCCTTTGCAAACACTTGCATCGAGAATGCCGCTTGGAAAACATCCATTGGGACAGAAGCCTTTGTTGGCCGGGTTCACGCTCGCGTTCTGCCACAGTTCCTCTGGGTTCGTAAATCTCAATGTCTTCACACTATCAATATTTGTGTGAGAGTCAAAAACAAAGCTCATGGACCTGCAGAGTTGTACGTAAAACGCATAGAGAATGTCTCCTGTACTGGTTTGAGGTGGAAATTGCATGCCATCGCTTCCATTGAACATGTTTGCCCAACGAGATTTCCACAAACCTACATCAGATCTTCCCTTCCATCGAGTCCAAACTGCAGCACGGCTGATATCTGATGCTCCAGTGTAAGTGGTTGTAACGCCATCGTAAGTATTATTCTCCATCATTCGGAATATAGGATCAATATCCGGAAGGAAAGACAAATGAAATTTTCGCTTGAGGTCAGCAAAAAACTCAAACACGGGATCTTTGTATCCCCAGAGTAACTCTTCAACTGTGTTAACCCTGAAGAACTCTTCCTTGAAACGAGCGAAAATCATGCTGAATATCAAAGATGCACCGGAATATTTTTTTGAAACTTGGGAAAGAATAACAAGCGGTATGTTTGGGAGCGTGACATTATCAGTGTGAGGATTACAAGACGAACACGAGCTATCGACATCGAAGACATACTTGGTAAATTTGTTATAGGATACAGTGCTATTTTCGTTCCATGTAATGTTTTCCTTCGTCTGGTATACTCTGTAACTATACGGTCCTTTCTGACTAACACAAGGACGGTTGCCCTGCTTCATTTCCATAGGATTCTCTACATTGAACACATAGAACTGCATTAGAACAGGGACAGTTGGTGATCTCCATTGCTGGTAAATAGGAGAGCTCGGTTTAATCACAAGCTTCGAGTCGATTATGGAATGTATCCATGCAACAGCTTTGCAGAGACTCACAGTGCCAAGGACGATTAATAACACACCGGATATTAAAAGGAAAATGACTTTTTTCTTCGTTTTAAAATAGCTTCCATCAGTTTTTGTCGTCGTTGTCGTGTGGAACATGCCTTAAGCCGAGTTTACTCCAACGATTAAAACAAACAAATTGGCTTTTTTTTTCTTGGCTGTCTAGACATCAAAGAACCTTTCGCGACAGAGTCAATTATTGCATATTAAACTCGGTTGAATTATTCCGCACACAATCGATGCACTCCTTCAAATTCTATCCAGCTTTCACATAAGGCGATAATTATTGCTCTTCTTTCCAAGTAAATCGTTTGGAACGCACAGTAAAGTGAACCAGCGGTGATAGGGGCGGATTGGGGCGGCTGTCTCCGTGCGTGCAGGCTTGAACTTGTTGTCACTTGCTTAACATTGCGCCAGGCAATCCAAAGTCAGTAACTGCACGTAGTTAACAATTTAATACTTCAGGCAAGACCAAGGTATGTCCCCAGAGAAACCAACACCAACTTAAGATGGTGCAATCTTCGAGACACTAAGCACGGCATAAAATCTAAAACCCAGACCATGTAAAAATAATACCGCGACGATTTTAGAAACAATAGACAATGTGTCAAAGGGCGACCCTACATGCATCAAATCAGTTTGAACTGTTACACACGGCATGCAAACGACATACTAGGTTTCCTCGCGTATTTGGTTTCACTGGTCGTGGCAAGATTGCCCTCGGTCTACGCGTATAAAATGTCGTTGAATTATTTTTAAGATGAATGGTGAAATACAAGCTTAAGTGAGACCACTGAGTCACTCCAAAATCCCTTTAGTTTGATAAGTATGAAGTCGAAAGATCAGAAACAATGTTTTTGCATAGGAATCGTTTTTCAAGGTCAGTAAAACGTCGGCTTGCGATTTGACCTCAAAAAAGGATCCCACACTACGCATATTGACGTTTAGAGAAAAGTAAACTTCATATCAAGTATCTTGCTTATGAATGTAAATTCCCTTTATTTGGATTACGTAATTGTGCCTCTAAACTGTCGCAAGTTATTGGATTTTCAACTCGATGGATCTTTGTCAAAAATCCCTTACCCATCATTTGTCACTGTAGGTTTCCTTAATTAAAAGTTCACAGAGCACGATTGTACGAAAGATAAGAGCTGATTTGTCGGACTTGAGGACCGCTTTTCTCTCTCACAATTAAATCAAATGAATGGTATGTTGATCTACAATGATACAAAAACTACGTCTCATATAATGATCCTCGCAGATCCCCGAGTCTCTAAACCGACCCAAGTTAGTGGATTTTCAATTCGAAGCAGCTTTACCACAAATCCCTTACCATCATGTTACATTCTATATTTCCCAATTTCACAGTTTAAGGAACATACTGTCTTACTGTGCGCGATTGAACAAAATATCTTATCTTTTAAATAAAAAGATGTTTCGGAACTGAGTATCGGTTTTCTCTTTTTTAATAAATAAAGTAAATAGCATTTTCACCTGCGAATGATTAAGAAGTAGCGTAATGATCCTCGCAGGTGAGTTTTAAATAAAGCAATTTCAGAGAAGTCTGGAAAAATTCAGGTTTGACAGGATTCAAACCCGACCTACTGAGCTACAAGGCCACAACTTGGGAACGCACCAAACTGAATCCATTCCACGTCTCTCTCTTACGGTCTTACTGAAGAACGTAGAGGGATAGCGAAGTACACACCCATACACCCCGTCTCATCACAAGTAGACTCTGTACGTGCTAGCAGTGTAGAGGGAACATCTCTTCTTTTGGAGATGTGGATAAATCGGATAGCACATCTTTCATTGCTCGAGGAGCATCCAATGCGCGTACGTAAGACCGTGTGATTGCGAAAGTGGAGAGAACAAACGCGTCAAAGGTCAATACACGCCCCATCTCGTCCCAATCTCTTCCCGTCAAATTTTTTTTTGTGTTGAGGAACCGGTCATTATTTAACAGCGAGGGCGGGGGCGGAAGGGGTCGGGGATTTTAGCTGCGTCACAAGAAAATTTACCTGATCCCCCAAAGGTCTTTAAGGATAATACCGATCCTTTCTTACTGGCAGTCAATTTTCTATAGTCCCCTCTATACTCTGTTAGTAACGACTGAGCCCCCCCCTTCCCCCCTGAAAACCACGTGATCCCACAAAATCCTCCTACCCCTTCCCCGGCGATAAACAATGGTTAGTCTATACGAGTCTGATGGAAGGGAGAAATCTTTTTTTTCAGAAAAATCTCTGCCAAACTTTGGGAACGCTCTACATTGTAAACTCAGTGCAGCCTCTCCATTCCATTAATTTTACTTCACTGTAAAGAACTTGTGAACAGAGGCAATTGATGTTATACAGTTCAAAAATGAAGTCGCGAAAGTCTTCTGGGTTAAGTAAAAATGTTCAATAACTATCATATAGCACGCATAGCAAGCTCAGTAGATTTACTTGTAGCACAAAAAATAAATCCGTTATTAGCTGTTCTCTCTTCTCTCCGCGCCCATCTCAAGATATTTCCCTTACAGAGGCTGCGCGTGTCAGGCGTGGGTTCTCACGCAGCGCCGGGACGCTGCCTTTTTTAATTCGCCAATCACATTACACCGGAAAAGAGGGTCTACATGAATTCTTAATACTAATTATCTAGCGCTTTCGAGTGGTATACCACCAAAGGTCCTTCAACCACTTGTATTTTCTCGGAATAAGGAGCCTTTCTGCTCTTCCTTACCGTGAAACGGACACTCCCGCGATATCCCATATGCGTATATGTGGTAAAAAAAGCATACTTTTCCGACCCCTTTTCGTCGAAGCTTAGTCAAAGATTTTATGTGTTTGGGTATCAAATAAGGTAAGTTTTGTTTTACCCGCAGAGTGGGGGGTAGAATGGAGCTTGATAAAAATTTTTTGCACCGTCGCAATTCTTTCAGGTCGCAAAATAGCGAAGAGAAATCTCTTACTTTGATCTGACATAGGGCAAGGTTTTGATTAAAGAAAAATCTCACATCCCCAACTGAATTTTACATGAGTATCCCCCCCTCCCCCTACGTCTAAGAAGAAAAAAAACCTGGTGATATTTACCTGGATATCAGTCCAGAGAACACCTCATAGTCTGCGTCTGTCTTAGTGACCACAGGATACCCACCATGAGGTGTGTCAAACAACAAATGAGTAAGGCGAGACACAGATTCCACTTTGTGCACAACCTTATATACACGAGAGAAAAAAGGCGTCAGGATATGGAAGGACCGTCCGCTCAGGTTCAAGAAGATAACTGCCATGGTCCCTAAGGTTAAGACCTGACAAACAAGCCGCACTCTACCCAAATTGATCATAACCATTACAATTTCCTCAAATGTGATTGGCGCTGTAGTAATTGCTTAGAGTTAGGGTGCTTTATTTTTCACTAATCATTCTGTAGAGTTGTGATCGGACAGTGTAATCGGACAGTTGGCTGTAATCGGACACCTGTATGAAGGAAAAGCGCGGAATATTTGCCTCGCTTCCAAAACGAGTCGGTCCTCGTTGCAAAGTTTTTAGAAACACCCAAAAGATGTCTGAGAGGCACCGGTTCGAACCTCACCAAAGCCTATTTATTTTTTTTTATATTCTACTTTCTGTCGAAACTTTGATTACAATTAACCTGTAAAGATCACTTCGTCTTTTGCGACATTCCAAACGGTATACATCAATCTACTTACTATTGCAGGAGAGGACATGGCATCGCCAGCTCGAAACAACTCTAAGTTAATCCTAAAAACAAGAAGCAAATGTTGATAAGGTGTATTTTATAAATAAATAAGATTGTGAACAATCTAGGAATGTCCTGGCGTGGCTCCATTACACTCTGTGATTGGTCTAGAAAACGTGCCAAAAGACTCAAAACTAATCGTGCCTTGGCCAATCGCATTTTCCCTTATTTCAGGCCGGTTACATGACTTTATTTGCTAAGGCGTAATATGCTCGTTGTCATATATACCTCTGCATACGCCTACAGGATCAACCGCTTACCATAAAGTGTAAATGCATACGCAGACGTTGTACAAGAGGTCTGAACTGAGTGTTAAACAAGAACAAACTTTAAAGACACCAAAAGTAATCACGCATTGCATTGGTTTTACGTCAGTTTTCTCTCTGATTGGTCTAGAAAACTCGCACTTTTCTTTCGACCAATCAGATGCAAAGACCAAAGTTAATCAAGACCTATTATCTCACATTTTCCCGAGCTTCGGATAGTTTGCGCGTTCCTAATTTGAATTTACTATGGCCTCCGAGTGATATTTCCTTTGTTCGAAACACGATGCAGAGTGCTCCTCACTTGAGTGTCGTTAAACCAAAACACTCTGATCACAGCTCCAAAAGGAACAAGAGAAAGTTTCACACGGAGCCAAAGAGAAGAAGAAATAAAACAGTTAAAAGGCCGTTACTTTTGGGCCTTCCGCGCTTTCTCGCCACTTGCCAAAGCGCGGAAATGCGCTGATAACATTTTATTAGTTGAAAGAGTGGTAAGCGTTTTTTTGAACCAATCACAGAGCATGTTATCGCAAGACCAATGCTTTTCGGGATTACTTTCGATGCAACTGAAAATTGCGTTTAAATATTTGCCACTCACGCTTTGGATCCCTCGTGAAGAATAACAGGCTCAGAGTCAAGAAAGGGAATACACTTCAACTCCAGCAGAGCATGGTACAACGGATGAGTAGCAAAATCTCCTACCCACTTAGCTACCATGATGGCGACCATGATCGGTAACAAAAACTGAATGTCATTTGTGATCTCCATCTGAGAAAGAAGGAAAAGTAGGGAGTAAACAAGTATCACACAAATTACATATGACTACAAGGGATATGCGATATTTCACGAAACTCAACCCTAGAGAGATCTGTAATATAAACCGGTATTAACCCAGATTGATGGCTCCCCGTACGCTAGATATACTTCCTGCGACTAATATCACACACTCACCATAATCACTGTTAAGGACATGGTCAGTCTTGATACACCACCGAAAAATGACGCCGCTCCAATGAGAGCAAAAGCTCCTGGGTCCATCCAAGCCCAGTAACCTAAAATGAAATATCCCCAAAAGTTTAAAAAATACGAACGGTGTAGCCACGAAAAGGGGCTGTGGACGCAAGCAGATGCCCTCCTTTGAGAAACAGGCTTCAATAAAAAATTTTGAGAAGATATTTTTCCTTCAGTAAGTGTCAAAATACTGAAGCATTGAAGGAACATTTAATACATTTTCTCACGAGTTTGAGTCGAAGGAAAATCCGAATCGCCAGAGAGGAATAGAACCTCAGACGTTTGTATTTCTCTTTCTGGGATTGTCTACCACGGAACAACAGAGAACTGGTGGGTAAGTTGAACTTTGCACTAGGTTCGTATGAACTATAGTAACCAGTGATAAATGAATACCCAAGAGGCAAGAAAAAGGCACGGACAGTTGTGCGGTTCAAGATGCTAAAAGATGACTTTGGTTTCTTGTACTGACCCACCTGTAGAGTGGAAACCGAATAAATCCACCATAGCTCTTCCAATAATACGGCCGTATGTTCCACCTATGAACCTGACGGACAAGACATTCAATTTCATTTTTCTCTTTTATTCACATTCTTTCTCTATGATTCTTTTCTGTAAATTAACATACAAGAGGGACCCACAGGGAAACTGGAGGAAAAAAAATCCCAGGGAAGAGACCCTGTGCGTCTTCTAGCCCAATGTTGTCCTTTAGCGCCAAGTTTTCGTCTCCACTATGCTGACAAAATAGTCTGGAAAACAGTACTGTTCTGGGAACAGTTAGTTTTCTTTAATTTACTAAGTGATTTGAGTGTTGGTCTTGAAAAAAAGTCCACCACCCTCTCAGCCAATCAAATTAAAACCTAAGACCACGACTAAGTATCTCGCATTTTCCCGCGCTTCAGTCAATTAACTTGTTCTTTTTATTGAGCTCTCGTTGGCTTCTCAAGATATTTTCTGTTGTTTCAATTGGCCAGTATGGTCACTTTGGTTTTCGTATAACCGCACTCAGTCCACATACGCTGTAGTCTTAAGTATTAATGATATGTATACTTACAACATTGGCACCACTAAACCACTTGAAATGGCACTGCCAGCCGACCAACACGCGAGCAAAAAATAAATAACCAACACAGAGCAGAGAGACCTGAGGAGAGAAAAAAAAAGACAGTCGTCTCTTCGTTCTTCCAAGTATCTCCCTCTTTTTTCAATGATGATTAACATTTTGCAACTAGAAGTTTCAATAAACAGAGCTTTTTGGGTCTTTTTGAACAAAGTGTTATTAAAATCCTTACTTAGAGAGGGGTATTTCTAACAGAATAAGGAATTATTAAGTATCTTGTAACTGTTTTCTGATCATATCATTCTGACAGGGTTTAGAAGGAGTGGTAAAAACGTTTTCCACCTTGATTTCAACGGTTTATCTTCCTTCTATTTCACAGGAATAAAGTGGTCTTCATTTTGATTCCCACAGTTTTCGTTAAGGGGCAGAAGGATAGGAAATCATTTATATGAAGATACGTACGCATATCCAAGTTCGTAAGCTGTGTCTCTGGAAAACAAATGATGAATGGCTTTTTCTCCCGTCAAAAATAACAGCGTAGCCACTAAATTACAAAAACCAATATAGTAAGTAAAAGAGATGAAGAGAACTATTCACAGATCAACTGTTTATAGCAAACCTAGAAATGGAAGAAAATCAAACCTAATGGTGCAATTTTCAATAGTGTCGAAATTAATCCGTTCTTGCATTGGTTTTATATTTTACTTCGCTCTGTGATCGGTATAGAAAAAGCGCGCCACTCTCTTAACCAATCAGATACAAAACTACAACCAATCACGACTTGCTCGCGCGCGTTTTCCCGCGCTTTAGGCAGTTAGGTTGTTTTACTTTGAGCTCTCATTGGCTCTTAAAGGTTATATGTAGATTTAGCCAAACCTAAATGCGGAGCTCGCATTTTTTCACGTCTCAAGGGCACAACGCCTTGCCCCGGCCAGGACTAGAACCCGGGTCGTCCGACTCGGAGCCCGGTGCACTGACCACTGGACTACTGGACAAAGCCGTGGCGTTGGCGCGCCCGCGGCACAGTTAATCACGCATGTTAAAAGTAGCACCTTGTACGGACGCCCGTACGGTCATGAGTCCAATTTTTTTCGGCTTGATGGGTTACTACTACCATTTTGTATCATTATGGGGCTACGTTCTGCGAGCCCCGCTATTATCCTTTCTTCTAAATGGCTGTAGTGATTAATTTGGTTTTGGTTTTACGACACACTTTCAAAAAGCGCTCTCAAACCAACCGTCGTCACAAAAATAAGTTATTTTGGGAGCGAAATTCGCTTGAAAGCTTGAAGGCACCCAAGGAGCTTGTTAATACAAGATCTTTCTATGCGACAAATTTTTCACACGAATGCAGGTTTCGCACTGTGTTCGAGCGTTGTGCAACTTTTATGGCGACGTAAAAGCTACATCGTAAAAGTCATCTGACTGAAGCGCAAAATACAAACCTCAGCTTTATCCAACGATTCTTACCTTCATTATAAGAAGAGTTGGTGAACTGAGTTCCATTAATCGTTACTGACATACCAGCAGGACATGTGTAGTTTCTTACATCTCTTTCTGTGTGTAGAGGGTGCTGGGTGTCTGTCAAACACTTTCGACTGAAGAAAATAAATAAAATGAAAACAATGGCTCTTTTATTTTGGACTGACTTTTTCTACACAAAGCTAACTGAGAGATACTACGAAGAACATAAATTGAGTGTTATACCTATATCCTTTTGATGTAAAGGAACAATGGAACGGCGTACAAGGAAATGCCGCAGGAAGAAAAACTGACGCTGTACCAGTGATTATCTGTCAAACAAAAGATCCCGGTTAGTTTTGTCAAGGAAAGTAGTTTAATGGAGAATGACGACCCTCCTTAACCTGAATTTGGCAGGTCATGTTCCTGTTCAGGAATGACTTTTTACACTTGAAATGAGATCTATTCTCGAACAGTCTGTACAAGGTGGTTCTAAATTTAAAGCCGATTTTACAAATCTGGGAAACATACCCTGTGCGTGATCACCAAACTGTGAAACAAGTTTAAGTAATAATATAATTATTTACCTTAATTAAGTTAATAAGGAAAAAAAGTTGTCAGACTGCTCATCAAAAACAACTCTGACATGCGCCGAAATATAAAGGACGGCTATGACTGTCAGTCAGAACTGGCTGGTCTAATGATTTTGAGAATTCCATTATTTATCAGATCCGTTTATGATGAAAATCAGTTTTTATACTTTGCCCGGCGATGAAGTTTACAGAAACTAGGAATTAAAGATCTTACCAAATTTTGAAGTCATCTGTGATCTATTATTGAACAAACGCACAGCAACATGAACCCTATTTGAACATACCATGATTAACACTGGCTCTGACACTTTGGCAATGTTTTTCCATTGTTTAGAATTAATCTTTGCAATCCATGATCTTCTAAAGCGTGCAATCTAGAGGGAAATAAATTTACAAGAAATCATCTATTAAATGGAAGCTAAGAAATAAGACAACAAGAAATCCATTATCTCCGATTATTATACATTCAACTCACTACATTGTTTTGTGATTGGCCGAAAGCGTACAGTGAATTTTTTAAATCAGCGCCAGAGGCGTCATCTAGCTGCATATTATACAATAATCATGTGAAGGTCACTCAAGGTGACGGGCAATTATGTTATGTTGGACTGCAGTGCATGATTTCAAGGGGTAATCATGTCAAGTTCGCGCGCCTTGAGTGGCATGCTGATTTGTATATTTTTACACGTTTATAAATAAAATAATTATCAGTTCCACTTACTGTCATGACCATTTCTCTTTCCTTCAAAGTACAGTAAAACAGTTATTAGATTCGGTTTTTGTGATATCCAGAATAATCAAAGCCTTGATAAGCGTTATCAGCCTCAGCCTTGGGCTTATAACCCCTACCTCGACCTTGATTGTTCTGGATATCACAAAAGCCTCATACAATAATAATAATATAATTGTTTATAGGCAAAACTTTAAGATGATGTACCTTTAAATTGAGGAAAGTGAACACAGCTCCTAATAAACCCCCCATTATTCCAAGAATGACAGTTGGTATGAAAGCCAAGATGTTTAATCCAATTCCATGACTAATCTGCCAGAAATGACAGAAACAAACAAACAAGATTGATGAAACGTTCACACCAGAAACCATATAATTTGTTATCCACATCAATTTGTGTAGGAAAAAAATCATCTATCGCTGAAGTGTGAGATTCTGTTAACTGAAGAAGTATGGCACATGATGCTGAACTTCATCCTGCTTTCCATATGGCAAAGAAACTAGGGGCACTCCTTATGTCCAGGGATCATTGTCACTTCACCAGTACCCATTAAATACTCCTGGGTGGAATGGAGCACTGTAACTATTGAGAGTCTTGCAAAAGAACACAACAGTTGTTGGGTCTTGGGCCCAGACCTCTCCACTACAACTCAAATGTTCTCACAGTCAGACCACTGTATCATCCACATGGCTGAGATTCATGATATTTCTAGACTATAATTCTAATCTCCTTTTCAAAATTGATGCAGGTTTAATAAATCATGTCCAACTAAACAGATATAAGATATCACAGTAGCTTGGGAACAGTTTCAAATATTTCAAAGTTTTAGCACAGCCCTAGAGGAACTAAGAAGGGACACATTAGGGAGGTGGCTTGGCTAAGTGGTTAGGTCTCTGGACTTGTAATCTGGTGGGCCCGGGTTCAAGTCCTCCACCCTGCCATTCACTGGATTTGTTCTCAGTCCCCTCAAGTTCAACTCCTTGGCTGTGCTATGTAAATAAGCAACTGGTCTGCCTCCTGCCACTTAGGATTTTTCAAGCACATTATGTTTGTTTCAGTCATTATAAAGTGCTATTGGATAGCAATAGAAATAGCACTATATAAATAAATTATTATTATCATTATTATTATTATAATTGTTATTGGGCCAAGCATTGTCCTTATGACTGGCTTATAGCTGGCTTGAGAGCAACTGGGCAAAAAGAAGCATCCTTACAGAATGACTCTGGTCTATACTCACTTGAAACAAAATGTTCTTTTCTGCTTTAAACAAGCCAAAATCTCCTTGATACTTGAAGCCTTCAAATGCTGAATTAAACAAGTCCTACAAACAGCAAGAATTCATGATTACATTATATCAATCAAGAACTAAAAAACACATTCTGCCATAGAAATAAGTTGGTAATTGTATTAGCACATTGGCAATTAGATTTCCTAGCACTGTAAGAGATTTACTGAGTAAACAAAACAAAATTTTCAGATTCACATGTTTTATCACCTATGCAGTTTGTGTCTTGGTGACTTAAAAAATCTCACAAGTAAGGAAGGGATCACGACATCAATTCTACAATACACAGGTACATTAGATTATTACTCACAGTGGTGAATGTAGATACCATGCAAGCAAAGAAAGTCTGCCATGACAATTTCATGTTCCAAAAAGACGACACTTCTTCCATGGAGAACAGCAGGCCACCAACTGGAGCCCCAAAAGCTGAGGCCACACCTGCAGCAGCACCAGCTGAGATGAAGTTACGCCTGTTCAAGATAATATCAACCATCATATTCTGTTCATGAATAAATGATTGTAAATAAACCATATTTTGATACATAAATAATACCAATACACCTGCAGAAGGAGATTTAAGAAATTGCACAAAGATCGAGCCTGTAAAAAGCAGACTCCCAAGAAAAAAAAAACAACCGCAGAAGTGCAGGGAACCTGACTGTGCAATTGACTGGTTTTTGGGGGAGTGAGAAGATTTCTAGATCCTTGATGCTATTACAGCTGCAATGGATGATGTTCTCTAATTAAATAAATTTGGGAAATCAACTGCAATAGGGGGAAAGTGAAGGAGGGGAACCCCTCACACAATTAACTGGTATCCCTGGGGGAGTGAGAAGATTTTTAGATGCTTGATGTGATTAATATTAGGATAGTTAGGCCTTCTGGTTGACTGACTTTGACTGAACTGATAAATAAAATCATTTAATATATGCCTGAAATTCCCACGGTTTCTTGGGATAAAATATATTGATAGAGAAGGATGAAATCACTGCTTACCTGTCTTCTGTGTTTCGAAACCTCTCAAAGAATGGCAGTTTAAACTTAAGAGTCTGTGATTTAAACTGACTCAGACCAGCTCCAACCAAACTCCTGTAATAAAATTGGAACCTTCTCTCAATTTCTGATCACTGGCACTTTGTCACTGCCACTTTGTTAACCCTTTAACTCCGAGAAGTGATTAACAAGTAACTTCTTCCTATAACATCCATACATTATCCAGCAAGCAGGTAATAAGAATATTCATATTTATCAGGTTAAGTTGTTATCTTGATCTAACACCAAATTCTCATGGCCCAATTCCCAAGAAAATGAGTACCAGCTAGAGGGGAGGATCAACAATCATATCTTGGGAGTTAACCCTTTAAACCCTTAGAGTGACTAGCATCTAATTTCTCTTCACAGTAATACTGCTGAATCATGCACCATGGTATTAAGAATAAAGGATGAAAGAAAGGATAATCAGGCTTAAATCGTTAAGGGCCCAAAACAGAAAACAGCTGGTAGGTCTGGAGCCACCTTAATTACAAACTTGATACAGCTGCTGTTTTGGCTGCAATGGTGAGAGGTATTTAGCAGCCGTGTAGCCTGCTGTATTTTTTTTATCATCTACTAACTGTTTATGGTCTAAACTTACAGTGAGATAAACATTTGCACACACCAAATGTTGGAAATGCTTCATTAGTATTAACATTGAACAAAGAGTGCTTTTCCATTTTTTCCTTTACTTTTTTCCTTTTTCGTTTTGGGCAACCACTTTATGACCTAGGAACCCTATATTATTAACTAATAGATAATTTAATATTGCCAAGTGGATGTAAAAAATATGAATTTTTTTAAGCTGATTACTGTAAGAAAGAAAATATAATACAATTTACAAAACTTACAACATTACTTTCAAGTGTCCCAAGACTTTTTTCAATAATTTCAGTTACTACTTATTCTGATACATATTGAGACATAGACAAACATCTGATGAAAACCATACCCAAGGTGGATCATTGGACCTTCTGGACCAATAGGAAGTCCTGCACCAACTGCACAAACACAGGAGAAAAACTTGACAACCATGGTCTTGAGGTTAAAGATGTGTCGCACTACTGTGCCATTTAGGAAACCGATCAGTTCAGGAATGCCAGAACCTCCAGCAGAAGGACGATAATACTGTTAGAACCAAAAATCAAACAAGTTTTATTGTTTAGAAGAAGACAAATCTTTGCTGACTTTATTTTCTCATTTTATTTCATTAGGAATCCCCATATCACTCCCATAAAGAACCAAAAAGGAATTTCTTCTCCAAAAATGAAAACAGACTTAAGCAGAAAGGTGATGAAATTTTCAAAGCTAAAATTATGGAAAAAGTACAGCAGACAGTACTGTAGAGAATTGATATCTATATCTTGGGAATAAAAGAGTCAGAGAGAAAAATTAATTTTTAAGTTGTATACCCACCACAACTGGAACAGAACTTGCTACGACAAAAAGTACACTGTAACCAATGACCCATATCCAAGCTAAGCCAAACTCACGATCCTATAGAGAAAGAACTGATTTGTTTACATGTAATTTTCACAGAAAGGAAAGGAATCACTAATTAATGAGTAATATTTCTAGGGTTTTTCAATGTTTTTGGTATTATGTTAAATCAAATAATGTGGTTTGTTTTTTAAGTACGTTGCCTTTAGTTAACAATTTTGAGTTTTCTTTCGAGTGAACATTAAATGAAAGGAAACAGAAAACATAACCACAGTAATTTTTACTCACATACCTTTATAAACTCAGAGGCTTTGTCCCATTTCACTCTATTGAAAATGGAAGAAAAATACCAAATACATACATACTGTGTAAACTATATGTATTTTACACTATTCAACAATTCTTATATCAGTAATGAGATTCTTACTATTACAGGTCATAGCTCTGAAGCTTTCATTGCAGGTCACTTGCAAACCTTTACCTTGTGACTTTACCAGTGATAGACCAACATGCTTAATATCAAAATAATTATCTCTACCATAATTAAAAACAACAAAAGGAAAGGCAGTTATTGTATGGTAAACCTTTTCCATGTTCTTCCAGAAGCCATTGCCAGTTATTACATTGTTCAATAGATAAAGAGTGCAAAGACTTGCTTTAACAAAAATCAAAAAACAAAAAACAAAAAAACAGACAGCCAATGTGTACATTTAAGCTTTCAAATTAATAAATTATTATAATAATAATAATTTAGCAAATTTTAAGAAGACCTCTTCTGAAAATCCCATGCCTATCCTTGGATTAAATAAGTCTTAAAAGGCTTTCTGGCCAACATTTCTAAATAATATAAAATGTTACCAACAAATAAGGATGGAAAGCAGCTTAAGTTATAATTTGCATGTCAATAAAATAATAATTAGTGTTGAATCCTATCATTTATGAAAGAGCTGTATAATGAACCCCTTAACTGCCAACCCCACTGAAAAGTCCTGTGCAAACAGAAATTGACTGATTATTTCTCACAATTTTAACTTGATTTGAGCTTTAGATGCCAGGTTATTTTACATCTTCATTGGCAGCGATTTGACTGTAACTCGACACACACAGCTACAACAGTTTACATGCATTTGCAATCTATGCACTCAAAAGCTGTGCACACAACCTAAGAATTGCATATGCCAAGATATACATCAAACATCAAATTGAACATTTGTGTTCATCAAGTTATATTGCACACAACAAGGATAAATAAGATTTTTTTTTTCGATAAAAGACATGACTGTATAATATTTGTAATACAACATCAGTAAGACATACTCTGATATGACATCAATAAGTTGATGCATAAGAAATCCAATAAATCCAACTGAGAATCCGATCATTCCCATCATCACCCACCGGTCCCAATCAAGACGTGATGGCTGCTGCTTTAACCAGTTCTAGAATTAACAAATAAATCATTCAAATTAACAAACGACCTCCTGAAGGAGGGAGACACTTAGAAAGAGTTTTGGAGGGAAGTGTGCATGCCAATGAGGCCTTTTAAACCCTGGACCCATTCAAAACAATGTCCAATAAGTGAGATACATAAGCAAACTGAGTTATGGAGTGTATGACCCTAAAAGCAGGTAAACGTTAGATTCAAGTGTTATTATACATGTCAAACTTAACCCCTTCAACCTCCAGAAGTGATTAACATGCAACTTCTTCCTACAATATCTATATGTTATCCAGCAAACAGGTAATGAGAATAATCAAAATTTGTCAGGTAGAAGTTTTCATCTTGATCTAACACCAAATTCTTGTACCTTCCTTAAAAAGAAATGTGTAGATGCTTAAGGGAGAATTAACAATCAGATCTTGGGTTAAGCAATAACATGCACTAACAAGAAAAATATTTTGAATACGACACCCTAGATTTAAGTGAGTCAAGCACCTCAGTTCCGTAACGTATGTCCACCTAAAACGGTAAATCATTCTCTTTGCAAATTTCTAGTTGGAGAGCAAACTTTGAGATCGAGAAACGTGTAAGAGCTTTGCCTTGACCTTCCCGGAAGCAACCTACGATGCACACACCCTCGCTCTACCCTTGACCGCGCTAAATTGTGGCGTTCGCTATTTACTTCTTTCAGAGTCGCTCACTGACCTTGTACACAGCACTGTGAGGAGGTAGATAGTCTACACTTTCAAATGTAGCGAGCTTCTCCTTTTCCTCTTCCGTGTAATGGTGATTTACATAGCGACTTTCGAATTCGCGTCCCTTTTGGAAGAAACTGGTCTGATTTGCTGTTGGTAGAGCGTCTTCATCCGCGTGAGAAGATGACACACCGTACTTGCTTGGTTTTCTTCTTATTGACATTTCTTACAAAAGGGAAACAGGCCTCTCAGAGTAGCACAATAATCAAGTATTTGCTTGCAAATCCAGCTTTTTTTTTACTGCATTCCGAGCGCCATCGACGCCGCTTACCAACCTGTCATCAGAGATGTTTTTGTCCGAGAACTGGTCGTTACAGTCCGAATACATCCGATTATTCCCGAAGGTCGATCGTCTAACGGAATCGTCCAAGTGATCGTATTATCAAAGCCATCGCCAGCAACCGTTAACATGTACGTTGAGATTAATAAGTCATTAAGAAAAAAAAAGAACGGAAAGTAGGAAACAATTACCCTTGAGGTAGAGCGACCATCCAATATGTCAGTCCGAAGAATCGCCAACGAGAGATGACTGTTGGTGGTAAATACATGAGTTAACTCAACTTAATGCCTGAAGCGTAATACTCTCATCCTTAAACTGGTGTTACCAGGGATTGCAGAGGTGTCCCAAGGAATTCGCCAAAAATGTTCACCAGTGCTCTCTCGGCTCTAGAATCGTAGGTTCCTTCGTTGGTCCTCGATGTTAAAATTCTTTCTCAGTATCGCCAGTATCGCACAAACAGACCCACTTGTTGCTAAGCCGAGTAAGAGATGACCTGAATTGTGAGTACAAAGAAAAATTCATCCTCGTTAAGCAACTCGTTTACGGGTTTAAATCAAGCCTACATATGAGTCTGGTTAAGAACATCTAGAAGACCGCCTAAAAACCGAAAAGGAAAACGTCTTTCAAGGTTTGAGTGAAATCAAGTGTGTCCAAATTGATGCTGGTGCTACACCGATCTCCCACATTCCACCCCCAGCAGGTCACCAGCTGGCCTTAAAAGCTCTCTCAGCCCTTTAACTCCCAAGATCCAATCGTTAATTCACCTTACTAACTGCTATACATATTCTTGTTTCTTATGTAGTAGAATTGCAAGCCGAGAAAGAGATGACCTGACTTGTGAGTACAAAGAAAAATTCATTCATTAAGCAATTCGTTTACGGGTTTAAATCAAGCCTACGTATAAGTCTGGTTAAAAACATCTAGAAGACCGCCTAAAACACCAAAGAGGAAAATGTCTTTGAAGGTTTGAGTGAAATCAAGTGTGTCCAATATGAAATTCGCTTTAATTCCGAAGCAACATCGAACTTCCGCAGGTTCCCAGCTGCCCCTGTAAGCTCTCTTGGCCCTTTAACTCCCTTTAACTCCCAAGATCCAATCGTTAAATCTCCTTTCTAACTGCCATACATATCCTTGTTTCTTATGCAAGAGAATTGATTCCAAATCACGATAACACAATCTAACCAATAATAACATATTAGGATCGCAGGGAGGAGTTATCTGTTCATATCTTCAAAGTGCTTAAGGATATAAGAGGAATTTTCAACTTCGTAACAGACCTCGCCGCGCCTCGCCACCGTGAAGTCTCTGTGGCTCAGTGGTAGAGCACCGGAGCGTTGAATCCGAAGGTCTGAGGTTCGATTCCTCGTGAAGACTCAGAATTTTTTCTTTGTCTCACACTCGTGACAAGACGAAAAATACATCATTCTCGATATAGGAGGACTTTCAAAAAGCAGGCCACAACCATTAGCGCAGCGGGATACGCATTTATCCGCCCGCGGGAAGATTTGAGACAGTCGAGGATAGATTTGCCGAGATTTGTCTGGCACTTATGCTATCAATGCTACGCCCCTTACAGACCTCTCACCGGCTCTCGTCGCTCCAGGCCTCCTAAATTCCTGTAGGCTAAGAATCGCGCGTGCCGAAGCGCTTATATTGAGGGCCTGGAGCTGAGCTCTATGTAAACTTGATGTTGTTGAGACCTGTCAATGAGCCCGGAAAACAGAAAAGAACTTTCACGACTGACTGCCTTCTTCCTCAAGCAATACATGTTCAAGTTTTTTTGCACTGCTATCTTATATCAAAAGTTGAATACGACCTAAAAGAATAAAGCCAATCAGAGTTAGTGGAGTCCTTTTGCTAACTCTGATGGAAGTTAATTATAAGTTATGGAATTTTTTGTTGTTTATGCCCAGAGGAGTATTATATATAAAATAGCTTTGTTCAATGATAAGTTTTAAGAAAGAATAAACTGGTCATCTCATTTACTGCTCTTTTAACGCATCCTGTCTAATCAAGTGTAATCATGTGAGTTTGATGGTTTAGTTGAAAAAAAAATTGATGTCTGAGTTTCCACTGGCTCAGCACAAAAGGGCCACGGGCCAAAAGAAACGGTAAGCCTGGGGACGAGAATGACTGCGAAAGTGACAGAAAGAAGCATAAGATCACGTCCTATTGGCATTTTTTGTGAGTGACAGCTGACATGTGTTAGGAAAAAACTGAACGGAGTAGCGGAGGTGGTTAACTGTATGACAGAAGATAGGGGAAGATGTTCCCTCTTTTGTTCATGTATTTCGGTTTTTTATAACTAACTTATATAACTAATGATGGATTTGAGCATGCAAAAGTGAAACAATTTATTCTGTTTTACAGGGAACGTCAGCCTTTGGTGTTCATCTATTTTGACCCCTTGGATTTTCATTACAAGATTGATCAAAGTACAACTGATGCTTCTGCTTTCAAAAGGTGAGCCATCTCCGCGATTTTCCACGCTTTTCGTTTTCTATTGAGTGTGATTTTCATGATCAAGATACTTAGTAAGTTCCTAAATCAAGAAAACGGATGAACTTCATCCTGCGAGTTTCTCTACGATTATCACTTCACTAAGAGATACCTTTTTAAGTGTTAATCAAGATAAGACTTCGATGAAGTAACGAGTGGGTGACATTAGAGTTAGGATCTACATAGATCGACACTCTAAAATGTACAACAATTGATAACATTCTGGGGAGGGGAGGGAGGGGAGGTGAATCTGGACCAACTTATGTAGCAGGATCCTTGAACCTAATCTCCTGCATGAAAGTCGCATCAGTCACCCCTGCTACTCTCACAATTTTATTTCTGCTTCGCTTTGACTATGACCGTTAGTGCCTTTACATAGCTTAAACAAATCATTTTTGTTTAGAGTGTCACTGTTCTATCATGCTATATTCAATGTACTGATCTATGAGAGGTAAAACTGACAGGTAATGTCTATCAAATAGAAAGACAATCACAAATAGCGAGGTCGAATTAAAAATTTGAAGTACCATTTTGAATATTAAAAAATTCTGCGATCGACTGAATGGCATATCACTAGCGCTGGTAAAATTGATTTCTGTAGAGATATATTCTGTTCCGACCTCGTCAAAGTTTTTGCTGCACGTCGCGCTGTCGAGCTAATCTTGAGAAGGACGGAATAGAGTATTAAGGAAGGATAAATGACATTGGTATATTTTCGTTCTCCAGAATGAAGATAGTGAAAGATGTTCCCTCTTCAGTTCATGTATTTCGGTTTTTTGTATCTAATTTATATAACTAATGACAGATTTGAGCATGCAAAAATGAAAGTTTCCTTGATTTTACAGGGAACGTCAGCCTTTAGTCCCCATTTCTTTTTGACCGCTTGGATTTTTATTACAAGATTGATCAAAGTGCAAGTGAACCTTCTGCCTTCAAAAGGTGAGCCATCTCCGCGATATTCCACTCTTCAAGACTTTTTATTTTCTTGTGGATGTGATTTGTATGATCAAGATACTAAGTAATTTACTAAATATGGAAAACGGATAAAGTTAAGCGTGCGAGTTTCTCTAAGATGATCACTTTACTAAGAGTTACCCTTTTAAGTGTTAATCTAGGTAAGCCTTAGAGAAAGTAACGAGTGGGTGACATTAGATCAACACTCTCTAAAAAATATACAATAATTGATAACATTCTGGGGAGTGGAGAGAAGGGGCATGAACTTGGACCATACTTATGACGCGGGATCCTTGAACCTAATCTCCTGAGAAGTCCCATCGGTCATCCCTGTTATTCTCACAGTTTTATTTCCGCTTCGCTTTGGCTATGAAACTAGCAATTCGAGAGCACTACAACGCGCCATAAAAGCGATGACGAATACATGCAGTAATGATGATAATACTTTGATGTCTAGAACACCCAAATTCTCGGGCCAACCTCGGGCAGGATTTTCTTGTGAGCCTAGAAGTCCAATCATGAAAGAATTAATAAATTCATCAACTTTTTCCTGATTCATAAGTGGAAAATTTTGAATTTTATAAACAATGATGCATTTGAACATGCAAAAATGAAAAGAAAAAAAATTGAAAAAATTGTATTTTGTTTAGTACAGGGATCGTCAGCCCTTAAATGTTCATTGCTTTTAAACGGTTGGATTCTCATCACGAGATCGATCACAGTACAATTAAATAGGGTATTTTTCAGTGATTGAGTGTGATGATCGACTCTTTACTGATGAACTTTTCATTTTCTAATGAGTGCGATTTGCATCATCAATAACAAAGACACTATGTATATTACTATATAAGCAAAACAGATGATGTTTATAGCGTGAGTTTCCACAAGACGATTATTTTACCTTGAAAGTGTTCATCTTAGTGGAAAAAAGAAAAGTTCAGCACACTTCTCCGAGCTTCAAGTTCTCCGGTTTAGGTATTTGTATTTCGGTTTTGTTAGTCTAACTTTGATAAACATTAATTGATGGATTTGAGCATGCAAAATGAAACAATTTACTTTGTTTTACAGGAAACGTCAGTCCCCAGCTAGTGTTCATTTCGTTTAAACGGTTGGATTTTCATCACAGGATCGATCGCAGTACAATTGAAGCTTCTGTCTTTAAAAGGTAGGGTATTTGTACGTGATGACTGACTGAATGTTTTACAATCATGACTTGTGGGGCAGGAAATGAAATACAACTGATTGATCCCCTTCGAACCCCCGACCCAGTATCTACCACTTGTAGTTCCAGTTTGTGGTGATTTGAAGAAAAATGAAAACTGCGAGCAAAAGTGTGTGACAATGGCTTTTTCCTTTTTCCTAATGAAAATTACATATAGGTTTCTTTGCTTGCACCAAAATGAGCCCGGAACTTCAAACAATAAGTTCAGTGATTTGTGTGACATCGTCATGAGCATCTCGGTGATGTGCGTGACAGTTTTATGAACACCTCAGTGAAACAAATGGTAATATATCTCGTCAGTGTGTGTTTCTACCACACAAAATTGGATTTATGACTCAAGGTCACGAAGATTCCTGACGAAAAGAAGTGAAAAGAGTCGAAGAAGAATCCAGTTAGATCTGTAACTAAACATCGAGTGAATATGACGGAGTAACATTAAAAAAAAACTTTTCAATCATGTAAATGCAGTTACCCCAACTTCATTCTAGCAAAATTTTCTAACGCGCATGGCGCAATCATTAAATGAACGTCAGATTTTTTTTAAGATGAACCAGAAAATGCAATTATACTCATGCTGATTCTAGTCTTGTAAACGCTTCATTTCAATACAGGGTAGGACCTCGAAATGAGAAAACCAAGGTTCCTGATGAAGTTTAGCACCCACAAACCTTTTTACATGATCTTTTCGAGTGTCATATGCCTGACCTACATTTTTTCTCAAACTTACAGTGATCAAGGCGATATGAATAACACAGAAGAAGAATTTACCACGTTAGCTATCAAAATAGGTATGACTGTCGCCATTTTCCTTCTCAACACTGGGTTGGCCTTGAAAGCCATTGAGTTGTGCCAAGAAAGTTTGATTTTACTAAACAACGGTGATTTAAGCGCGGCCAGTCCAGTTGCCAAATCACTTGAAGAACGCATCCGCACCACAGTGAAAAGGGCGTGGTTCACTCTATGCAATTCACCAGGTTTTGAAGAATACCTCAGGGAACTTTTACTTCACCCTGAAGAGGGAAAGAAATTTCTTGAATTAGCAATAAACGTGATGAAAACGACCGCAAACAGAAGAGGAGAAGCAGATTGTTATAGAGGACTAGGACTGCTTCTGTGTTCATCAGGAGAATATGAGAAAGGTAAAGAATATTTGGAGATGGCACTTGCAATTAACATAAAACTTGGTGACAAAAGTTGCATAGCCACGAATTACATGGACCAAGGAGGAGTGTTAAAATCGCTTGGAAAATACGACAAGTCCCGAGAATACCTGAAGAAAGCACTTGCTATTCAAATAGAAATTGGCGACAGAAATGGAGAAGCAAAGAGCAACGGGAACCTCGGAACAGTGTTCCAATCCCTTGGCGACTATGACAAGGCCAGGGAATACCTGGAGAAAGCTCTTGCTATCAGTATAGAAATTGGCGAAAGAGATGGAGAGGCAAGAAGCTACGGGAGCCTAGGAACAGTCTTCCAATCGCTTGGCAAATATGACAAGGCCCGAGAATATCTGAAGAAAGCACTCGCTATCCAAATAGAAATTGGCGACAGAAGTGGAGAAGCAACAAGTTATGAGAACCTCGGAACACTGTTCAAATCGCTTAGCGAATGTGACAAGGCCCGAGAATACCTGGAGAAAGCACTCACTATCCAAATAGAAATTGACAACAGAAGTGGAGAAGCAACAAACTATGAGAGCCTCGGAACACTGTTCAAATCGCTTAGCGAATGTGACAAGGCCCGAGAATACCTGGAGAAAGCACTCGCTATCCAAATAGAAATTGGCAACAGAAGTGGAGAAGCAAGAAGCTACGGGAGCCTAGGAACAGTCTTCCAATCGCTTGGCAAATATGACAAGGCCCGAGAATACCTGAAGAAAGCACTCGCTATCCAAATAGAAATTGGCGACAGAAGTGGAGAAGCAACAAGTTATGAGAACCTCGGAACACTGTTCAAATCGCTTAGCGAATGTGACAAGGCCCGAGAATACCTGGAGAAAGCACTCGCTATCCAAATAGAAATTGGCAACAGAAGTGGAGAAGCAACAAGCTATGAGAGCCTCGGAACACTGTTCATATCACTTGGCGAATGTGACAAGGCCCGAAAATACCTGGAGAAAGCTCTCGCTATCCAAATAGAAATTGGCGACAGAAATGGAGAAGCAACAGGCTACGGGAACCTCGGAACAGTGTTCCAATCCCTTGGCGAATATGACAAGGCCCGAGAATACCTGGAGAAAGCTCTCGCTATCAGTATAGAAATTGGCGACAGAAATGGAGAGGCAACAAGCTACGGGAGCCTCGGAACAGTCTTCCAATCGCTTGGCAAATATGACAAGGCCCAAGAATACCTGGAGAAAGCACTCGCGATCGAAATAGAAGTTGGCGACAGATATGGAGCAGCAACTGGCTACGGGAACCTCGGACAACTGTTCATATCGCTTGGCAAATATGACAAGGCCCAAGAATACCTGGAGAAAGCCCTCGCTATCCTAATAGAAATTGGCGACAGAAGTGGAGAAGCGACAAGCCATGAGAACCTCGGAACACTGTTCATATCGCTTGGCGAATGTGACAAGGCCCGAGAATACCTGGAGAAAGCTCTCGCTATCCAAATAGAAATTGGGGACAGAAATGGAGAAGCAACAAGCTATGGGAACCTTGGAACACTGTTCATATCGCTTGGCGAATGTGACAAGGCCCAAGAATACCTGGAGAAAGCTCTCGCTATCCAAATAGAAATTGGCGACAGAAATGGAGAAGCATCAAGCTATGGGAACTTTGGAATACTGTTCATATCGCTTGACGAATGTGACAAGGCCCGAGGATACCTGGAGAAAGCTCTCGCTATCAAAATAGAAATTGGCGACAGAGATGGAGAGGCAAAAGTCTACGGGAACCTCGGACAACTGCTCATATCGCTTAGCGAATATGACAAGCCCCAAGAATACCTGGAGAAAGCTCTTGCTATCCAAATAGAAATTGGCGACAGAAATGGAGAGGCAACATGCTACGGAAAACTTGGAACAGTGTTCCTATCGATCGGCAAATATGGCAAGGCCCATGAGTACCTGGAAAAAGCTCTCGCTATCCAAATAGAAATTGGCGAAAGATATGGAGAGGCAACAAGCTACGGGAACCTCGGAACGTTGTTCAAATCGCTTGGGAAATATTACAAAGCCAAAGAATACCTGGAGAAAGCTCTTGCTATCCAAATAGAAATTGGCGACAGAAATGGAGAAGCAACAATCTACGGGAAACTTGGAACACTGTTCAGATTGCTTAACGAATATGACAAGGCCCAAGAATACCTGGAGAACGCACTTGCTATCCAAATAGAAATTGGCGAAAGATATGGAGAGGCAACAAGCTACGGGAACCTCGGAACGTTGTTCAAATCGCTTGGGAAATATTACAAAGCCAAAGAATACCTGGAGAAAGCTCTCGCTATCAAAATAGAAATTGGTGACAGAAATGGAGAGGCAGCAATCTACCTGAGCCTCGGAGCACTGTTCAGATTGCTTGGCGAATATGGCAAGGCCCAAAAATATCTGGAGAGAGCTCTCGCTATCCAAATAGAAATTGGCGACAGAAATGGAGAGGCAACATGCTACGGAAAACTTGGAACAGTGTTCCTATCGATCGGCAAATATGGCAAGGCCCATGAGTACCTGGAAAAAGCTCTCGCTATCCAAATAGAAATTGGCGAAAGATATGGAGAGGCAACAAGCTACGGGAACCTCGGAACGTTGTTCAAATCGCTTGGGAAATATTACAAAGCCAAAGAATACCTGGAGAAAGCTCTTGCTATCCAAATAGAAATTGGCGACAGAAATGGAGAAGCAACAATCTACGGGAAACTTGGAACACTGTTCAGATTTCTTAACGAATATGACAAGGCCCAAGAATACCTGGAGAACGCACTTGCTATCCAAATAGAAATTGGCGAAAGATATGGAGAGGCAACAAGCTACGGGAACCTCGGAACGTTGTTCAAATCGCTTGGGAAATATTACAAAGCCAAAGAATACCTGGAGAAAGCTCTCGCTATCAAAATAGAAATTGGTGACAGAAATGGAGAGGCAGCAATCTACCTGAGCCTCGGAGCACTGTTCAGATTGCTTGGCGAATATGGCAAGGCCCAAAAATATCTGGAGAGAGCTCTCGCTATCCAAATAGAAATTGGCGACAGAAATGGAGAGGCAACATGCTACGGAAAACTTGGAACAGTGTTCCTATCGATCGGCAAATATGGCAAGGCCCATGAGTACCTGGAAAAAGCTCTCGCTATCCAAATAGAAATTGGCGACAGAAATGGAGAAGCAACAAGCTACGGGCACCTTGGAATAGTGTTCGAATCGCTTGGCAAATATTGTGGGGCCCGAGAATACCTAGAGAAAGCACTTACTATGGACATAGAAACTGGCGACAGAGAAGGAGAAGCAACAAACCACGGGAACCTCGGAACACTGTTTCAATTGCTTGGCGAAAATGGTAAGGCCCAAGAATATCTGGAGAAAGCTCTCGCTATCCAAATAGAAATTGGCGACAGAAATGGAGAGGCAACATGCTACGGAAAACTTGGAACAGTGTTCCTATCGATCGGCAAATATGACAAGGCCCATGAGTACCTGGAAAAAGCTCTCGCTATCCAAATAGAAATTGGCGACAGAAATGGAGAAGCAACAAGCTACAGGCACCTTGGAATGGTGTTCGAATCGCTTGGCAAATATGGTGGGGCCCAAAAATTCCTAGAGAAAGCACTTACTATGAAAATAGAAATTGGTGACAGAGAAGGAGAAGCAACAAACTACGGGAACCTCGGAACACTGTTTCAATTGCTTGGCGAATATGACAAGGTCCGAGAATACCTAGAGAAAGCCTTACGTATTTACAGGGAAATTGGCAAACGAAAAGGAGAGGCAGACATTTATGGAAACCTTACATTATTTTTTCTGTCCCTTGGTCAATATCGAAAGGCTGAAGATTTTCTAGAGAGAGCAGTGGCAATTTGGAGGGAAATCGGTGACAGAAATGGACAAGCAGGACATTTCGGAAACCTTGGGAGGATTTCTTGTAAGCGTGGTGAGTACGACAATGCTCTAGAATATCACAAGAAAGCCCTTGAAATTCACATGGAAAATGGTATGAAAGAAGATGTTGTTGTCGACTACGCACTTATAGGATCGTGCTTCCAATGGCTCGGTAAATATGACATGGCCGAGGAATACTTCAAGAAGGCTCTCTCATTAAGCAGGGATATTGGACACAGCTTGCGTGAGTTTCAATGCCTTCTTGGTCTAACGGTGTTGAAGGTATCACAATTTGATCTTGAAGAAGCCTTTTCGTTTCTTTTCCAAACCATTCAAATTTTCGACACGTTGCGAGGATCTCTGAAAGAAAATGATCAGCTTAAAACATCACTTTTGGAAACGCACGGCACCTTTCCCTACAAGTTGCTCAGTAGCTTGCTCTCTTCCAAGGCAAAGCCATACGACGCTCTCTATGTCGAGGAGTTGAGACGGGCGAGGGGCTTGGCCGACTTGATGGGAGCTCGGTACTCTATTGTAGAGCAGATCTCAGGCGATCCAAAATCATGGTATGGGATTCAAAACATTGTCGCAAAGGAAACTGACTGTGCATGCCTCTACATTTCTGTTGGAGAAAAGGATATGCGCTACTGGATTCTCAAAACTACAGGGGCTATCATTTTTTCAGATGAGGAAGTGAGCCTGGACAAAAATTTGGTGACCGGATTAGTCCCTGACTTGGATGAGTTTTTTACGGAAAGCTTTCGCAGCCTTGGCATTTTACCCGCACAGAATTGCGAAGATCGATCTCTAGATGATACCGAATCAATGTCACTTTACCATGAAAATCAGGCGCTCCTGCGCGATTGTGATGACAAAGGTATCAAGACGAATCTTCAATTGTGCCACAAGATAATCATCACTCCTGTGGCCGCTTTACTGAAGGAGCCGAAATTATCATTGTCCCTGATTCCTGTATGTACCAGGTACCATTTGCGGCTTTAACGGACGATGAAGGAAAATTTGTATCGGAGACATTCAGGTTACGCATTGTTCCCTCTTTGGCAACTCTCAAACTTATTCAGGACAGTCCTCCATACTATCACAGTCAAACAGGTGCACTGATAGTCGGTGACCCTCAGGTTGGAGAGGTGATTTACAAGGGAAGACGCAAGAATATAACACGATTGACATGTGCAAGAAAGGAAGCAGAGATGATTGGAAGACTTCTTGGCGTGACACCTTTGATTGGAGATCGCGCGACAAAGCAGGCTGTACTTCAAGCAATACATTCAGTGAGTCTGATCCATTTAGCTGCCCATGGTGATGCTGAAAGAGGAGAGATTGTCCTTTCTCCTGAGTGTCCCGCTGACTATGTTCCACGAGAAGAAGCCTTCCTCTTGACGATGGAGGACATTTCACGAATTAAGCTGCGAGCTAAACTGGTTGTGCTTAGCTGTTGTCACAGTGCACGTGGACAGATTAAAGCCGAGGGCATTATTGGAATCGTTCGAGCGTTCTTAGGATCCGGTGCTCGCTCAGTCTTGGCGGCACGGTGGGCCATAGATGACACAGCCACAGAGAAGTTCATGACTTGTTTCTACGAGCACTTGTTCCGCGGTGAAAGCGCCAGTGAATCTCTTCACGAGGCCAGGAAATGGATGAGAAACAATGGCTTTGTGGAGGTCTCTAAGTGGGCTTCTTTTTATGCTGATTGGCGACAACGTGACGTTTGATTTTGCAAATTGGCCTGTGTCTACTACAACCAAATAGCCAGGAGTCAAGTAAACCCGCTGTAACGGAATGTGCTGGACCGATTAAAGCTAGAACAAGAACTGTTAATTGCCACCGTATAGAAAGGGGAAGCCATTTGCGAAAGAAGTCTGCGAGCTAAATTTTAAGCATTCAACAAAACATTCTTGTAAAGAGCGCGCCAGGGACAGGACAATTCATAAAGTAGAGATGATGAACTTTAAGCAGTTACTGAGCAAACTCAAACTCCTTTCTCGAAAGGGAATAGTTAAATAATCCAGCCAAGCATAATGTAACTAATTTTTTTCGAAAGCGATTAATTTATTAAGCAAACTAAATTTTAAGTGATGTCGTGTAGCCCTAGCAAATATGGAGTAACTTTTTATAAGAGGCTCTTTATCATATCAAATGCGCAGAGTTTTTTTCAAGGTTAAAAGTATACTCGAACTTAATTGTTATGATTTTGTCCGGAAATCATATGTAATCTCAAGCATGATGATAAAACGTTAAGGGTAAGGTTTTCAAAGATTTTCAAAATCTTTTTTCGGTTTCATTTGTTTGTTTTTTTCGCGGGGAACCATCTCAAGTACTTTTATAAAGTGATCTCCATGCCCAATATACAATATACATATATATATATATATATATATCGACATCGGGGCAACGCTAATTTTTTTGACTACATTAAACTAATTCCTCGAGAAACTAGCATTTTCCTATTTTCAGCGACGATAACGATTTTAATAGCTGGTCACACAAGCAGTCTACAGCTGTCTAGTCTAGGATTCTAGATCTATTTTTGATGATGGCCCTCAAGTTAAAAATACCCCTTCGAGTTTAAAGGGAAGGCCACATATCCCATAATTTTGTAGGGAAAAAAATTGTAGATTAGGAGTTAAGAAGGTTAATCCGAGCGCACTGAGTTACTAGTGACATTTTGGTGCAAGAATTTCTACCGGACTTCGTTAGATTTCTGGTATTGTACCTTATTCTGTAAAAACTTGTTGCCTAGACCAGTTATTTTATTAAAATTATTAAGATGTTGAGATGAACGCTGTTGTGAATAAAAAGCAGTTATTTTTAATCGTTACGACATACTGAATGAAGGGCAGTTGTTTTTTTCCTTCAACCAAATTAACACTTCGATTCTCATAGCCGACAATTCATCTCTGATTGTTGGATTTTGATATGTTGGACTTGCATGAACGGAACTAGTGAAATACACCTTCAAATTATGGCTGTCTATTCGAGCGGCCGGAAAGATTTGGCGAATCCTATGTTCTGATCGGCTACCAGAGTATGCTAGTCGCCGGATCGCCGACCAACGTGAATCTTCACGAGGAATTTATCGATCAAAACTGCTGCTTACTTGTTCTATTTCATGGCAGGTGAAGGCATAAAGCTTTTAAGTTAGGCTGAAAGAAATGAAACATGGTATGAAGTTCTCTCAATAGAGAATTGAAAGCAGAGTGATGTGAAATGACATAATTTATATGGTTTCAGGCCAAGGGACCGGTCAATATTAATTCCTAGGGAGGGACGGGAGGCGATAAATGATGAGTGTTTCCTAAGCGCAAGGTTTTTTTCAATGATTCTTTAAATAAGCATGGCGCAAAAAAGTTTCAAAATGCAATACTTATTATTTAATTGTCTGAATCTGTGCCACCTCCTCTCCACCGTGAGAAGAGTGAAAAAAGCTCTTACCCTGCGTCATACGTCATGCAATCGTGACTCAGTAACACTCAAAAATAACAAAATGATTTTAAAACAGTGGATCCTTCACGAAAAATGTCCGAGTTTTAAAGTATCTTAACCGTTAGTGTAACTTGCCGTCAAAAGATACGCAAAACTTTCATTGATGCCGCAAACCTAGACTGATTTTCATGCAGCTTAACACTTAAACCCAGGAGAAGTGACAGGCATCTAATTTCTCTTAATAATATCATTTATAAAATGAAATATAAAGGTCACAAGAAAAACGGAAATGATCACCAACTGACGATGCGCTCGATGGTTATGAAACAAATTCTTTATGTCAGAGTCTTAAGACATGTATGGAGAACAGTATGGAGAATCTGCATGATGATGTTGGGGTGTACAGAGTTACGAAACATAACCTCTCCTTCGCAGCCGTCGTTTATCTCGTCACGCAATGCGCTCTCTCCCGCATTGCGTGAAAAGACCGCATATCAGAGTAACTGTTGCATGAAGTGCTTCAATATTGCAACATAACTCTAATATGAGATGTAAAATTGAAGTGACCTTCAGAGTCTCATCACCAAAGCTAAATCATTTCTGACAGAACGTATAACAATTCATGCCCAACAAGAAATGCTAAATTACATGTTTATTGCCAGAAGGATCCACCATTCAAAGACACAGTTACCTTAAAATCACTATTTACATCATATATATTTTTGGCTATTACTTTTAACGTGATATGTGTTTATTTCTTTACAAAACATTTTATTAATACTGTATCTACATATCTTCATTCTAAGGTATGTTTTAAGCAAGCGGCTCAACTTTGGCTCCGAAACAACGTTTTTCCACAACACTTTACTGCATTAAAATTAACCAACCACTATTAACAATCGTGTTATGAGATTAAGTTATAAAGAGAAGCCATACATTATGCAATACGCTAAAGAAAAATGCGCTCGTTCTGTTATACTTTTGAGACGTTCTATTACTAACATCCCGTCAAAAAAAAAACTAATTACACTGTACAAATCTGAACATGAACCAAAAGAACAAATTTGAAAACTACAATTCTAGTAAGCTCCATACACAGATTAACATTTGCAGTAGCTTTCTACTGCTAATTCACAAATATGATCCAATCCCAGCATCTCCATAAACAATGTTGCAAAACAAACTGTTTTGAAAATTTTACTGTGTTAAATGTACAAAATAGCCTGTAACAGAATTTTCTAACAATATGTCTCAGAAAATGGCTTGGAAAACATAATTTACATTTTCCAAAACCATAAACACTGAGCTTATTTGCAATTTTATGTTGCCCTTAAATTGTCCAAATCTGGTAGGGGGACTTGCGCTACTCTTTTTGAAAAACATTCAACACCCACCAAAGTTAAGATTGGTGAGCAAATATGATGTTTTAAAAAAAGTTAATATTGGAGTTTTTTTGGAAACTTAGTAGAAAAATACTCCCTTTTTACTAAGTAAATAACAATTTATAGTGATTTAATTTTGTAGGTTAGCTAATTAATAATATAAGCTCTTTAGGGTCTGAAGGCAATAAGTTTGATGACATGCTGTGGACAAAGTTAAACCTTGTTTGATACTATTAACCCAAATATGATTTACCAAACAAAAAACATAGAGTTTTCTAATGAATGGCCTGATGAAGCAAATAAGGGGTAAAACTTTATGATACCTACTCAAATGTTGATTTTCAACAAACAAGATGCACAAAGCATAACTAGAATATAAAACATGTCCCTGAAAAATTGGAAATGGAACAATGGATACTGTATTTACAAAATGACTTCCATGTGAACTTTGAAACCAAACAACCAATGCCACCAATCACAGTTATACTGCAACAGTAAAATGTAACGAGGGAAACTTAACAATGTTACCAGACAGCACAAGAGAAAAAAAAGGCATAGAATTTTATAGCAGCAAAACAATGGTAAATCACTATGAAAAATATAGCATGTTAATTTGAAGAACAGCTTTACAATAAAAAATTGTGATCTATCTCCAGAAGATTACGCTCCTGTGCACAGGGGCTTCCTTCAGAAACAAAAACTTCCCAATGAAATATGAGTTTTCATTTTACCATATGACTTAACAATTGACATGTGAAACACAACATTGGAAAAGAAAAGTGCTAAAAGCAACACTGAAAAAATCATGTGGTAGCAGATGCTGCTCCATTTTTGAACTGTCAATAGCTTGATACGGTGCCTTAGCAAGAGGTACAATCTCCCATAAAACAACTCCAAATGACCACTGTGAAGGAATAAATCACAACCTGTAAAATCTGTTGCTGTTGTGCAAAGTCAATGTCATTGTGATAACAATTGCTCAAGTATCCCTGATTCCTTTCCATGTTCTACAAGCAAATTCTCTTTACTAATGGTGATATATTCCTCTGTAAGCCACTCATAAGAATTTAATCCCTAAGAGTGATAAGCATCCAAATTCTCCTCAGTGTATAACCACTAAACCAAACATCAGGGTCATGAGAATAAAAGAAATAATCACTAACTTATGTAGTTCTTTATTGTTAAAGAAATTCTCTTATGCAGTTCTATCGGAAATGTATACAGAACACTGTGTAGAATAAGCACACTGATTTGTTCTTAACTTGCAAGTACAATTTTCAAATTCATCTCTTCCTAAAGGGTTTAATCTTTATGCAATGTTTAAAGTTAATGATGAACCACCAGCTGAGCGCTTGCAATATAAATTAAGAGTCCTAATTTTGACAAGCCAGGCAAAACCAAATTTATCTTCAAAGAGTGAAAAAGAAATGAAACATACCACATCACTTTTTTCTGAAAATTGACCCTCCTCTGCTAAACCCTCAAGTGCTGTCCATTTGACAAGTAATCTGGACCGTATTCCCTTGTCATTCAAGTTTGTTGTGTTCACATCTCTGGCCAAACTGAAGTCAGTGATCTTGATACTCAAATCATCATTGACACTAAAGGAAAACACTTTCAGATAAGTCTGATTTCCTGAGATGGAAAACCTAATCCCTTCTTAATTATTTTATAAATCATCATCTCAAAATGCAGGGAAATATATTAACCCAAATACTCAGTCAGAGCAACAGCCTCTGTACGCCAGCAGTAAACTAAGGCATGTGACTATCAATTGCAAAGTGAAAACTATTAAAATTAGATTGCCTATAAGATAGGGTGCAAATGTTTGAAAAATCTTTATTTTCCTGATCATTACAAACCTGAATCATCTACATTCTTCGCAAAAAAGAAGAAAACTAAGATAA